ACCTCGCCCGTGCGCCGCCGTGCCCCTCTCACACGCGCTAACCACGAGCCGCACAGTGGCGAGCCCGCCCACGCGGGTTAAAACACACGCTCGCGCGCAAACACAGGCGGCCACAACGAGCAGGCTCACAACACCGTGCACCCCTCTCCGCACTCGCAGGGACGACACGACAAGGTTTGTTGTCTACTGGCCATTTATTCTCCGATTAACGAAGCTAATCCTACCGTTGTCAGTGTGGCACAGCAGGGCAGGTCTAACCTATCTCCCGACGGTCTAGGACTCAATCTGTCCCGTCTCTCCATACTCACTCTCCCTAAGGGATATTCCCCTTTGTCTTACCTCTCTCCTCCGTACTTACGATCCGATTTCGAGGTGTAGCAAGCCGCGGAAAGGCGAGGCTGCACGTAGCTTTTGCTGGGAACCGGGCCTGGCTGCTCTGCGACTCGTCTCACGGACGTTCCAGTAGCAGGGCACGATGACTCCTCCGCTCCCTCGCTCCGGAAGAACCCGAACAAAAGAGCCTTTTGCCCCTGACTTCCCTCCCTTTTTATCGTCCCTACATCAAAGGTAACGTGCCGCTAATCCGCTGGCCTCTCGTCCAATCAGGAGCCTCGTATTTCCCGCTCTTGGCTAATCCGAACGGTGTTCTCTCCGACGTCCGCTTTTTACACACGTTGTACACACGTTGTGCAGGGGGAGGGCCCCCTGCCCTCCCGCCGCTCGCTACTCCACCCCACCCCCTACCTGCCTGCTGACCCGTGTGTGTTGTGGGTGTTTCCTATCCGCGGTGGCTCAGCAGCCCCGTCGTGACCACGTGATTACAACCCAAGTCACGGCGCCGCGGTGCGAGCGAGCCTCGGGGGAGGTCGCCCAATGCCCTGGTCGCAGGAAACCGTGAAGCTTGGTCCCATGAGAGGGCTTCTGGGTGAAAACCTGTCGGCCAGGTGACCTCCCCTCGGGGCTCTATGTGGGGGTGTGTGTGTGCGTGTGTGTTCATGTGGGGGCTCTATGTGTGTGTGCGTGTGTGTTCATGTGGAGGGGTGGTGGAGGAAGCGCTGTGACGGAAGCCGGGTGGCTTCGTTGCCGCAGCACCCCCGCCATAGGCACGGCTCCCACGGAGCGGCTTCGCTGTTGTGGCACCACATCCTTTCAGATGGGAATTCTCTTCCCCCCGGCCATCTGTGCTCTTCACCCCTTGCTCCGGTCCAAGTGAAGGCTCAAGACCTTCTTCATCTCCTCTGCTTGTCGCTTGAGTGTCTCATCTCCATTGATAAAATAAAATAAACAATCCGAGTAAATATACCACTCATCCTTTCTCATGGTGAACATGTCCCACTGTTCTGTACGGCGTAGTTGCGTTCAGACGCTAGATACATCCAGTTTCATGGTATTGTGTTGTAAATCTAACGGTACATCAAACACATTCGAGTGCAACTTGTGTGTTTTTTCTATCGCTGTGGTCTATATAAATAATACAGAAGGCATTTAAGGAAAGCCAAGAGATTGTCAGCATTTTTCGCCCCCATTTTGCCTTGAGCGACATCAACTTGCACAGTTTCCTCTCTCTCTCTCTGAGCCGGGCAGTGTCTCCATACAGACCATACAAACGTATAACGACGCAATGCCCCGATCCACAAATACGACGGAGACACCACAGCGATACACTCCGCTGCTCCTGACGCGGCTGTCTGGCTTGACCACCTGAATGTGAAATTGCAGTTGATGCTCTGCATCTCCATCAGCCGTGCAAGAGGAGAAGTGTTCGCCGTGTCGGCTGGTTTAGCGCAAGGCTTGTTGATACTGTTTGGAAACTGCCTTCCTGGTTACAGATGTTTTAGCAATGCGATCGATGCGTAAATTACATCATCCAGATATAATAGCTCAGCCTTTGGAACCAGGGTCTCTCGCTGGTAGAGAATTACCCTGTGATGGGAGTTTAGAATTAAATTGGGTTTTATTTTTCAATGGAAGACCGTAGAGGAAAATAATAATACAATTGTGGTTTCAATTACAAATGCTAATAAATAACTTGTGAAAATCAGCCAACCAACCGGCTATTGAATAATTTAATGGAAAACACTTGCTGCAAGGAAAATGCATGCTGTACAGTACTCCAAAAATATCATGTCACATACACGTGTAAGCCGAGGTTTAATTTGTGGTGTGCAATGTGCGCTGTACGAGACGTGTGTTTTTTTCGGTTGTTGTGATTAGCGCTGCGGAGAAACATCCGCAAGTAGAATTTCACGTAACGTGCACGTTTGTGCGCGCGCACACGCAAATCTCGCCAACATTCTCAGCGAGGAAATCAGAATTCGTGCAGACATAATTCGCACAGTCATCGCAAAGCAGTACATGTGCCGGCTCCAATTTGTCGGCAGTCACTGCACCGCAATGATAAATCTCGTTCAGAGCGGTCAAACACGGGCCCTCTGATCTTTGCGCAGGAAGCAACACTAATCTAACATATGAATGACACACACAGGCCATTATTGGGATTGATATCCACCTCATACTTTGTTGTCCTTCCCCGGCACTTCTGATTAGCATGGTTGCCTACGTACGGTGCAAAAGAAGTTCAACATACATTGTGCGATGCACAGGAGCTGATTCCATCCCTCAATCTCCCTGGTGGTTGGCGTCAGCTATTATACCTTCTCGCTAGAAATAAAAAAAGTTTCCTATTTGTTGGAAATTTCCAGAATATCATTTATCATCATGCCTTTGCAGTGTAACATTAATGCTCTTTATTTGTTTTGGCTAAATTAGGTGTCCAATTTGAAAACGGACAGGTAACTGGTTTGATCATGATTGTATCGCCAAGGTGGGAAATTTCAGCGCTGAAATAATAATTGTTTCAGTTTTATTCCTGAAGCCCAAAGTACACAATATCCAATACCGTGTTACACTACAGTATGTACTATGTGTACCTAAATAAACCAACACAAAGTAAAAATAATAAAGTTAAACATGCGAAGAGCAAGTGAACAATTCCGTTGATAACATACGAAAGCAACACACAAGTGCACCACATAGTCCATAAATAACTGTATAATGAATGGATCATTGCTGCAAATAGCATTGGCAAAAGCACATTATGTTAATTACATTGACTGTGCATTCCACTTTAATTAAAAAAAATCAGTGGACACTAAATATTGCGTATGGCAGGAGCGTTAACAATATGAACTAGGCAACCTGAGTTCGATTCCCGGCCTCGGCTAACATCAGTGGCGAGTGATATCTGAACCGGTCCTGGGTGTCCCATCTGTTACCAAGCTGCACTGAGCAGCGTGGTGAGATATGACCAGTGTAGCATCTTAATCCAGACAAGGGGCTCTAAATAGGATTCATATTTTCATGAAATACATAGCAGTTGCACACTCACAGACGATATACCATTGGCATGCTTTCTTTTTATTATTTCAAAATTCACGGAAATGTTTTGCTTTTATTTATGGATCCACGATGTACAAATGCACGTCACCGAATGTATATACGTTTACATGCACAAGTAGACCAGGGTGGTAGGTCTAACAGCAGAAGAAAAATAAACACTTCTCGGCACCAGCACAAAATGTACTGTTCTCTTTTTATTTGTTCGTTTTTCCAAAGCAAGGGTTTGGGAGTGTTGTGTTAAATTAAAGAGATTTTTCAAGAGCCGGCTCAGTGGGGAGGGATAATGCTCAAGCTGTTTGCCTGAGAACTGAACCATCGACTCTGCAGTGAGCATGGATAGTGGACAAACTGTATGTGTAAGTAATTGACACTTGGGCAACCCTTTTCTTGTACTAAAGGCCCTTATTTGGCCCAAAATAGCAGTGCAAGTAAAGTAATCCCTCTTCCATGCTGTACAGCTGTATTCGTTTCGTGACAAAGGGCACGGGTCCGTTACTCTGTAAGCCTCGCAGAAAATTGATTCTCATATCAACACAGCACAGAGGGGCAACTCTTATTCTTGATAGCTGTCAACCAAATAGCACACGTGTATTTACTGTTCCGTATCGTGTAAATCCTGGTGGAGTGGTGGCACATTGGTCAGTGTGATGCGCTTTGACCCCGGCTATCCGAATGCGATCACTGTCCCTGACTAACATAAGTGGCAAGTTGATATCTGAATCACACCTGCTCTCCTGCCCCTTTAACCAACGCGCACTGGCCAGCATGGTGAAGTATGGTAAAACATATGTTTACCCATTAATGATATGGCATGGGTAGGCCCTCATCCAGCAGTAGATTGAAAATGGCTGGAAATATATTTTTCATTTTTTTACTGTAAATCCATACATGTGGCTCTGTGCTTAGAACCCTCAACCATGCAATCAGAAGATTGGAAGTTCAAATCATGGCCGATGGTCCACTAAGTCCATCATTTCATCATCCGTCCTAGGATTATATGAATACCACTTGGGTGGGGCGTCAACAGTGGTAGTCCTATGGACAGACTAGCCGCTGTATAATTCACACTGGTGGCTGTGGTTTACCAATTGAGAGAGAAATGCCCTGTTGTTATATCACAGAGACTTGAACGATTTTTGCATTAAAAATGTTTAGCTAATGCATGATACACAACTAAATAAATATATCGTATCAGTTCATTATATTAGTACTGTATATTAATGGCATTGTCCGACATTCCAATGCAGGACCCATGAGACTCAGTGAGGCCTTGCTATGTAAGGGATATACCATTTGACTATTGTCCTGTACACAACTTAATGATCCTAAGTCCCCCTAAACCAGTGGTTCTTAACCTGGGGTGCACGCCCTTTCTGTGGGTGCAAAAATGCCTTTTAAAAAAGGTAAATAATCTAAAAAACTAATTAAGCACGGGCACATAAGGACAACTACTTTGTTTCATCGAACCTGTGTATGTATTAACCTTTTACCTTTTTAACGATTGGCAACCAAAGGGGTGCAAGGCTGCATGCAGTAAAGGCTAAGGACCACTGCCCGAGACGATCGCATGCGTGTGCATAATAGAGGCTGTTTTGTTACAGCCAGGGTGCGTGAATACCACCGAGGTGGACATGAAGAAGTCGTGTCGGATCCGGGATCCGCACAGGACACGCAAGGCAAGAGACGCTCGCAGAGACACACACACGTCGACCATAATTCACAACAACAATAGCAGTACCCCGCCATTCGCCACTAAGTGGCGGTGACGTCACCACGGCGCTTGTTCCAGGCCACGTGCACTCTGATGGCACGTGAAGTGCCGAAGACCCGCTGACAAGAGGTCACGGGACAGACTCAGCAGGTGCCATGGGTTGACTGATTGAGATGACTGGGCAATGCACCACCTGTGGCCCCGTACTCTGATAACTTTCTGCATTTTAGCAGCCTGGCGATCCTCTCGTTGTTGTGAGCGTCGCTCCTCTGCCCTCCATTGTTGTTGAAGGGCGACTGCCTTCAACTGCCCAGGAGCGTCTTCCATAGAGGCCGATCTTGGCAGCGCTGGTACCAGTTATCGGCAAGTCCTCTCAGCTCAATAACCTCCTGTACCGCATCAGTCCATCTATTTTCCAGCCCGCGTCGTGCCCGTTTAGCCCCCTCTATCCGGACCAGACAGAAGCTGTTTGGGCATGCGGTAGCAGTGCATGCGGCTACATAACCCAGGAAACGCAGCCTTGCCCGCCGGAAGAGTTCACAGATGGAAATGTGTCCAGATCTTTCAAGGATGTGCGAGCGCATCACGCAATCCACCCTGGTTAAACCGAGGATGGATAGTAGCCAGGCCAGCCTGAATGTTTCTTACCGCCAGCGAAGAAGTTCCATCAGTGTTCCACGCTTCACAAGCATAGAGAAGGGAGGGATGGCATGACTGTGGTCAAGAATACTCAAAGCTTCGTGTGAAGCGACAGACCAGGTAGCTTCCACATAGCGCTACGCAGCCAGTGGAAAGATAAAGCCATCCGAGTGGTTCGGAGTGAGACCTTTGCTGTCAAACCGGAGCTGGCCATAAGCACACTGCCCAGATATGGAAAGCACTCCACTTTCTCCACAACTGACCCATCACCAATGGGAAATTGAGGGGGTGGAGTGTTTGATGGCACAAAATACCCAGTTTTGATGGGGCTGATAAGGCCCCACCTTTGAGTGACATGCTCCAGGTTCAGCAGCAGTGCCTCCAACTCCTGCTCTGTGTAAACATTCCCCAGTGGCAATGTGAACACATCCCACCAGGTACTCATTTGAGGCCGAGTCGACCTAGAGCAGGAGGCCCAGGCCCAGTTCAGATAATCATCACTGATGTTGGTCACGCGCGGAAATCGAACTCGGGTCACTGAATTTGTAGTGCAATGCACTAAGGCATGCAAATACGTGCAGGCACACATGCACAGGTAAACGCACACAAAGACACACATACATGTGTAGTGTACTAACACTAGTAGGAGGCGTTATCCCTCTTGTTCATTCCGGCTCTCACAGCCATAGGGGATAACTCCATACCGGGTCGGGACAGCCAACATGCTTCCAGACCCACAGCTTTAAGAGGCGAAGACCACGACGATAGCAGCATGACGAGTTCCATTCTCGATGGCAGCAGCCCCGACTGTGAGTCGGAGCTCGCCTTTTATTCCCCCCTGCAGCGTGGCCAGGCTCCGCCCTCGGCCACGCCCCCTTCTGCTCCGAGCTTGGCCCACAGGTCCAACTTGTAGAGCAGGCTGCTACCCCTAATTCCATTGTCTTCCAATCTTCCAGCGCCACGCGCTACAGTGACTCATTCAACGTCACTACACATACATAGGCTTGAGAACAAACAGGCACTCATTCACGCATAGGAATACACACATGCACAACAAATTACCAACCCTCTAAAGCAACTGCACTCTCACCCTGCGTAACAATGGACCGAGTACAGTGTAAGATGTTACTCTTTGTCTGTCGGGTTTATAGAATATGACCTTATGCAGTGCAAATTAAATGCATTGTGTAGGCGCGCATTGATTTTCAATATCAGTCAATTCCTATCGCCCCGAACTCAAATCCAAACGTACATTCGGACGCATGCATATACACACAAAGACAAAGATCCCCACATATTGCCTTAACAGACTGTTGGGGCAAGTGCTGTTAGCGAGCACCTATGAAGGCCTTGAGCGGGAATCGAACTCGGGTCGCCAGGTTCGTAGCGTGGCGCGCTAACCACGATACCACCGCTCCCCACACACATATACACACACACCCACATTGTCGTCCGACAGTCTGTGTACGGCTTGCAGGATGAGTGCACTGGAGGAAGTCCACCCCCAACTCCACCGCCCGATGCAAAGAAACCCACGATGGACGAGCTGCGTCGACGGGTTTGTGCCAATCTCACTCGACCCTCCCCACTCCGCTTCTGTTCAATGCGAAGAAGATTGGTAGACAATGGAGTTCAAATGCCGAACAGCACTCAGCCTATCGCATTTCCAACTTGGTCGAAAGTCAACAGTGGTTGTCTTATATTCTTGGTTCTTTCGGTAAAGTCACGTAGAAGGGAAACAATAAAATAATAATATAAAACAATAAAATTCTCACGACGTTTCGACTGCAACACAAGCAATCATCATCAGGTGTGAAAACCACAACAAGAAAATTTGAAAAAAGTGGCGGTTTTTTAACGTTAGCACCACGGATAGCGATTTGACAGTACTGAAATGTTCTTGTTGTGGTTTTCACACCTGATGATGATTGCTTGTGTTGCAGTCGAAATGTCGTGAGAATTTTATTGTTTTGGGATTTTTATTATTTTATTGTTTCCCTTCTACGTGACTTTACCGAAAGAACCAATAATATGAATCCCTGCAGTCACGAAAGCTTTAAATCAGTGGTTGTCTTGTTATGTGCTATTTCTACCATTTGCTTGGGGCTGTCAGCGTAGTTGAGCTCCATCCATTGGTTGTTTTAGGGCGGCGATGTGTTCCAGCGGTAGCTCGTTTGCCATTTGTTGCAGCTGTTCAAGATTGAAATCTATTGGCTGCCCTGGTTAATACTGCGGGTATATTAAACCATACAAATACACACCGTATGCTTCACAGTAGATGTTAAAGATCCCGTGACATCAATCAAGAGTAGGCAATTGCGTGCCGGAGTGGTTCATAATACAAAATTGGTAAAATTACCCCACAAAATATACTCAATTGGGATCCACAAAGCAATCATCGCCCCTATTGCAAAAACTTGGCATGTCCCTTCTGAAAAATTGTATCAATTTCACACTGGCATCAAAGATCAGAGGAAATTGAGCAATTGCCATCACGTGAAACGGGTCCAAACGGCGCTTGTCACTGTGGTATTCGGAGTTTAAATTGCTACATTGCCACATCTGGTTTTCACGTGCCTTTCTGCCCTCTACAGGTGGAATTTCTCAACACTCAGCTGAACTGGCACTGCATGAAGACATCAAAAGTGGCTGAAAGGTAGTGGGTGTGACTGTGGTCTTAATTATTAGGTACGTGACAATTCTTTGTTTTTTTTTAGATCCATCGATTAAAATTGATTCTTACACTCACGATACTTGTGCGTCGAAGCTGCGTGTAAGATGTTGATCATTTACGACCGTAAACGTGAGAGTGAAACGTTGACCCCGCCAATGGAGCAGATTACTACATGCCCAGTATCTATGGAATGAACCCAATTGCCTTTGTGGTTGGAGCGATACCTTTGTTAATACCCAGCACTTGTAGTTGGTCAACCTGGGTGACTACTGTTGCTGTCATGAATGCAAATATGAGTCAATAGGTCACATGCTTGAATTTTAAACAGGTGAGATCCCGCAGAGACGAGAATTCTGTGTTTTTTAAGGAGAGACGCTGCATAGTTACAAATGAACATACAAGAATTGACGCTGTTTCAAAAGGACAAAGAACTTCAACGTCAAATATTAATACACCATTGAAGTTATGAGCAATTCAAATAAATGATTAAAAGAGGTGCAAATTAATCCAAATCATGTCAATACAATGTGCAGACTTGCAAAAGATAGAACAACAATAATTTGCGTCAACATTATTCAAGCAGTGCATCCTAGCTTTCAACGGAAGGCCGACTGAGAATGAATTTACGTGAACTTTAAAATGTACGCTCAAACTGTTGAAGGTTTCAGAGGCAGCGTGGACAAATGAGCACTTCTCCAAATATAGTGTGAATTCCTGGCGCAATAATTCCGTGAGTGGATCTTAGGTTGCGAGGGTTTAAATCTGGCACGTGCAAACGAGACAGTGTGAAGGTGAACCTAGTCCACTGGTGGTCCCCTCCGTTTTGACATCGGAAGCCAGCCATAGTGGCGAGATGTTATCTCCCTCGCCTGGTATGGAGGAGGTTGTTGAATTCGATCCAGACCCTGACGCCTGTTTATTTTGGAGTTTGCATGTTCTCCCCGTGGTTGTGTGGATTTTTATCTTGTTCCTCTGGGTTTACCCTCCACTTTTAGAATCAATGTGCATTTATAGTATTTGGCTGTTATAAATGTCCACGTGATAAGCTATCATTTGTGGCCAGGTCGCTTGTGAAAAAGAACTGTATAGCTCAGCGGGCCTTACCTCGTAAAATAAAAAAAATGTTTGGTAAATAGTTATAGTTTAGATTGGAGGTCATGACGATAACAAAGTGTATCTCGTGCTTTAAGCAAACAATGGGTCTATACGGTTTAAAGCTGGGTTAATGAGTGGGGTTATCAATTAAGGGCATGGTGGAGTTTAGAATTAAGGGCATGGAGGTGTATACGTAAAACTAAGTGGCGAGTTAATAACGCGGAAAGTGATTGGTTTCTGGCCAACAAACCCAGCCGGATTATTTGTATTCATTTGTGAGGTTTTTGTGAGTGCTAAAATTCAGCCGGAATTTAATCCAGCTAAGGCCACGTGTACATATTACTATTGTTATTTACTATGTTCAATAGTCGAGCTGCAAGAAAAAGTACTAATGTGTTAGAAATTATGAACAATTAGGATGTTTTGCATGTAGCAAGTACATTTTAAGCCCATGTAACATTTAGGCTAAGGAGCAACAAAATAAAAAATGTACAAAACCAAAAAACTAAAAACTGGGAAACAATTCAGTGTTCTCTTGCATGGGGGGAGAGGCGGGAAGTGAAAATCCACATACATAGCAAGTAAATGGTGGTCATTGATATTCTGCAATAGAAAGTATTCATCCATCGTCAATTAATACGTTTACATATCTTCATCCCTTACAGCTGGCTTAGGTGGAACTAAGTTTAATGAAAACAAGTCTATAAGATGCCCTCTTTTGGCAATTGTTGGTGACCAGGCTGACACCATCAAACCCTCGTGCTGGAGAATCTGATTTAATCAAGCGAAGTTAGCTAGCCAGGATACAAACATTGGCTCCCGTCGGTGCTTATGCATCTTTAATTATGAGCTCCCTGAGCCATCTGGCCACTTGTTGTGCCAGTAAGTTTCAACGCAGGTCTGTCTGTGTGTGTGTGTGTCTCTGCGTGTCGTTATCACTGATTTAGCCTGATTGGATACTCGGAGCAGTACATGGAATATGATGCTTTCCTGACTCCAACGGAACCTTCCAATCCCTGGCAGTCGGATGACCCCACTTTTTGGGACATGGAGGTCAGGTAATGGTCCTGTGTAATAACTACTCTACACTGCCTACATCTTCTTAACCTCACATTCACAGCACTATTATGATTATACTTGCTTACCCAGGAAAGTTTCACTCAGTCCCGTGAATTTATTTTTCAGGAGGGTCCCGGCACATTATCGCAGTATGGCAGCAATGTTTGCTATGGATATTCAAATTGAGTCACTTGCAGGACATTTTTCAGATGGTGACCAGATTGTGACCATAATGCACTGGGAAGACTAAGACGGCCGTGCGTGGTGCTGGTCACACTGCCCTGTAGTTGTGTGTCGTGCTGCCCTTCATAGGTGCTCGCTAACAGCTCTTGCGCCAACCGCCCTTGTAGGCTGTACGGGGGGGATATTTGTCTTTTTACATATGTGCACGCGCGCGCGTGTGTGTGTGTGCGTAAGTCTAGCAAGGAGCCGAGCCAGCAGCAGGTGAGGCGGTGGGGCTTCTCCTTCGATGAAGTGCTCCATGACCCGGCAGGACAAGACCGCTTCCTCCGCTTCCTCCAGTCCGAGTTCAGCTCTGAGAATCTGGAGTGAGATGCTCGTTCAACACAGTGTGCACAGGGCAGCATTCAGCCCTGTTGACACATTCATTTAAGCAAAAAATAAAAATAAATAAACAGGGTGCTTTAAAAAATGAGAATTTGCAACAATACCGCAATAGATGTGCCTCCTCCCGGGCTCTGGAGACCACCTGGAGATGATTCCAGGCCACGCGTTGACAACGATGGCGAACAAGTGGAGACTCTTAGACTTTTTGAAGCTATTTACATACATTTGTTATCGTGTTACAGTGTATTATCCGTTCATTCTCCATTAAAAGCGATATTCCCATGCAAGTGTGAAAACAAATTTTCAGCATACTCTTTGGTTCTTCTTTTGGTAAAGTCACGTAGGTATAAAATAAAAGAAATCACGCCTGAGGACGACCGCTTGTGTTGCGATCGAAACGTCGTGATTTATTTTCTTTTCTACCGACGTGACTTTACCAAAAGAAGAACCAAAGAGTATGGATTCCTGCAGTCACGAAAGCTTCAAATCAAAATCTTAAGCAACCCCCGTATACAACCAGAGAGCCAGATCGTCTCTACATTCATCACAATGTAACGTCACATGTTCTCGCCAGGCAGTGCATGCATACATACAAATAGACACGACCAGACGACATGACACAGGCATGCAGATATCCAGACATCTACCCAGCTGGGGCGACAGACGAGTAACGGGCGGTGCCGCCGCAGGTTCTGGCAGGCGGTGCAGGAGCTGAAGCGACGTCCGCTGCGCGAGGTGCCTGAGCACGTGCAGCGCATCTGGGAGGAGTTCCTGGCGCCCGGCGCCCTCAACTCCATCAACCTGGACTCGCACAGCTTCGAGCGGACGGCGCAAAACATCTGCGAGCCGTGCAGATACACGTTCGAGGACGCTCAGGTGCCCGCCGCGCCGCCCGATAGAGCGCACGGTTTAATCCCGATAGGCTGGGGGAGCATCGCTGACCCATTAGCCACGGAATGCTGGACGTGGTGTGCTGGGTGCGGGAATATCTTCTGGGTTGTTGGTAGACTAAGAGTATAGAGCTGGTACTGTGAGTCCATCGAGTCAATGAGTAGATTCGAGGAGAGAATCGACTGCTCTTTTGTGGTCGATTAATTTAGCACCTTTAAAATTGGCGGCCACCCCGATATCCTGCTTCCCTAAGGTAGGAAACTCCCCTACAAGCCACGCCCAGTGTGATGTGGTTGATGATACCGATGACACCACCAAGCCCCCACCCATCACCTCCAGTCCAGCGGCACACGTGGAAACAGAGGTCAGACTTTCATTTCTATATTACTATCGTTATCTGATTGGTCGGATAATGGAACCGACAATTGGTAGAGCAGTCGGTAATTGCATAGCCCGCTCTGGTATGATGACTCTATAGGCTTTTCTGAATAAAGTAAATCTAGTTACTATATATATGAATGGATAAATTGTCGGCCTCCATTGATGTGCAGGGGTAACATGGATTTGTAGTATCGCAAAATCGTGGGAAAGGCGACTGACTGCACAGAGATGCATTTGATCAGCCCTAGATAATGGCTGATAACGATGATCTTATTGATGACGATGATGATGATAATTATTACAAAATAATTGTCTGCATTCTTGCTCTACTTGCTGTTGTTGTTGTGTAGGAGCACATCTACAAGTTGATGAAGAGCGATAGCTACGGTCGCTTCCTTCGCTCACCTATCTACCAGGAGGTGCTGCTCACGAGGAAAAAGGTTTGTCGGGCGATCATCCAATCTCTCCCATGTGCTTTCGGGTAGTGACGCGTGTGGTTTTTTTTTCTTCCACGCGATGTCCACTGTCCCCGAAGAAGTCCAGGAGGAATTTATGTACGAATGAAACTTGCACTCACGTGCTTCATTTGTTTTTGTTTACATTTAGCGCCTTGCTTGCCTTTCCTATACTTTGCACTTTGTTTTCGTATTGTTCGTTGTTGGTAACTTTCTGACCCGCCCCCTTTACTACTGAACATCTGTGCAAAAGAGCTTCGTAGCTCATCGGATTCTTCCAGTCCAAACAAAGGAATCTGATTCCGAGTCTGAACCTCCCGGCACGTGGGCCGGAACATCCACGCCACGTTGGGGATTCAACCCGAAATCAGAGGGGCTGCGCAGAGGCACGACCAGCACAAAAATAAATCCACGCTCGGTAACCGTTGAATCCATTTTTCTTTGGTGTCTTACCTCTGGCCATATCGGAGCCCACTAAAATTCATGAACACCCTCGGGGGACAGAGAGGTGCGTGACTGCGGTTGCAGACGTGAAGTGTGCTCCCTTTTTTCTAATTTTGAAATGCACAGATGGAAGAACTTTTACGGTCAACGTTTTTGACAATGAGGGTTTGGGTGCATAAGTCCTCCTTGGCAGAAAGTCACACGTGCTTTTGTGTGTACCGTGCACAATACACAGGACACGTTGATAGTATTTTAGCAGCAGCTGCTTAGTTTGTTCGTTATTTCACGTGTTTCTGGTACCCGATATAGTGCAACGTAAAATGACCCTCAGGCACCAGTCATCCGTTTGGCCTTTCAGCCATTCGCTATGATCATTACTAAAAATTACTTCGCCAAATTGGCTCTTATTCAAGTATATACATACTGTATATATATAACATTCACTCGTTATAATCACTCATCCCAAGGCATATTTGGCACAGGCATTGAACGTTATTAATCTGCTCATATGTTTGTATTTGTGCTTGTGGTGATCTTTCCGTATGACGAAGACTAATACAATGTTTACTCCTGCTCTTTTCAGTTAATTTGAAATAATGTTAAGCGTGTCACATATTGATGGACGATGTGCTGTTTATGCAAGAAGCATTTTATTTTCGTTACCAGTCTGAATACAACCAGGACCGTCGGACCTCATTTGAGAAGTTCACCAGGAATGTGGTGAGCGCGCACATGCACGTACAAAAAGACAAAGATCTCCATATATCCTTTAACAGACTGTTGGGGCAAGTGCTGTTAACAAACACCTATTAAGGCCGGCATAGCACACCAGGTTTGTGCTGTGGCCATCACCATGCCCAGCCAAATGATGATGTTTATACATTGCACCAGGTACTCAATTAAGGCTGAGTCATCCGAAGGGAGGCCCAGGACCGGTTCATCTATTCGTTACCGCTGTTCGCTGTAAGCGAGCATTGAACTCATGTCGCCGGGTTTGTAGCTCAGTGCACTAACCACTGTGCCACCTCTCCCCAGGCACGCATGCACGACATGTATGATAAATGCATTTGTTTCCCACAAAGCCCTTGGCCTATTATTTCATGACAACTAAGAGCAATGGCCATTATTCATATTCGAACCAAAACCAAAACGTTGTTTTGGATGTGCCTTTAAGAAAAATCCTTATTTAGCTGTTTTTCTTTTACCTCATTAAATTTATACACTTTAATAACATCTACTGTTTGATATTCCAGTGAGGAATATAAAAAAATAAAAAATTTTGAAGACCTTTTAGAAAAAAAAAACAGTAATTCCAAATGTTATTGTGGTTATCTTCCACCCTTTGCAGAAAAGTATGAACTTATTTTGAGGACATAAAAAGACGTGGAAAAGAGGTAATGGTCGTTAGACGTTCATTGCATTCTTCTTCCACCCTGTGCCCCATCCGTGGAATCCTTGAAAGTGGCCACTCCCACCCCATGCTTGAGTCACTTGTGTGTGCTTCTAACTCTCCATCCATGACTTCACTCACTGTTGGTGATTCATAAAACTATTCATCTGTGCCGGGCAAAAGCGAGAAGCATTAATCGTGTGTATTGTATGTGCCCTGTCATCATGTGATTCGGTAAAACAAATAAGCCTACATTTTCCCCTTTTAAATTAATATGAACCATTGCTATATGAGCAGGTGATAAAATGATGGCATTCACAGTGTATCGTACGTCCTAAGAGAACTCTCGCAAAATACAGGTAAAAGGGAGAACCTTGCAATTGCTTGCTCGTGCAGGCAAACTTGGCAAGACACTCCTGGAAAAAGAATCATTAGACTCAGTGAGGCTTTCCTTGGTAAAGCCACATAATAATACTACTACTACTACGTTTATTGTGTTAGCCATTATGCCATGGCAGCACCACTCTCTGAAGGTTTAATACTGGGCCTTTGCTTTATGAGCAGGTGAGAAAAAGTTGGCATAACACGTGTCTCTTATGCATTAAGAGAAATCTTGTTTGCAAAGTGCAGGGTAATAAATAACATTGCTAATATTTTTAGTGCAACTAAATGAGAGCCCATTGAGTCATTGTAAACATAGACTTGGCTGAGCAGTGTAATGTCTTGGGAGTCATTTTAGTGATTTATTTGTGGCCAGTTTTCATGCAGGGATATATTTTGTCTTTACATTTCATGGACATAACTGTTTGCGCTGTGGACACTTGTCATTTCCAAATTAAAATTGTGCATGTTTCATCAAAAGGATCAATATCTGTATGTATGCAATATAATCTAACGATCAATAATGTAGTGTATTTGAATCTTAAAATGGAAGGAAATTAAACCCCCATTGTTTGCAAATGGTTAATATTCTTTTGAGGAGAATTATAACTGACTATATTATTATGCTGACAGCACTAATCCTGAGTGCATGCTATAGATCTGCAAAAAAAAACTAACAACATATGCTGCAGTAATTAAAACCCGTCCAGAGTTATTTCTCACTCCCGCACAGTCCACAACACCTTATGAGGCACTGCATTGTTTTAAATGTTGGCAAAACAGATGATGATTTTATTGAAATGTATTGTTTTTGGAATCTTCATGTACGGAACAATGCCACATATCCGACCTTCACAAGCTCCCATCCCCTGTGAACAATGAATCACCCACACCCAGTGTCGTAGCTGTGCCTGGTGTAACTGTAAATCTCTATCGACGTTCACAAATCTGACATTTTCACAAATATAATCAAGGTTTTTGGGTTAGATCACGTAAGTATAAATGCGTCGCAACCCTCCACCACCCGATACGGTCAATCAGTAAGAAATGTGTCACGTTAACAAAACGCCAATTAGTTACTTGTTCAGCCCACTGGTGCATTTGAAGAGTGAATCCAAATTGTATTACTGATTGGCCTTGTCGGGTAGTGGAGAGTTACGACACATTTATCCTTACGCGATCTAACCCAAACACCTTTATTATGAATAATACTGGTCGCGAAAGCCTACGTGTTAAAATTTTCACAAATAGTAATGTGTTCTTAATCTCGCGTGCATTCGCTTATTTCTCAAGTATTGTATGGTAAAGCGTTTTCTCATTTGATTGTTTTGTCCATTAACCTACAGCGTTTGTGCATGATATCCTAATTTCTATCGATGTTCACATATAATAATTTGTTCATACATAGCGTCATTCATGCAAATTGCATCTTAAAACCGCTGAGAATTTTGACCTACCGTACAAACATCTTACGATACAAAAAACGAACGTCACAGAAAAGGTTAAAAAAGAAAACCCTCCACAAATAAACAAAAACAAACCGTGACCAAGAGCATTGGGGCGATACAGAGCATGGACCACGTGGGCCAAAATCTATCAACTCAAGCGCTCAAGCTCCCGACATCGTTTCACGTTTCCATCCATTCCTCAGTCCCCAGTGAGTCGGATGTGTGACGTCGTTGTTTTGCAATTACCTCTGCGTGGTTAATTAAACGGATTCAGTAAGTCTTGCGTTGTTCTACGGTGGTTATGCTGGCTGTGATGGCGTTATGTGTGTTGTGTGTGGCTGTGTTTGGCGCAGAGCCGGTCTCTGAAAACTCGTCGAAGATTGCCTTCCACTTCTCGCGATCCAACAAGCTAGAAAACGAGAGAGAAAGAGAGACACACAAACAGATGAATAGAGAAGACCGATACTGGAGGATTTCTCCACAATTCTGGCTGTCGCCCTGATGAGGCTGGTTGTAATTACCAGCGAAATGTCGTACTCGAATTGCAAATGATGTGGGTTTATTCTTCAACACACCGGGTGTACTGAACTAGTAACTAATTGACATATTTTGTTTATGTGACAAACCTTACTAATTGGCTGCGTCGAGTGGTGGCGGGGTTAACAATACATTTACAATTACGCGATCTAACCCAAAAAACCCTCTTATGGATAATATTGGTCGCAAAAGCCTGTTAAAAAGAGAATAGATCAATTAAAAACAACACCTATGGGGCAATTATTCTGGCATTAAAGGGGCACTTCTAGGGATTCTACAACCAAGTTGGGGGCACAATGAGTACATATTTCACAGTCTCGCCAGAGGTAAGATCACTCCCCTGTCCTGTCTTTCACAAACTTTGCCATATTACTTGCCAATTAAAAATTCTTAATTTCTGTGTGATGATGCAGAGAAATACATAGCTTGTACTTCCTAATGCCCGCCTCCTATCGCCACACGAAGTCCCTATCGATCAGCCTCACCCGAATCAACTTCCCAAAACTCTCTACTCTGCTTTGATTTTTTTCGTGGCATCGGTTATCAAGGTACACGTGTGTACCAGTGACGCGCTAAAGTTCCAGCACACGCAGGCAGGGGGCACTGGCGTAGCGTGGTTGTCATGAGCCCTGGAGTGTAAATAATGGATTGGTGCCCCCTGTCTGTCATCCGGTGCCTGAGCCAACCTCCGGCCAGTCGGTCCCGGGTGCAGTTACACCGCCTGCGCACAGGATCGCTACGCCACTAGCAGTGGCCTCCGTCTCAGGTTTTCCAGCCAAGAAATCCATGCAACCTCCGGGGGAGGACAATGTCTGATGACAGCCAACGTTAGCAGCCACTGGCACATGATACATCGTCTTCACTTCTTTTGTACACTCACAAATAAACCATGTGCTCATGCCAACTGCAGTTTAAAAAAAAACAGAGGTGGAGCTCGCTGTCCACCGATTCTGGAGCCACGGTGACATGCCACTACATTGTACACACCTTCGTCATAGTCCAATATATGTCACCAGCTTGTGGTTCCAGTTAGAGTAGTGTTCTTACAAATGTTCAGAGGGGGTTACTTTCGCCGATAAGACATCAGTGTGAGGGCCGCCACACCGCCTGCAAGGAGTATTTTCACATTTATGTACTGTCGGGGGCAGCACGCCAGGCCCCGCACTAAAGGCCACCAGGGGCCATGAGTAGCCCGTGGGCCTTGCAATGAAGAACACTGAGTTAGAGAGACATATCCGGAGAGCAGGGGTGGGGTAACCCACGGACTGGTGGACACACGAGGCCAGCATTTTAGCCGCACGAATCGGGTACTAGAGGGGAAGATGTTTCAACCTGGCAACAACACCGTTTCTAATTTTAGCAGTCTTTTCACCTGTAAAAGTGAGCCGTAATTCTATTACTATTACTCAATAACGCTAAGGCGTGTGTTAACGTGTGGCCCTATGCCGAGAGTTTTTTGAAGTCATATTCGGCCCTCGGCAAGGAAAAAGTTTCTCCACCCCTGCCTGGTAGAGCTGAACACCTTTAAATAAGACGAAGACCACGTCGCTATATGGCAATACTTAACCATACACTGTAATGGTCTAACGTCACTAGGTGTGACACTTTTAGGCTTTATATTATTCAGAAAAGTTTTTGTTAAATGTGGATATCATGTTACAGTATTTGACTTCCTGCAGAATCGCACAAATGTATTTAATATGTTAACCTTCCAGAAATTATTTCCATGAAAATATGGTATATAATATAGATGAGACTATACTGATGCTTTGCATATATTAACCAAAAATGACTTCAAGTACGTATATATACAGTATGGTAATAACACGATAGATCCTATTTGCGTTCTTGCTTTAATGAGGCATTGCATTAGTATGACAGATATTGCCTTGCAAAACGTTGACCGATGGAAAACACTCAAAAAATCTAAAGATAAAATTGTCTCCCTGCGGAAATGAGGTGGTCGCAATCTTTTCCCTTTGGTGGTACTGAGCCATTGGCAGAAATTCCACATTCCTATGATGGGTATCAGTCGCAACATTGGTGTACATTATTTCAATGAACTAGCTACTTTAGCTAAGAACAATCCAAGGTACCTTCTCTTTTGAAAGTGACTTTTTTAACGTGACTTCTTAATTCATTTTTATACACAGTACTGTATACAAATGTAAACTTCTATTTGTTGTTTGATTAATTTGTAATCACCTGAGGAGCCTGTTCATAACATCTGTAGCATTCACAGTTGAGCGCCTCCCTGCTTAAACTAGCATTGGGGTGGCACTCATCTGTACTGCCAGGCCCGTGTCAGCGGTGCAAATTCTACATTCCCATGGCAGAGCCAGTCTTTCCATAGGACAACCACTGTTTACGTCCCACAAAGTTGTACGGTATTTATTTATCAACCCCATAAGAATGATGGGCTGAGTCAATCCCGAACGGGATTGTTCCAACCCTTTAGTCGCGACATGAGAATGTCTTTCGGTAAAGTCAAGTAGAAGGGAAACAATAAAATAATCAAAATATAAAACAATAAAATTCTCACGACGTTTCGACTGCAACACAAGCAATCATCATCAGGTGTGAAAACCACAGCAAGATGATTGAATAATGATTGCTTGTGTTGCAGTCGAAACGTCGTGATAATTGTATTGTTTTATATTTTTAGTATTTTATTGTTTCCCTTCTACGTGACTTTACCGAAGGAACCAATAATATGAATCCCTGCAGTCACGAAAGCTTTAAATCAAAATTTATGAGAATGTCTGTCAAAGTGCCATCTGGGTACTTGCGTTTACAGTATATGACAGGCAAGCCTTATGAGAGATTAGGAATGGGGTACAACTTCTACTGGGACTCCAAGCTCAGGGGGACCCCCAAACAAATTATAAGATTTTTTATTTATTGTTTTCATAGAGAATTATGATGCCTTCCAGTCAACATTTTGTACCATTGCCCCAAATTTCTGTTAACGGGCCAAATGACAAGTGGTGAAAACATTTAAGAGTCATAAATGAAGAGGAGTTTGAATCCAGATTTTAGCCTCCACTAATTCAACTGGGTTTTAAAATATAGTGAATTTATGGTCTCAACCTGGTCAATAATGCACGAAAAACATAAAGTGAAATTTAGCTTTTCATTTAATTTGGCGACATCCTTGAGAGTTAAGAAAGTGATATACACGTCTCTATAGTGGAGCATGTATTTCAGGACCCTGAGTGCCGATAAGAGGTCACTGAAAGGGATCTCAGAAGTAGTTCTATTATATCTGCTTTTGTAGTCCTTTCTATAACAAGTGCGCTGTTCTGCGAAAGTTGTGAATGGACATTTCATCTCATGATGTATGATGCTGAGAGCACAATTAAAAAAAGAGAGAAATTATTTATAAAACAAAAACTTCGGCTTCATTTGAAACAAACCGAACAATCATTTGGACTAAAGTTTTTGCCTTTTTTATAATATTATATGTTAACTTTTAAAATATTACAATTAAATGCACATAATCGTATTGTGTTAATATTTAATTTATTGCTATCAAATGCTTTGGACCACCCCAAACATATATGCTGTATATTATCAACATTAGTGATCATTTATCCACTAATAGATGGCGGCCTCTCCTTAATGTCACAGTCCTTTATGAGGCCCTGCGATGCCACAGTCCATCAGCTGCACATGAGCTGATCTTATCGCTCCATTTCCTCGATGGGTCATCCTATCTGGCGTGCTCTCTCCTTTGGCTGCTATACCATCACCATCAATCAGACATCATCTCTTTCAGTGATGTGTCCTGGCCAAGCCTATCTACTTTCCTTAACACTGAAACATTGTGTTATATGAATATGAATGCTTTAAAAGCATTGTGATTCATAATTCATGAGGTGAGATTTTTTTTACAGCATCCATTCAATCAGCAGTGCAAACATGCCATGCATGTGCTGTCATATGCAGCTGTGCTTTGCAGCAGAACAGTTATTACGTACTGCAGTGCTTGCCAAATTGATATCCACAAGCATCATAAACTGATAAACAACTAATGTTATCAAACGCATATTCATTAAATTATTTTCAAATGGAGCCAAATGTTGTACAGTCTTTGATATTTATTGCAATATTCATAAGATGCATCTAAGCGTGCGTACTCTTAAACATAAACATGTCCTCTGTTTGCCCAGGAACGTTTCACTCAGTCTCAAGAGCCTTCTCTAGAAGGATCTTGGATTTGGATGTTTATCTAACTCGATTAATGATTAGCCTGCTGAAGATAACTAGGATACCTGGAGAAAACCCCATACATATAAGAAGAGCATTACAAAGTTAAGAGTCGAGAATACATTGTTGTACTGCCATCTCCTGGTGACCTTATGCTTACAACACCTGGTGTTCTCAGGCAGTCGTCCATCCAAGTACTAAACTGACTCAACTCTGCTTGGCTTCCGAGGGTCTCGTAAAATCATAGCTTGAATAAGCAACACAAGGCGTGTTTATCATACAAGCTATGTTTTAAAAAATATATAATTAGGGAATCCTGCTTATTACATTACAGTTGGTTTATCCATTGAGCATATAATGGAATGTCCTTGCACTCCCGTGGAAAAAGCACACCACAGAAGCATGAACTATAACCTGTGACGTTGGAAGCAAGTGTTCCTACCACTTGGCCAGTTAACCATCCCTATTGTTCATCGCTGCATCCTAGCATCGGGATTGTATAATATTGCCCTTTCTATAAAAGGTTCTGTTGTAGACAATAACGTAGCCCCTATGCAGTGACGTAGCGTGGTTGGCATGGGCCCTATTGCAAGGAATGAAAAAATGAGGATCCACCTGGTCATCTTCCCTCCTCTACGTAGCTCGGCGCCTGAGCCCTGCAGATGCACCGCTTGCACACTCAATTCCTACGCTACTGCTCCTATGGTAACTGACTTGCTGTCTTAATGTTTTCAATGGCATTCACACAATACTGTATAGCTGCATGAGACTAGCACAAGCTTTGGTATGCCATCTCAATGAGCCCTTATATGTGAGGGTTTGCATACTTGTGTCACACACTGTCCTATCTAAATATCCATATACTGCAGGGTTGTCTTTTTTTTCAACTTCCATGGCACAACCTCCTATTTTCCAAGAACCTACAACCCCTGTGTAATTTGAAGTTCACAACATTTGCTGTGTATTTATATTTATTCAGTCAGACTGATTTGGGTTTTCGTTGACAAAGCACTTATTACAGGACTGGAACCAAGCTTGAGAAACAGCTGATTAGTCGTATAAAGGAAGCAAGGTTTTTAGATTTGAATATAGCCTGGGAACAAGCCTGCGAAAGACAAACAAAAACCCAACCAGCAGGTTATACAAGCTACGCTCTTAGGACTGTGACTAGATATGAAAAAAGACTGGACAATGTTTCTGATTTTCCAGCAGTTATGCTGAGGTGGAAACATGGTTGATGGATATAATTTGGAATGCTTTGGCTGACCACTCACAACGGTGTGTTTTTGAAACGCGAACATGGTACGTTGTTGGCAATTCATGGTTAATTGAATGGTGAGTTACGTTTGCAGTGTTTTTGCAATGTCATTGTTTGTGACTAAAATCATGGTGATATCATTAAAAAAATACACAGATGCCTTTTGGAGGTCTTGGCCCCATGTTAACAGCAATTTACGCTTAGAGGTCTTAATAAGTGTACTGGGAGGTAGTCAGACACGGACATAATTGGGAAAGCAGCGATGTATCATTGTGCAAAACTAGATGTGTTTGTTGCATGAATTCATATGCATTTAGTGTTGTGTGGGATATGTTTCCGAAAGCATTAGTAAAACGGTTAAACAATGGGCAAAACGTGTACGCAATACTGTATATTCGAGTGTAATAAAATGCTGGGATCACATTTAAAATGATTAACTTGGTGTTTTTTTGTGCATATCATTAATTACATGTTCAAATGTTGTAAAGGCTGCCAACGATAAACAAATATATAAATGACGATAAACTCCCATCAGAACATAAAACAGTGCAGGCCAGAAAATCACAAGTTTCAAACACACATAAACGTATACCTAAAGTGCATGTTCTCGTGCATTATGCGAAAGCCACCAACAGTTCCTGCAGGACTGCATTGCGGCCCTCTTGCCTTAGGTCACCTTCAAATAGGAACAAATGCCACCAACTGACAGGCATCAGCGAGACAATTGTTGGCCAGTTTGGCCAGTTTATTAGGAATCTACACAGTATGGGAATCGACACAGTATGGTCAACAATTCTCACTGTTGTAAAGTCTGTCCCTGAGAACCACATAAACAGTCAAGGCTCTTACTGGCAAATATACAAATGTAGCTGTACTGCCAATCGTTTGGATGAAACTGCTTGCAGTGTAGAACATATACATGTGAAATAGGCCGGTACATATATAATACCCCTGTATCATGCGAGTGTCACGCTACCATATTTTCATGCTACCACTTTTACCAATCCCAACCCACTCAACCACTCGCCCCACAGAGTGGCCTTCTAAGACGTACCTTTGTTGACACATTCGTATATTGGTCACCCTACATCTCTTTAATGTTTCCGTAACTTAACAATAATTGTACTGTGACCGGTATAATAATAATGTAACCGAGCCGACTTCATTGAACACCGATTTACGTTCGTGGAATATTTATGATTCCTCATGTGACGCCCGATGTTTTTTGCTCCGATTTGTATTGACTTAAATGATGCACTCTGTTTAACTTTTGTAATTTTTGATGACCCGGGTCACTCATGTAAATGAGACTCAACCCGGTGAATTAAAATAAGCTTTGCATGACCTGCCTGACGGGAGGCCCTGGTCACTCACTGCTCATCGCCTGTAGGGCATGCCGAGTGGCGAAGCAAAAACCTGATTTTCACAAGCGCTTCATGGGAGACACCGGGACAGCCCGTCTGAAATCACGGGGAATGACACAATCAAACCAGGACGTTTGGCAGCTTATAACCATCTTCCCCATCATCATCATCCACTGCAAGCATCGCACCGTATTCATACCTGTCCACCCTTATTACAGACCGATCCAGACCTTAGTGGTCACCCCGTGTCCCTTATAAATATCCCATCACAAGGAAGAAACACAAACTAATAAACAAAAACATTTAAATGGCTGTACGCCGTATGGATCTGAAAACTCAATTTCCCTGTACAAGAATACGGGGTTAACCGTATGGTTTACCCCGTATTCCCCTACAGAAGTTTGTCCAGTGCCGGATTAAGCTAGTGCGGGGCCTGTAGCATATTTTATAAATGGGCCCTAAATTAAAAAACACAAACAAACATTAAAACACAATTTTTTTCATTTGCTATACAACCAGATAATACGACAAATCGCTAACCTTAAACACCCAGTCGGTCATAAAAAAGTATAGTACTATAGCAATAGAGCAAGTGCAGAATCACTGAACCGGAATTGATAGCTGGAAAACATTTAGCACGGGGCCCTTGAGAGTGCGGGGTCCGCAGCTACATGTGTAGTGTTGTGGATTCAGGAGACGTCGGAGACGGTTCTTGGAGGCAACACTTTTTATTTAAACACCTCGCTCAGCAAAACAGTCCCAGAACACTCAGGGTTACTGTCCTCCTACACCTACTGTCTGCCTCCGGGCTAACGTGCCCTAACACAAGACTACTCTCAGGGTCCTCCGGCTATGGGTGCCTAGGGGGAGGCTATTCTAACTCGCCCCAGCCAGGGTGCGAGTTGCGACCCCTGACCCACTGGGCCCTTACAAGGACGTCGGGCCAGGGGTTCCCAGGGTCTCACCGCTGAGCCGCACAGAGTCCTGGCCCTGATAAGGACAGCGGGTCTAAGGGTCTCAGGGTCCTATCTAGGTGGTCTTCGGCTTTTGTCTTCAACTGGTGTGGCTACTGCATGTGTGGCTAGTGCATGCTACTGGGATAATCCGGCACTGAGTTTGTCCCACAATTGTCACGAACACATTATTTGGTGACGCTGCTGTGTAGGCAGCAGTGCACAAGCAACAATCAACAAACTCAACACATTCGTCGAAATATATATTTAAACAGTGACGTTTCGGGCAATGATCCTTCTTCATATCACGGAACGCGAGAGGGCAGGGAGACGGAGTGGATAATAACACATTCCTGCGGAGGCAGCTGGTAGGAACGTTGGGTTGCTCGGTCAATGGCCAGGGTCAACGGCGGCACCACGTGGTGTATTCCGCAAATATGCCCGACTGTGAGGGCGGGCACAAGCCGGCGTGAGTAGGTTACACGTTGAGTTTTATAAGGGCACCACGGGGTGACCAGCCCCTCCCCCCCAGCCCCACCCTCCCCACCCAGCCCCACCCAGCCCCTCCCCACCCTCTCCACCCAGCCCCGCCCCTCCCATTTGTGGATGCACGACGGACGGACACAATAATCCCCTGTGGGCTGGTGGTGTAACCAGGAGGTTCCTACCAGTATAAAGGTACAAACCTGTCAACCCCTTATCAGTGCTCTACCTTATTACAGACCAATTCAGACCTTATTGGTCACCCCGTGCCCTTATACATCTCAAAGTTCATCCTACAAAGCACCATCACAAGGGAGAAACACAAACAAATAGACAAAACACAAATGTTTTTTTTTTGCCCATATTGAAACGGCTGTTACGCCGTATGGACCTGAAAACTCAATTTCCTTGTTACAAAAAATACGGGGTAAACCGTATGGGTTGACAGGCGTGAAGTTGGAGAGCTGCACTTTACACCGTTAGACTTGATGCGAATTAGATGTTGTTAAATGTCAGCTCACGTAGAATACGCAGTGTGGCCAACTGGGTACAAATCGCCGTACAAACTTATTGAGTGACAACACGCACAACACGCACGCGCGCGCCTATCGCATTATAAGACGAAGGCGAAACATGGGAATTGGGTACTCATAACAACATTAACAAACAAAAAAACATCTCCGTTATAAAGTTTTAAAACATCGAGGCTACCGTAACTAAATCCACAGCAGTCGCGTGCGTTTATTATTAGTTTCGTTACGCAAACGTGCACGCTTATCAGTGTGAATCTCGTAGTGCACATCGGTATACGCCGCTATTGGCGACAACGCTGAGCGACGCCTCGCCCGCGTGAACGCCGCGGCCGCCTATGCGATCTAGCAAATCGAGCTACGGAAGCTCGCGCGGCGGGCGGCATAATTTTTTGCGTTTGCGTTTAGAGCGGCGGCGGCCTCACCGCACGATCGACTCGAGCGAGCGAAACGGCACAAGCGTGGCGTGTCTTTACGTGACTCGGATGCATAAAAAAGCAAACTATAGCCTACCAGACTACCGCGGCTAAACATGTGCGGTGATTAGTAGAGTCGGTGAGAGATTGAGCGTGCGACGGTGGTGGTGGTGATGTGAGCACGTGGCTGGTGGTGGTTCTCGTTTGACGCCATGCCCTTGACTGGGGCGCTGGGGGCGGACAGGCCTCGCTCGGCGTCGCTGTAACGAGTGGAGCGAATTAATCGGTAGCTTGTGACACGGTCGTTGTTGCTCGCTCGTCATGTTGGCGAGGAGCTCCTGCCTGCCTCTGGGCTCGCTGCTGGCCGGGTGTCGATGTCCAGGGTTCTGCGCGCGACCGCTGCCAACTCCGAGGGCCTCTTCGTGCAGGCGCTTCGGTGAGTCAAACTGCTTGCTCGTCGTGGGAACGTGGAGTGTCTCGCACCGGCTCTGTCGCTGGTGTTGTGATGCAGCGAGGTTGCGGCAGAGGCGCTTTCTTAAACCATGTGCGGTGTACAGGTCCCGTCGTGTTGGTCCGCTGGTGAAGGGGCCTCTCTCGCGCTATAGTGGTAGAGGTTATTTTGACCACACTTCTGGCAGGTCAACAACGCCCGTTGGTTAAATGCGGAGAGCGTCGAGGTGGAAGCATCAACGTACGGTGGAGAGAGAGAGAGATATATAAAGTGGAGTTTGCCGCTCGAATCTTCTGACAGCGTAGCCCTGCACACAGCCTAGCGGCTGTGAATAGTGGTGGGGGTGGTCGGGGTCACCCTTGCAAGTGCTGTCCAGGCTCGGGTCGCGATTTGACGAGATGACTTTGGGTCATTTTATTTTACGTGGCAAAAAAAAATCATCATCATTGAACGCCGTACCCGTATGTCCTTCGTAAATAATAACAAGCAGGGGCGCCCATTTATGGTGAAGTGTCTCTTTTTCTTTCAAGAAACCACACTACGGGAAAGGGGGTACCCGGGTACTGCAATACCCTAGGTCACGGGGGTCATGTTAGGGGAATAGGAGGTAATCGTAGGTAATAGGGGAAAAGTTATCTATGGGAAACTGAATTTAGGCCTGCACTTAAAAGTGGAAGAGGGAGGTCCAGACCTTTTTATACAGCAGAGGAGAAGGGGCCGACCACGAGAGTTGTTGAAACTAAGACTAATAAGTGCGGGGAAAGTGTTGAGTGTGGGCTTGTGAACGGACGAGAGGGAGTTTGCAATGCGGAGGCCTTGGGGGGAGGGGAATGCCAGACAGTAGGAGCAGCAGAGGAGAAAGAGCGACCATCGGGGGGGGGGGGGGGGGCGAGTGTTCTTGGAGAAGTAAGTAGTCTGCTACAGAGGGGGAAAAGGTCTTAATCTCGGACTTAAATATGCCCCGGAGCGATGTGATCAGAATCAGAATCTTTATTTAGACTGGAGGAATCCGTTGAGCTATGGAGTGTGTTTTCCACTGATGTCCAGATCCGCTCATGTGCAGGAGCGAGATGGATTTTTGCATCTCAGGCCGTGAGGGATGGCGACGGCGAGCGAAGGCCTTCAACCAGCAGTGAATAAAGCATGTGTGATGACTTATCTTAATTGTAAAGTGTATTCGTGTAAAGCATAAACATGGCCTGGATGCGTGCCAATTATAAATACATTTTTAATTAACAGTGTGCTGCCAACGTTTGCTGTTCGCAGTAAAGTAGATGTTAAAACAGCCCGTTGTCAAATTAATGCCCTGGCAGTATGCTTTCAAAATAGACAAACATTGCAATGCAGTATAAAATGAATACATTACGGCCATTAGATAACCAGGCAGGTTGTCGCCGTCTCTCCTGTAGATATTAATAACACAGTAACGATTGAGTACAGTTGGTATTCGCGCCATGCCTATAGCGCAAGGCTGTCATGAAGGGTTCTGCGTTTCACGTAGTTCGCGGAAGTTTCACTGTCGAGGACAATGTTCCCATGTGTAAACCCAATTGGATGATGTTTCGAATTTGCCTAATTTTGACCATGACACAGACACACAATGGCCTACTCGTTTCGAATGACGTCGGGGAACCTTTGACGTCCACTCCGCATATTTGATTTTTATATACTGCAGTAATGGCCAGGGCAGCCTATTGGATTCGAACCATGAACTTTCGCAAGAAGTGGAAAAAGCACTGGCTTGGTGATGTCACCGCCCCATTCACGTTAGCATTCTTCACTTGGACATTTGATGTGCCCTGTCATAGGAATATATCATTTACACCACTGTTTAACGACTCTGTAAATTATGTAAAAGTGCCAGGTGTACCGATCAACAAATTATTATTGGGTGGTTAACAATTTTAATTGATAATCCAAAGCAAGTGGTGGAAATCCTATAATCCTATGCCAGGAACCAATTTTTGAATGATGTTTGAATTTATATGAACCAGATAACATCAGTGAATCTCAAGACTTGTTTAATTAGGAGTATGATAACTCTTTAGCCTGTATTGAAATGTTTGATCATAAGCTTGAGTGAGTATTTGGCCGGTGAAAGGTTACCCTGAGAAAACCAATATGTTCAAGGGGATAACCTGCTTAAATAGTTGTAAATACATGATCTATTTTTATCTTGTTTGGCTTACCACGAAGTGGTTCTAATTTTTACGACTACGCTGTACACAGCTTGATGTTTTGTCCAAACCTTGGCTCAATTACAAATGTATATTTTTAAAATTCATAATGTATTCCAGTCAGAATGTAATTGTAAATGTAATTTCAATTAACATTGGAATTATAATTCTCCCCATGTCTGGCTTCGTTGGGATCATAACGCTGTCTGGGTACTCATTGGTTTTTGGCCTTATACACCACACACAGGGCTGAGTCTAAGCACTTTTGCACCTAACCAAACCCCTCTCTCAATCTCACAGGATCTGGCAAGTTAAGGCCGTTGTCAGCGGTGACAGGCTCGCTTCCCATGTGGTACGTGGAAGGTCTGCGCGGCACGTCACACTCGCGCCTCTCCTACCCGGATGACAGCGAGCTGCAGGAGGTGGTGAACCAAGTGGGCGACCTGAATACCAGGCGCTGCTTCATCACGGAGCCACGCGTGGCCCACTCTATCACTGAAGCCCTGCAGATCAACGAGGGTGACCAGGCCGTCGTGTTTGATTGCTCTGCAGGTCGGTTCCCCGGCAACAACAACAGCACCAGGGAAAAGGGATAAGGCTCTAGCTCATTGCTTTTGGAGAAAAGTATGTTATAGTGGTTGTCCGGTGGAGAGACCTGCCACTACCATGGAAGTGGATTTTTCACCGCTGGCCCTATTTTAAATGCTTAATGTCATTGTGGGGAGTGGTAATGCAATGGTTAGAGCACTGGACTTTGACTGTTGTGACCGAATTTTATTTCCGGCCATGGCTAACATCAGTGGTGAACGATATTTAAACTGGTCGTATACGTCACTTCCCTTTCACCAACCGACACTGATCAGTGTGCAGAGGTATCGGGTGAAACAACCTCCGTGACTGACACGAAACTGGAATGTCTTTGTCCAGGAGTGGATTGACAAAGGCCTGTAAGTTTATAATAGGAGTTTTTTGGGTTCGATCGCGTAAATATAAATGTGTCGTTAAACCCGCCACCACCAGACAGGTTTGGCTGTGTCGGGTGAACGGGTTTAACGACACATCCATATTTACACGATCTAACGCAAAGAAAATCTCTTAAGGGTAATATTGGTCGCGAAAGCCTGCATGTTAAACTGGCGTGTAAGTTATTGTAGAAGCTGAAAGCAGTTTTAGTATAACTTGAAAGTTAAACTGATTGCATTACACACCCAAGTGTGTATATGTGCTGTGGAATGAGTTTTTATCATAAATATTTTGGCATTTAGGCTTTCAAACAACTTTGCGCTTTTAATTCTAGCAACAACTCTTTTTTTACATTTAAAATATGTTGCACGTAAATGTATTAAGTTCATGGCAATATTGGTCATACTCATCAAGTTTGCTGGTGGGCAAGTTCGAAGATGATAAATTGCTTGGGGAATGTGATTTAAAATTTTAAGATGTCTGAAGCGTTAACTAAAAAATATCTGCTTCTATAAAAATTTTTAGGGCCTGGAATTTTAACAAGAGCACTCCTTAATTCTGGAGCCAATCGAGTGGTGGTACTGGAACGGGACAAGTTGTTTCTTCCTCCCTTGCAGGTGAGCCTTTTAACATGAGATCCACAAAGCTGTTTCCGCTTTGTAGATTCAGCCTTGTGATTTCTAATAAAACAAACAAATGCGGGCGAATTGCTACTTTTGTGATCTGTATTAATGGTATCTCTTGGAATTACATTGAAAGAGGAACACTTGGATAGAGAACATCCACAGGTAAATTACATTTTTGAAACTGGCAAATGGGCTTTAACAAGACACGTTACAAGGGCTGATTTACGGTCGATGATCTATTGGAAAAACACAGCAATCGCCCCGACAGCAAACGTAGTAGGACCCTCCTAAAAGAGTCTCGAGACTGAGGTGTTCCTGGGTCAATTTTGCGTAAAATATTATTGCTATGGTGTATCGCCCCCTCCTGGCTACTCAATATATGTACATAACCTGGCACAAGCGCCGCGGTGACGTCACCGGCACTTCGTGGCGAATGGCGGTTGTTGTATAATATCTGGTAACCCCAGGCAATTTGTTTTGTAAACTTGAACTATTTAAAAGCACTCAAACTAAAGCATGTGATGTTTGTGAAAACAACACGGATCATTCCACAAAGGTAAATTTTTTATCCTTACCTTAATTATAAATCTTCCATATTACTTTTTAAACAAAACATAATCTGCATCATTGCGAATCATATAAGCAACAAAATAAATAAGCAGACATATCTTTATAAATGTGTCCCTCCACATGAAAAATAAGTGTTTTTTTTACACTTCCTGTCAACTACAATGCCTTTTTAGAGTTCATAATTTCAGCCGCATTGGTTCAATCTAAGCAAACTAAACCTGTTTCAACATTCAGTGTCGCATTAGCAGTGACAGGATTTTTTTAAATCAAGCTACTGAAATATTTTCGTGAGATTTGGTCCATTTGAAATGGCTTTTATCTCTTCCAAAGCACCACAATGTAATGCTGTGCCGTGGGTGGCATAACAAGCATTGTTCAGCGGTGGATGCACACGGCACCTGTTGATTTGCAGTTGGACTCGACCTGTCTAGTGGGCAAACAATCACAGCGCCTGCGTTTTGATGAAAGCGTGTTGCTGCTTCATGGTGTTTTTGACAGCCGAAATTGTTTTCTTCCAGGAATTGGAGGAAAGTGCGGAAGGGCGCATGAACCTTTTTCACTGCGATGTCTTCAAGCTGGACACCCATGATGGGCTGTTGCGGCCACCCTTCATGAGCTCCAAGCAGCTGCAGGTCCAGCTGGGCCTTAAAGAGCGCTCTTGGAATGATGGTAAGCCAAGTTGGTGGCGTTGCATGTGGACAGTGTATGACAGTACAGCCAGTAGGTTTGTTAACTGTATTCACAAACGTTTGAGTGTTAGCGCCTGGAATTGTGTGGATTTTCTCCGGGTGCTCCAGTTGCTTCCGGGTGCTCCAGTTGCCTACAAGATTAAAAACACCTCTTTAAAAAGAGCTCGCCAAACATCCCAATACAGGACCCTCCCAAAAGTGTTGAAATTCATTGAGGTGGTTTTGGATAAGTTACATTATTTTTGATATAACAAATAGCACGACAACACAAACGTTTTAAAAGTGATCCCAACCTTTTCTCTCAGGTCTTCGAATATTTTAATGGCACAGCTTTAGGAAAAATTGTTCATGATTTCTGTATATGCCATATCATGCTGATCACAATGCCTGCTCTCCACAGAGATTCCCATTCGTCTGGTGGGCATTCTGCCATTGAGGAACCCTCGCACCATCCTTTGGAGGCTCATCTATGCCGCCTTTCAGGGAATCTCGGTCTTTCGCTTTGGAAGAGTAGAGCTCAACTTGTTCATAAGCGAGAGAGAATTGCAGGTAGGATGCACAGCCACTGCCAGCCAACCGTATGAACTATGACTACACTGTGGAGTCATAACCGTGGTTATCTTGTGGTGATAGCCTTTCATGGGAATGTGGAATTGCCTTCATGCTCGTATGAGCAGGGAGACTGACCTTTGGCTTGCACTCCTTGATAATAACAAACTTAACATATGGCAGGCATGTGTGTTGTTTGTTAGTGCCAATTTAATTGGAGTGAATTTGAGAGATTTTAAAAATATAACTGGTGTGGCCATTACCACACAAAAACATTGTGCGGCACAAAAAATCCATATCGATGTTTTGCATATTAGAATACAATGCAGTTTTAAGTGACCACGTCCCAGGACGATGTACAGCAAGTCCCCGCTTGACGCGGGGTTGAGGTTCCTGTAATTTGCTGCATTAAACGAATTCACGTTCAGCGGGAGTAATTATCCCATAAGGAATCATGGTAAAGGTGGGGGGGGTGCAGTTCCAGCCTGTAATTTTATGATCGTTTTTATTCTACAGTACACTCTTTTACATCTTTCTTTGTAAATGTGTGTGTTTATATAGTAGCTTTATACAAATGATATTTGTGACGGTCATTTATCTCCATATACATAAAAGGCAGAGTTGTAAATGTGTGTCTGTTCAAAATGTTTAGCGCACTTCCCAACATGCAACAAACTTGAAATTTGCCATGTGGGTACTTTGCAGACTGTACACCATGCAAAAATTATAAAAATACACTTTTTTTGGGGGGGGGGGGTGGGGGAGCTCAATAATGCATATATTTTTTGCACGGAAAGTGAGCTGTGACGTCAAATCTATCACGTGACCCGCGCATGTGGAAGCGTAACGCATTGTAGTGTAGTGGTTAGCGCGCTGCGCTACGAACCCGGCGACCCGATTTCGATTCCCGCTCACGGCCACCACCGGTGACGAGTATTTTTACCGGTCCTGGGCCTCCCCTAGGTCGACTCAGCCTCAAACGAGTAACTGGAGTGGTGTGTGAACATCGCCACTGGGGAGACAAAGGCGGCCGGGCGTGGTGAATCCAAGTCCCGGGCGAAGCCGGGTCGTAAAGCTGGTTTAAATATAAAGTATGTGTGAGAGAGAATATGGCGAGTGAGAAAGATGAGAGAGTGACAGCGATAGTTCACAATTGGTGAAATGACGCGACGCACACAAAGATGCGGAACAAAGAGTGAGGCAGAGGAAGGCACACTGTGTATCACAGCGCGCATCAGTATAGTCAGTACCAGCTCACAGCATCACCGAACAACGCTGTCAACACCAATGCCGCTCATAAAAGTAGTCCGTCACACGCTAGGATTGCGTTGTAGTGGGCGTGGTGCACGTTAAGCGGAAAACGGTTTCATCTTCTTTGGTTCTTTCGGTAAGTCGCGTAGAATGAGAATAAAATAATAAAATAACAATACAATTCTCACGACGTTTTGGCCACAACGCAAACGGCCGTCTTGCGTTGTGGCCGAAACGTCGTGAGAATTTTATTGTGTTATTTTATTATTTTATTCTCATTCTGCGTGACTTTACCGAGAGAACCAAAGAAGATGAATCCTTGCAGTCACGAAAGCTTTAAATCGAAAAGGAAAACGGTTTGTTAAAAAAACGCACTAAAGCAAAAACGCATTGTGCAAATGCGTGTTAAATAGGGATTCACTGTACATAATGGAATACGTGCGAACATTTTTTATGGTAAATACCTCAAATGTATTGTTGGTGTGCAGAGGTATCAAGTTAATGGTGTATTTTTGTACAGAAAATCAGATCGTCTCCTGGCTGCAAGAATTACAGTTCACTCAGCATATTGTGGCAGATAATGAGTGACATTACAGTGGTTTACCAGGTGAGCTGTTTCTCTTGCGCTTTCATGTCCTTGGAACTTTAAACTTTAAATTTTTTCATGCTTTAATGTTCAGTGAAGTTCATTACATGAATGTAAAATTTTGGTGAATTGGATGCCCTGCAGGAAAGAAAACAAGTTACTGTGATCATTACTAGTCAATTACTAGCATTTTAATTATTCTAAAGAATGTATAAACACCATTCAATGACATGTAAAGCCCGTGTAGTAGTTTCGGGTGTTGCCTTTTGTGTAACTCTCAATATGTGAAAACTAAATATTTACTGACTGCACCAACGTATGTACAACATGAGTAATGTGGTTCCAAATCATGTCCGTATTACATCAGTGATTTTTCAGCTTGTTTAAATTTTTTACATGCTAAAAATTAACTTGTTTTACATGCCAACCGAAAAGTTGTGGAATGATGTACAATAAACCGTATGTCTTGAAAAGTTATTTTATGAGCCTATGTTTGATTTCAGGAGTCTTTGACTTCAGTGGTGACATGTTCAAATAAGGCCCTGAAAACGGACTTTTTTTCAAATCATGTAAGTGAAAGATACATATGCTTCATGTTGTGCCACCTATTACAAATACACACTGTGTTTTAGTTGTAAGCGAGGGTACGGCATTGAAAGTTAATCTTCCAGTTTACATTAAAATTCTCAGCATTCATTAATATTGCAACACATGCGTATTGCTATAACTCAATTGCCAATTTAGCTCTCTGATGTGGTTTTGGGGTTGATGTTTGAAATGTTACTCTACATGCTGTGTGCTTCAGGAACTGAGTTTAGTCTTTAATTTCCAAAGCTCACAGCATGTAGAGAGAAATGTCAGACAATGTGCCGAGCAACATGTTATACAACCCGAAACACATCGGGACTATACAGCACAACCACAAAAAAACTTCTGTAGTCGTATGCTAAAACATGCAACTCTTCATCTAACTTAACAGGTCGAGGCTGGAGAAAAGCTATGCCTCATGCAGCTGAACCCAAGGCGTGAAATCACCAGTGTCCTTAACTACCACAGCATGGACCGGTTCATGGCCATGATAAATCACTGCCTCTCGCGGCGCAGGAAAAAACTCAAGGATATACTCAAGTGAGAGGCACCTTTGAAATATTTGCAGATGTCGGAGGAGACCTATATTGTCAATTTAATTCTTGTTTTCCAACTCGGGTTGAAAATGTTAATGCATAAACTCTGTCCATCTGTCTGTAATGGGGGGTGAGGGCATGATAACGCATATAAAAAAATAATCCTATATAAAACACTTGTGTTGCTATTAGGGACTTGCTCTCTTGAACAAGAGTCATATTGATCAAATGGTTTCCCATGCCCTTCCTGGCAGAACTACAATACGAGCCCTATTAACTAATTGCTACCTATGTGGACATACTGCTTCATGCATGCCTGTATATGTAATGCAAACAACTATTGGTAATCTCTTTTGATGGTAACATTGCTTGTAACTTTTGTTATTGTCATATATTTTGTATTTTAGCCTTTAATATAGGTTTTTGGAAAAATGTATCATTCTGTATCATAATAAAAGTTTCATTACAAGTTTTAAAAAGTGTATAGTTTACGGTGTTATGGACATTTCTAACTTGCACGTGTGGGTGCATGTGTGTGCTTCTTTCCAGCCTCTGGAATCCCGGGAGTGGCGAACTTATCATGGCGCAACTTGGGCTGTCACCAGAAGCGACCTCGGGCACAGTGTCGCCCAGAGACTATCTGCGACTTTTTGAAATTATTGAGCTGTCTGAGGGCTTTCGCTCCAGCTGGCTTTACACGGAAAGCATGGACAAAGTGATCTATTAATGGCTGCGTGCTGAAACCACCGACGTCTCCGCAAGGTCATAGGAAATTAGGATAATCCCAGTCAGATGGAAGAGAACGTCTAAAATGACGTTTGCAGGAACTTTCCAAAGTGATTAAGATGGAACACTTGGTATCCCTACAAGTGTGGATTTTTTTTAGGAGTATTGTGCGAAGCTCCTTTTGATAGAGCAGTGTGCTCACAAAAGGATCTACATTGTAAAAAGGAACTCATCCGCAGAAAATGGGACAGTGAAAATGTAGCAGTTAAAAACCAATGAGTACAGGGTTTTCTCTGCCATGTCGACAAATCAACTTCAAGAATGCTTCGATAAATTACTATAAATAGAATAAATTTCACATGCTGAACTGTACCACGGATGTTATGAATGGGAACTTGAAAAGATGGTCATCTTCATACCTTTGCTAGGTCCTCAGTGCTGCACAAAACGGTGGGCGATTATATTTTGCTGGACAAACAAGGCGTACTATATTCTTGGTTCTTTCGGTAAAGTCACGTAGAAAGGAAACAATAAAATAATGTTTTTATAATTTTATTTCCCTTCCAAAATAATGTTTTTATTATTTTATTGTTTCCTTCTACGTGACTTTACCGAAAGAACCAAGAATATGAATCCCTGCAGTCACGAAAGCTTTAAATCAAAATTTAAGGCGTACTATGTTCATGGTTCACAACTCATTATTATGGGTTGTATTGTGTCATGTTAAACATGTATCTTTACCAGATGTTAGATACCATTATTCAGTCTAGGTTTGTAAATGTTATATTAAAGGTGTGGCTGTAACATAGTGTATTTTTAAATTTGCTTAGGCTTTATTGTCTTTTTTTTCAACATCTACAAACCATGACTCGATCGCAATGGCGTTAACCAGAAAATACCCAGTGTAAGACATTGCTATGAATTAAAAAAATATTGTAATCGTCAATGTGGCTGTACTATTGCAGGATGTAGTGCATACTCAAAAATATAACTGCTTTCACAGGATTGAATCCTACAGATGTGCAGTAAATTATGTGCAGCATTGAAAGTGTATGCTACCTACTGTTACGTGGCCACTAAAAGGAGTATTGCATTTGTAAATGTATGCTTTTTTGCCATTGTCATGTGACAAATGCAACTAAAATATAGTGAGATAATTATCCAGGTCTTGATAACAGAATATATTGTATTCCAGCAGGTACTTAGCTGGTTCTAAATAAATAAATGACGGTTGTGGTAAGTTTGAATCGCTGGCAATTTTTTGGTGGATAAATGACATGTCTGTTAAACAGATTTTCATCCTTAATCAACTGTGTACTGCATTGCTATTATTTAGATCGTTGAATACTGAGCTATGCTATAATAGCTCATTTTTACAATATTCACCATAAACTTTGCCACTGGTTGAAAGGTTGTGACCTGCATTTGTGATGAAGGATTGCTGCTCGGTTGCTAAATGCCTTTGTAATGTAGAGCAAGCGTTTGCTTTTTGCAAGAAACAACATTTTTGTGATTGTTTTACCATGTGTGGGAATAAAGCATAATCTCGTGCTTTATATGGTGCATAAACATGTGATGGTGGTTTGTGTGGCTTCGTGAGCTTGCAGATTACGTTCAGTATAAATTTCGATTGAAAGCTTTCGTGACTGCAGGGATTCATCTCCTTGGTTCTTTCGGTAAAGTCACGTAGAAGGGAAATAATAAAAAGATTGGTTTATTTTTATTACTTTATTATTTCCCTTCTACTTGACTTTACCGAAATAACCAAGAAGATACGTTCAGTATGTTAAGTGTTTTTGCAGTTATACACGGCATTACATGTACAGCCCTTTGTCACTCAACAGCTATGTAAAGGCCACCTTACACCGTATGGGTTTTTTAACCATACAAGTTTAATTCGGTGCGGGTTGGTGACCGTGAGAAGCATAATAGACCTGGAGGCATTGAAGTACAAAATTGCATATGTATGTTGAATTTATTTCGCACTGTACGTAGGCATCCGTGCTAATCAGAAGTGCACATGATTACAGTGGCTTTTGCAATGTCCTCTGCTGCCCATGATGTAGACCTGCATTCTGCTAACATGCTTTGCATGGTGGTTTTCCATTGCAGCCATGAGATTGCGTGCAAGGCCCAGGTGATTTTGTCATACCCTTAAGGAAGACAACTTACGTTTATAGATTGTTTTCAAAATAAACAGTCCATCTCTCCGCATTACAAAGGTCTTACAGCTCCGCAGCATGAACTCAAGACACGCAAACTGCATTGGTTTTGACACTGTCTCAGCAAAGTCAGGCTGGAATCTGTTGGTGAACTGCCAGTATTGCTGCAAGGAGAACTCCTTTACGATGTGGGTCGTAGTACCATGTGAATAGTTAACTCAGTTCAATTTGCATTGCAATGTTTTAAACAAAATTGTGTTTTTGAAGATGCTATTTTTGTAGCTATGTGACACTACATATTAACTGAACTTGGAAAATCTAATTTTTGTAAATCTAAACTCCACTGTGTCAACATTTAGGGTATGCATAGTTTCAGAGCCGATGAGTAAACATCTTAAACAAAGCTGGGTGAATTTTGGCATATTTAATAACACCATAATATTTTCATTACTAGTCTTGCATCAACGTGTCAATATTAATTGGTTGTTTGGCCTCGGTTGTGGGAATATATATCATGGCCCAAATATCCGAATAGTAACCATATTGCTGGACGGTATTTGTATTTTGAGTACATGTGCAGCAGTCTGACAATCCGTTACTGGATGAGTATTCCCTACACCAGGTGGTTCATGAGGATTATTTGGTTATACTTCAGACTGAGTCAGTCTCCAATACTTCAGACAGCCAGTCTGAAGTATTGGAGGCACAGAGCAGACGTTACGATATTGTACCATACTCTTTGGTTCTATTCGGTAAAGTCACGTAGGTAAAAAATAAAACAACAAAAATCACGTTTCGTATTGTACCATACAACTATGTAATATAACAGTCATTGGCGTCGTTGTGGAGAATATAAGTAACAATGGTAAGCAATATATCAAAAATATATATCATAGGCTTGTCTGCTACGTCGTGATGCTGTCGTTTTTAGGATTGAATTTTCTCTAATGACCGTGTTTCTAAAATGGCATCGGTAGCATGCACTTATTCAACAATTTCTTTAGGCACGTTGAAAAGTGCTCAAATACGCGATGCATAGGTGCATGTTTTGAATTACTTTTTGGGAAAGCAAGAGGAACACGTAAATTTGAGGACATAAGCAGGTTAAAGGTGCCGTTATGTTAAGTCTCAATTTGAGCATGACATGTCGGATGGTGGCCGGTCAAGAAAAATACTAGGAGTGGCAGCCAAGGAACATAACTCATCCGAGAGGACATCCACTTCGGAGATTGAGTGCAGAAGTCGGCACATGTGCAGGTGGAAGCAATTTGAAATTTTCATCGCAGAATCACCGTGAGAGATATTGCATGCGTGAGATGTTAACTATCTCGCCTGGTAGATAGGAGATCGTGGGTTTGATCCCGACCCTAACGCCGATATATTTGGAATTCGCATGGATTTTTCTCTGGATCCTCCGGTTTTCCCCTCCACATTTTGGCGTTTAATTTATATTCTGTAAATAATTATTAACATTATTTGGCTGCGATAAATTTCCACGTGAAAAGCCACTTCGTTGAGTTATCGTTTGTGGCCAGGTCGCCTCTGAAAAATAGCTACACAGCCTTAGCTGTTAAAATAACAAATAATAAGTAGGGCGAAGCCTTCGTCCGGGAATGTATACTTTAAACCAGGGGTCTCAAACTCAACTTACCTGGGGGCCGCTGGAGGTAGAGTCTGGGTGAGGCTGGGCCGCATCAAGTATTCCAAAAAAAAGTACAACTGATCCAATCTTCTCAATCTTTATTAATAACAGTTAAGAACATGAACGGTTCTTCAGAACATAGGCTTCTCTTACCTACTCCTTGCTGCCAGAGACCTGGCAGCACTTCCTCTTCTTACACAGCTGAGCCACATTTGGCTTGAGGGAGCAAGCAATTGAGACCCTCAGTATGGCTTGAAGATGCTCATCAGTAAGTTTGGACCTGTACTTTGACTTATTAAAGTTCATGGTGCAGAAGAGCTTTTCACACAAATATGTGCTCCCAAAAAGGCACATTGTCCGCTTGAACATCCTGGAAAGCTCAGGGAAGGTGGGGGGAAATTCTCTCAAAAATTGTCCAAGCTTGTCTGCTTTTGCACTCACCTCCCTGAACTTGGCTTTGAGTTCAGAATTGCACTGCAGGTCAATTATCTCCATTTGAAGCACAGGAGGGGCATCTTGCACATCGAAGGAGAAGGGGTCAGCAAAAATTTGAAAAGTGGCTCTGTGTGTCTTGAAGTCTGCAAACCTGTGATCAAATTACTCCTGTAGCTTTACAATGGCATCAGCATACTTCTCACCACTGAATGGTGTGCCCGTGTCCATGAGTGCCTTGCATGCTGTGAAATGGCAGAGGTTTGTCTGAGAGAGCTGGGCTTTCCATAACACAAGTTTTGTGGAGAATGCTCTGACTTTGTCATAGGCAGCACTGACAAGCTGCCCCTGGCCTTATAACTTCTTGTTCAGTACATTCAGCTCCTGTGTGATGTCAACAAGAAAGGCTAAGTCCATGAGCCATTTGGGATCACTCCATGAAGGCTTTCACTTCTGCTCTCAACTCAAAAAACCTCTTCAAGACGTTTCCCCTGCTGAGCCAACGTACCTCGGTGAAGTAGAGCACATCCTCATATGCTGACACTATTTCCTCTAAAAAGGCGTGGAACTGCCGGTGCTTTAAGCCCCTGGATCTGATATGGTTGATGCATTTCACAACGACATACATCACATTTTCAAACTTCAGGCATTTGCTGCAAAGGGCCTGCTGATGGATAATGCAGTGCAGAGCAATGGCCTCGTCCACACCCTCCTCTTCCAGTTTTCTTTGAACAAGTGCCACCAGTCCATTTCCCCTCCCTGTCATCGATGGCGCCCCGTCGGTTGTTATTCCAGCGAACCTCTTCCATGGTAAACCGGCATCCACAATGGCATCACACGTCTGGCGGAATATCTCCTGAGTGGTGGTCTGGCCATGCGTTGGATTCACTGTGAGCAACTCTTCCGTCACTTCAGAATTGTCGTCAGCACCACGGACATGCATTGCGAGCTGCGAAGTGTCAGTGATGTATGTGCTCTCATCAAGAGCGACTGAGCATGCACGGAAATGTGTTGGCTTTCTCACGCAGTTGATCGTATATATGTTACCCCGACAGGTCAGAAATGCGCTCTGCCACTGTGTTTGCTGAAAGGCTGATGTTGCTAAACTGACCCTTCTTTTCCGGACAGACTATACACTTGCAGCCTGTAACATGCACTTTTTGATGAACTCGCCGTCTTTGAATGGCTTTCCCGCCTTAGCAATCATCTCGCTCACCACGTGGCTAGCTTCGACTGCTGCATCACTCTCTTTGCTTGCTTTCTTGAAAACAATCCTGTTGCCTAAGTAGACATGTTTTAAGATTTGCGACCCGGTCCTCTCTCTCATCTCCCTGGTATGTTGCATACTCCTCAGTATGTCTACTTAAGTAATGACGTCTGATGTTGTATTCCTTGTGCACCGCAGCTTTCTCTGTGCATATAAGACACGTCGGGGTGCCCCTGTGGCTCAACAAACAAAAATATTCCGTCTCCCACTTTTCCTGAAATTGTGTGTGCTCGTCGCCAACCCTTTTCTCTTCACAGCAGGTTTTGAGAGAGACATGACTGGGGCTGGGTGACACAAAAAAAAAAAAACACTTAATAATAATAGATAAAAAGTTACTAAAAAAAACTACCGTAATATCCGGACTATAAGCCGCTACTTTTTTTACACGCTTTGAACACTGCGGCTTAAACAATGATGCGGCTAATTTATGTTTTTTTTTACACAAGCTTCATGCCGCCAAAACCAATTAAATTACCAAACAGGCCAGAGTGGACCAATCAAATGCACTCGCACTAAATTCTTCAGATCAGTCAGGAATGCATATGATGCAGCTTTCAAGTTAAAAGGCGGTCGATCTGGCTGTCAAAGAAGGGAATAAGAGCTGCTGCACGTAAGCTTGGCATCGATGAATCAATGGTGAGACGTTGGAGACAGGCAGCGTGATGACCTGACTCAATGAAAAAAAAGACGACAAAAGCTTTCAGAGGTCAAAAAAAAAGCAGATGGGATAGGCTACAGCTCCTACCCCCCCATGACCCTGATTAGGACAAAGCTGGGATAGAAAAATTGATTAACTGTTCCTGGTTGGGTACTGTTCGGAAAAAAACATTTACAGTACGTATTCGTGTATGTTACCGGTACTATTTAATTAAAAGTTTTTTTAAAAAATCTTTCTGTGTAAATATCTCATGTTACAACGTGGACACCTGTGGCTTATAGACAAACGCGGCTTATATATGTACAACTTTATTTTTATTTTTAAAGTTAGTGGGTGCGGCTTGTAATCATGTGCGCTCAATAGTCCGGGATAATTACGGTACTATCAATGCTTTGGCTTCTGCCTACCATACACTTTTACAGCGCTTTGGTCACCCTTAAGGCGGGCATTCCATTGAGATATATTTACATTTTTTATCCCAATACCTGAGTATTTGGGATCTTATTTAGTATGCCCTTTCTATATATTCTGAGAGGTATTTGAGAACTTTATCAATGTTTATAGATTTTTTTTAGCACTTCGTTTTTCTTATCATTAAATTTATCAATCGTGTTCTCTCTCAGGTATTTATACCTTTCACATTCATAAATAAAGTGATATAGATTTTCTTCTTTTTGTTTACATCTTACATATCCTTCTGCTCTAACAAATCTCTCTGGATGCCATTGAGCTAACTCTGGTGTCCATGTTACTCCACCTGTCTTAATTCTTAACATCAAGTGCATTGTCTCATGTTTTATATCTTTGAATTTATTGCTCTTTTTGATTAAATTGTTCTTGGTAAATTCGTTTTCTTTTGCGATTGCACATATCTGTCCTTTGTCTTTATCTTTGTTTCTCTTGTAATAATAATCTTTAACTTCTTCTTTATAATATTCAGGTTCTAACCACCATTTTGCTTTTGTTCTTGCCACCCACCTCGTGCTATTTGCTATCCATGTAATTATTTTCCCTTTCCTATTGCAACACTCTGTTGTCTTTATTAGGTCACTGATTACTCTTGTTGAGTCCGCTCACTTCCCAAGTCCTCTGTACCTTGCACTGGGTGACAGGATATATATTTTCCTTCCACTTGGTGTCACTCCGGAATCACGTTTCAACCAAGTGACTAACGTTGCTAATTCGCGTTGGATAACTTGTCAACAAACACCGGAAGCTGTCACGAGCCTGAGCTATGGTAAAAAAATATTTAAAAAAGAAATAAAAAATTGATGTCAAGTAGGGGGCCACAAAATATCGTTCCGCGGGCCACAATTGGCCCGCGGGCCGCGAGTTTGAGACCCCTGCTTGAGTGTTTAAACGCTTTGCTAAGACCAAGCGGCCGCATGCGAATTACAGTCGTACTTGTTAAACAACAATAACAACAACAACGACGAGATATATTTGAACAATCGTATACTTGGTTAACAGCTGCATCGGCTAACCTTTGCGAGCCACGGAAGTTTATGCAATGAATGATTAATGAACGGAATTGGTGCGGGGAGAGACTTGCCTGGAAACAAAAACAAGACACGGCCAACCGCGTGGCGTCTGCGTTGGGCAAGCAACGTGGGACTTCCCCCCGTGGTGCCAAATTATAGAGAGAGAGAGAACAATACAACATCTACCGTCATCGCTATTAAAAATAAAACCAGGCAGGACAATTGGCGTTGGTAATGTGTGTGTGTGCGATGGAAAGAGAGAGAGAGATTAATATAATGCTGCTGTGTGATTGTAGATTTAAACATCCTGTGCCTTTTAAACCAGGTGAGGGCATCATCATTCCTTAGGCTGTCAACGTGTCCCGTGATGTAATATTATTACGCTGATGCAGCGCTAAGCCAGAGGACCGCGTTCAAATTAATCTCGAGCCGCTATCAGGCTGGGTAGGTAAAGACAGAGTAGCTGCAGTAACGTGTCTTTGAGAGTACTGCACGCGTTTTATTTGATTTCATTTTAAACAAAAAAGTTTTTTTTTAAAATTGAGAGCGCTTTGCTGTGTCGTGCTGTGCATAAAGGGGACGGAGGGCGAGGCAAAGACACCCAACCTTGTAAGTTTAATGCGGTGTCGGACGTGTAAATAAACATTTGATAATTGCTATTTTGTTTAAAAATTAAAACAGCATTTTAAAGGCATTGAAAACGCCGTGTGTGGGGTGAAGGGTAACGCAAATTAATACGTTGACCCCCCACGACTTGAGGTTGTCGGGAGCCTTCGCTTTTCCTAGGACACCGAACCGGCGAAACGCCACCGGTTTCGGTAGGGGAACTAGGCGAGGGCGGGTCAAGTCCCGACGTTGTGTTGCAGGCCCTTGCAGTTAAACCGCCCCCAGTAAAGTGGTTGTTATTATTTTGATTAAGACAATGTTTACGGTTAATGTCATGCTTTGCCGTGTATTTTTTTTAAAGATATCTCCACGTTGACTTACGCGTCATTCACATACCTATCAATCCATACGGTTTACCCCCGTATTCTTGTACAGGGAAATTTAGTTGTCAGCTCCATTCGGCGTACAGCCGTTTTAATAGGGCAACATTATTTTGTTTTGTGTGTCTATTTGTGTTTCTCCTTTGTGATGGGGCTTTGTAGGATGAACGTTGCGATTTACAAGGTGGCACGGGGTGACCAGTAAGGTCTGAATTGGTCTGTAATGATAAGGGGTTGACAGGTTCGCATTTAACCATCATGTTTAATATTCTTGCATTGTATGTACTATTAACTTCGTTCGCACCGTACGTAGCCAACCGTGCTACGAGTGTTGGGTATTTCATTACACGATGCATTTGCAATGCTGTCTGGTAATTGATGTGCTTTGAACAAGGGCCGTTGCCTGAAACGTCGCCGATTATACGTTCCCTTTGAAGGCGGTGTTATGCGATGAACGTTGGAGTTTTTGTTATTTGTGGAAATTGGTTCTTTAAAAAATATTGTTTTCAAAATACGGCGTGTGCATAAATGCAGTCGGCATAAGGTATGATTAACAAAACATTCGGAGAAATAATCCGTTAAAACTGTTACCCAAATGCCCATTGATCGAGTCAAAGACACGATGTCCTCTATGGAAAGGGTATTTGACATAAACAGAGTACAGTATATTATTGGTTCTTTCGATAAAGTCACGTAGAAGGGAAACAATCAAATAATAAAAATATAAAATAAAATTCTCACGACGTTTCGACTGCAACACAAGCAATCATCACAGCAAAAAAATTTCAGCAAAAAATTTTGGAAATTTCTTGCTGTGGTTTTCACACCTGATTATTGCCGTGGTTGTTGCCACCTGATGACGGGCACTTGTGTTGCGCCCGAAACGTCGTGATTTAATTTATTTTATTTTATACCTACGTGACTTTACCGAAAAAACCAGTCACGAAAACTTCAAATCTCTACAAACCAAGTGGAAAATTCCACTTAAGGTGTTTAATGCAACCAGCCTCAATTGCATATTACAGAAGGCTGATATGGGGGGGGGGAATCACTGTGTTGTTTAAAAAACAGCATATTACAATTTGTTTTTCACTATTTCCTTTCATGTTGCAGGCGGTTTCATCATAAATTCCAGTGCTGAGATCTTCACAAAATTCCTTTGAAATGACCATTCAAAGAACCGTCATCAAATGGAGCCAGCCTTTTTATTTCAACCTCCTTGGACACTATGCCGAATGGTCAGAATTCTGCTGTATTTAACAGAACTTTCAAAATGAAATTTTGCCGCAGTGTACTGGAGGTGTGAGTTATGCTCATTGTCCTCCTGAAACCCATTTTCTGCATTTAAAATGCAAATGTTTTTGTTTTTTAACTCATTAATTTGAACATAGTACAGGCAATTGCAAAGCCAAAGTAAAGTTTTGTAAATCTAAAATATGCGATGTATGTATTTGTTGAAATATTTAGCCGATTTTATTATCCCATAATTGCATTGAGGGAAAAATAGTACAAATGTATAACTCTGACTTTGTAAGCTGTTATTGAACAAGCTACTTTACTAAAATAGCTAGAAAATAAAGTTTGACATGGAAGCCCAAGACAAGAAAAATGTGGAATCCAAAATTAAGTCATCAAAGGGCACAGAAGGACGTTTAGAACAAATCAAGGACATCCAACCTGCTGACGACATAAATCAGAATGATGTTCAGAAAAGCGTCCTGTCTGTGGAAGCACCTGTTGGTACGGAGGGCTCCGGCATGGCTGCTTTAGAGGCCTCCCAGTATCAGGTCGATGTAAAAAGACGACCTGATGACCTCCTTAACAACAACAGTAGCAGCACCATGAGATTTCCAATCGACAGTGTGGTGCTTGGATTTGATGCCGTAGAAGATGATGGCAGTGATGGCATGAAGATGGAGGATGAGGAGGAAGAGTCTGGGTTGGCCAGCATTAGTGCCAGCAGCCACAGCCTGGCAAGCATTTGTAGCAGCGCGGACGTCGAGGCCCTGCTTGCGGAGGCGGCCAGCGAGTGCTCGCCTGAAGCTCCTGCAAGCGACGCCACGTCTTGTGCGAACGGTGGCACCGTCGCTGGTGGCGATGGTGCCACTACCTCCGTTGGGCCAGTGGCTGCAAGCGCTGATCTCTCAGGTTAGATCACCTAAACATGTAATTGATGGAAGTGAATTGTGATTGTTACATCAAATGAATGTGTTTTGTGTGTATGCGCAATCACTGCATTGGCTAGGTGGTGCTTTAGTTTAAGTGCTCCAATTAATTTCGAAATGTGTGTTTAAACTTGATTGGGGGTTCACTTAGTCCACAATTATTGCTCGGTGGTCAATTAAACACGTAGAATAATAGTGTTGTGGATGGACTGTAAGCTTACGTGGAATGTGTAGTTGTGCTTTTATATTATCTATATTGCAGATTTAGATTTGTAATGAAACCTCTGTGCTGTGGTTTCAACCTTGGCTCTTTGCTGTTTTCATTATACCTTCTAGCACTTGGAAAAATTATGTCCAGTTTTAATTTTGTCCACATTTTTGCAGACCACACGTAGCTGTATATTGCTATAGATTCCTATGAACACAACCGCACTGTCCACTGCTCTTCTTTCTTGCCACGATCCCATCTGCATTAGTTTTACCGTTATCAAGGTAAATGTTGACAAATCCGAGATATTCCTTACAGGAATAACGGTCATAATTGTCAAAAAATCCAGTTTCAGCGTGCACCTACCAAATTCCTAAACTCTAACCTGCAAAGAGTGTACAGAAACTTAAAGTTGTCATTGATCCTGAGCTCCAGATTTCTTCCCACATCTCAAATCTGGAGGATCTCTTATCTCCATCTGCACAACATGTCCTGCATTCATCCATTTCATTATTCCAGCTACATCTGAGACCCTGAATCAATTACTCTAACGTCACCCTCCCCAAGTCCTAATTAAACAATTCCAAATGATTCAACATGCTGCAGCCATACTCCGTAGCCGGTAATGTGACCAAAATACTCCGGTTCCAAATCCAGAGATGCATACATTTCAAAATCACACTTCCCCGTCGTAAAAAGGTTCTATGGACTTGTCCCTGCTTACCTCTAATATTTGATCTTCGTCGTATCCTCCACCTACTCGCTGCTCCAGCAAGCAAGACCTGTCAATGCCTCCCCTTTGCTCAATGGGACGTCGCTCTTCTCTGCTGCCCCCATAGTCTGTAACTTCATTCCCTTCAGCCATCTGTGCTCTTCATTCCTTGCCCTTATTTTCCTCATCCTAAAAATTGTTTATCTCTGAAATAAATAAAAGTTCCTCCTCTTGTATCTCTTTAACCCCGATTTGGAATTGATCTCCACAGTATCTTGAGATATGGTTATATTTTGTTTATATTAAGCTAAATCGTATTCTAATGCACACTCACGTGTATTGATGGTATTGACACATAAGGAAGGGTATTTCATTGCGGCTCTTTAGAGACCAGAAGCTAAAAGAGTTGCAATAGATAAATAAACTGTTTCCAACTTCAAAATGAAAAGCACAGCTTAGTTAAGAAGACCTTGGCTTTTATGAATATGTACTCTAACCCTATATAATATCGGTTAATAAAATAAATGATTATCGGTACTTAAAGTACTTATGAGTGTTTATGGGTGTGGGTTCGGAGTGTTTAAATAAGGTGTTGGTTTTTTAAGGTACAGTCAAGATTGTTGACTAGCCAGTTTTTATAAATCACTGTTCATCCTTTGTGTATATCTTTTATTCAACATAAGTTATTTGCTGTCACTTAGGCGAACTCGTTTTGACCACTTTAGATGAGTGAAGCGTATACGTTATTCATGAATCACGCTTTCCGCATGCTCTGCATACATTATGTAAATATTAAATAGCATAGCGTGCGAGCCTCACTTTGTTCAGGTTCTTCTCTTCACCTATGAAACTTTTTGTATCTCTTGTTATCAGTCGCAGCAGTAGCTGGTGGACAACCAAGGCTCGACAACAAAGACTTAAGTTCCAGTGGAAAGGCCCAGCGTGATGATAAAGTATACGGCAATGTGGAGGCCGCCACGCATCGAGGAGGTGAGATGGAGGGTAGGGTGTCGGCACAGGAGGACAGAGGCAGCGCCCTGCAGTGTTTGCTCACTGGACTGAGAGGGGTGACGCAGTCTGCTGCCGACAAGTTTGCTCTTCCGCAACGCGTCCACCAGGTAACCCAAGTGTGAAGAAAAACCTTCACATTTGACCCTTGACCTCGTTTTGGCAGAGCAGACAGATCGCTTGGCAAGCAGGCTGCCCATTTGAGCACTGTTGTTTGTTCCACATATAAATCAATAATGGATTTCTTTCTGTAAATTTGAAATGGTTCACAAGATGCGTTATTAGTTGAGGCTTTACTTAGCAATGCGTAAATAATTGCTTTATGCGGTTTGGTTAACTGTTCTACACAAAATATATTTTTGTATCCAATGACCAGTGCTATTTTGTGCTGTTTATAAGTTACAATTTTAAACTTTGCACTCGCATGATGGTTTATTGATTGTTGTGTTCAGTGTATGAAACATGGTTCAGTTCAGATTAGTATCAAAGCTCTGAGTCACACTTTATGGATTTTGTCCTAAGTTCAGTGGAGGCAAGCTTCTCAACTGTGATTATGTTAGTCTAAACAAGTTGTTGACCAGGTGCCACTAACTTTTTCTTGCAGATCGCTGAAGTTTATGCCCAGAAGCAAGAGTGTATCCTTTATTCGCCATCCTCACTCTACGAAACATTTCCATTCAAGCCATTGTTGGCTTGCCACACTTTGCAGCACATTGAACTCCGTCATCATGTTGACACTCTTCTGCATGTTATGCGGCTAACTGTAGAAGTGCATGACTCTTATAACGGCAAGCCTGTGCAAGCACACAGGCTAAGCATAAAGAAAAGAAGCCTCAAGTCAAATGTGCCTATCTCTTGATACGAACATTATGAAATGGAAAGCATATTCAGTGTGCAAAATACCGGTCTTGTGCCTCATTTATTTTCATTTGCTAAGCGTTAATGCAGCTAGTGGTAATCTTGCGTATGTTGCAAAGAATTACAAATTAATCCTGCTAGAGTAGGATAATGGACATTAATGTGCAAACTGTCATGTTTAAAGCACATAAGCCAAGACATTAACCATGTGTACCTCGGGATGAATGTGGTTTGCTAAAGGTTAGGGTAAGTAATTTATTAGTTCTAGTTGAATTTTTCTTTTTTACTCTAATTTTATCCAAATTGCATATCATGAGAAAGCCAATTCATTTGGAGCTCTCAGAGCAGTGCATCGCCCCATGGTAGAGAACGATCCATGGAATGTGATATTACAGAACGACTTCTGAAGTCTCGGTGACCTTTTGTCCATACCAGGGGTCAGCACTTTCCCACCCGCCATGCTGTCGTAGAGTATTTTTTTCTGCATGGCACTCAAACTGTTCAAAAACAAATGTTACGTTTTTTGTGTGTGTGTGTGTGCAATCGTTGGTTACTAAATTGAGAACATCAACTTACTTCATTTGAGAACCCAGTTTAATTACAGGCAACTGTCTAGATTAAAACCCAGGATCTCATCAGTGCTAGCTCTGCATTCTGACTATTGAACCACCCGGCAACGTTTGGGTTAATAAAATAGAATGCATGCAGCCATCGTCTCTCCTAAATGTCAACTTCGAACACAATTTACAAAAGTGCAGAATTTCATATCTTGCAAACATATCACTTCATTATTTTAATTGACCACTTTTTTTTGGCATTTTCAATTGCACGCTTACCTCCAGGTGACTCGCTCCCCTTGAGATTTGATGGAATTTCACGATTTTATGATTTTTTTAATCATATCTGGAGGCTGCAGGGGTCATGAGTTTTAATTACAACCAAGTAGAAAATTATATATTCTCATGTGATGTGATATTTTTTCATTAGAATAAGAATCGATTTTAATCACTGAATCTGTGCGTCGTTACACCCCGTTACTATGTCTATTGTCGGTATTTTTCACCAGTGTTTGAAAATTCTGCTTTCTTGAGTCGTCGGTTGACGGCTAATTACAGTAGCGACAACATTAACATGAAGAAGCTCCAAAAATGGTCCAGTGCCGCTCCCTGTCTAAAAAGTACGATGGCAAAATGTGTGTTTTGGCAGGACTAAGCATGACCGTTTGGCTGATTCGGCACACTGTAGTCATCCAAGCTCACGATATCCTTTTCCTCTCCGCTTGTGCCAGATTGAGAGCAGCTTGGGCTTGGTTCACAAAATGAAAAGTCAGGCAGAGGAACATTAAGCACTGCAGGAGAACACATTCTAATTCACTTTTCTTGGTAATTTGGTCTTTGAGTACCTTACAACTTTTGTCTGAATTGTTCGTAAAATGCCAGACAGTTTGAGATATAAAGCCTCTGTGAATATTCTATTTTGGGACGTTTTGCAGATTGTAAGTAGGCGAAGGTAGGAAGGTCAGAAAAATATGAGGGGTGGTGATGGTGGAGAGTTTACATGGGGGAAGGAAAAATAATAGGTAATACGTTAATAATTCTTCACTTTCTTGATGGAGAGTAATGCGTTTTGTTTACATGAACACTTGGAATTGGGCTGGCCCAGTTCACGCATTGGGAGAGTAAACTTAGCTCGGATTCCCATGGCAGCCTGCCCGTCAAATGTAGCGCATTATTTGAGCGGATCAGCTTATTTTGTGAAGGGAGTTGTCCGCTTTCAACTTGCCCACTCTTGGAAAATACTTGTGACTTAATGGGGTCAGTGCAGAAGAGGTGCATGCCAATATAATGGCATCTCTTGCAGAGGTCTACTCTGGCACTTGTATTTGGTTTTTAAAATCAAGGCAGAAAATTACAACAACAAAAATAGATATGAACTTGGAATTATGTAAAATAAACATGGCGGGTGGTGTTCATAATGTACAACTTAGAATTGTTTCCCTCTGACCGCAGAGGGAAGGGAGGGGGAAATAGTGGGGGGGTGGACAGAGTGAACAGCCTGAACATACAGAAGCAACACGTTGCAACATGACCGGAGTTGTGTCGAGTTATTCCAGGATCAGCAATGCATGGGTTGGGTCAGCTATTGAATAGTGTGGAGGAAAGACGGCTTCAGCCTCAATTTAAACAAGGGGAGGGATTCAACGATGAGAATGGCTAGGGGAGGATGTTATATACAGTGGCAGCATGGGAGGAAGGAGAAGAGCAACCTCAAGTGGCAGTTCAAGTTGGGGGTATAGACACAAATTATATGGATTATTTAACAGAGGGCATGGAGAGGAGGTGGGGTATGAGATGAGGTTGGAGACTGAGGCAGGGGTAATAAAATACAGATTCTATAAAACAGGGAATTTTGGAATTGACCTCTGATTGGATTAAAACTGCAGTGGAGGAATCTTTACAGTTCATACATTGTGCAACGTAGGTAACACTGCTCACCTGCCAAACTCATTTTAAATGTTAAAATGTTCATGTTAGGGCATGTGGGAAAGTGCAGTGCCCCTAGTGTGGGTAAAATATCACTGTTCGGGATCTCATAAGTAGTTTTGTGATATCACCTTCCATGGTTGTTCTCTAACAAAAGGTCAAAATCTTTATTTATCCTGGAGAAATCCGAACAGCTGTCAAGCTATTTTCACAGATGTCCATCAATGAATGTACTGCTCTGTGAGTTCTGAACAAATATTTTCATGACATGGAATCAATCACACAATTTAAATAAACTTGGAGAAAAAAAGACAAAATTAAAATGTATATGTTTGCTTTGCTGCCATCACATTTTATTTGGTTTGTCTTTTAAAATAAAAGAAGTAAACAATTTGACCATTTATATTTCTGGGTGCTCGTTTGTATATTTGTAAAGTTAAGCAGATATACGAATTGTCTTGAAATTGGGGTACGATCTTACTCTAGATTTGATTATTTTTTCATATTCTGTTTCATTTATAGTCCCTGTCTTGTATGTCTTTTACTCTTTTATTTTGTCATCCTAAACAGTAACATTTGCAAACGATGCTTATTTAACGTGTACTTTACTTTTAAGCACACGATTATATGCATGTATCACACGTGTAAGAAATCAAGTTTTATCTCTAAAACAATCGTTACATTCCACTTAAGCCAGGACATATCTGACACCTAATTTATTGAGCGGTTATGCTAAAATGTTAGGTCACGTGACAAATAGTACATTCTCAATAATCAGGAGATAAATGATTAAAAAAAAATAGCATTGCATATGCTCAAATGCATTATTACTCATGCTCGGAAATTCCAGGCTATTAAGTCAATTGCAGTTTATATGTTTTTAAATGCCTAAAATGAACTCAACTCTGCACTGATTATAAAAGCAATTAGAAAATAACACTACCCAGGAACAAAATATATATATTTTTGTTACAGTGTTATCACTGCATATGCAGTGGATTCAACATTCAATCACTGGCAAGATATGTTATGGACAAGCCAGTAAAGCAAACTTTTTTGTAATTAATAGATAATAGTTCAAATAAAGCAATTCTCAAATGGTATGTATCTCATTTATCCGGTGTTGGTGAATTACTCAAGGCATTATCAACAGAACCATTAACGAGTCTTAATACCGCCGAGTAGTTATGTAGCATGATGTTTGCAAACTGAGCGTAGGTTTGGTTTTCTGTGCGCAAGTTTTTGGGCGACCTGCTGATCTCTGAACGCACGGTCACACGAGCCCACATTGTTCTGCAACTGGGTCCCTACCCCCCATCACAAGCTGTGTCCTTGACCGTTGCTGCGATCAGACGACGAGGCCATTCGATTCATTGAGGCGGAACGGCTGTGGCTGCACCGTGCGCTGCAAGGGCTGACCACTACGCTCCAATGCTGGAGTAACGCGCGCATCCGACCCACCCACCCTCCCTCGCAAACAATGTTGGAACCGTACCAGTAGCCCACTGTAACCCCGATCGTTTGAAATTGTCAATTACTACAAGAGTAGCGGTACTCCTGTTGTTATTGCTGCTACTACTACTTTTACAGATACCTTTAAAACCTCTATCGCGACTGTAGTATTGTACTACAATACCCGCTTTTGAAAAACACAAAACATTCCTACTGCAAATCCCACTTATACGGTCACCGCTTCTATTACCACCAAATACTGCCATGGTTTAACGGTTCGCATACCGTGCGGTTGAGTAGAGTGTGAGTACTCCCAACAATTCCAAAATGTCTTGCTAGCATAAAAGAGTAGGCCAAAATACCTTCTTGTACAGCTTCCTCTCATGGAGCCCCTTCCACTAGCAGTGGTGTGAGCAATCAATTGCAGGGCTGTACCTTTACCGTTGACTCGTATCACCACTTATACTGCTCGTGTCACTTGTACAGTTACCTCTTTAATCAATTATACCAGTACTACCACTGTGACACTTGCTGGTACTGCTGCTGCTATAACTACTACCGATACAAGTAATATAGTCCGCCCCTGCCTTATTTTCCCGCCAAATCTATTATCCACTGCCATAATCAATATTTAAAAAATAAATGTATCTGCAGATGTATTCTTCCTATTGTCCGCATCTTTTTACGGATAAAAAGTGGTCAATCCGAGGTGGCGGGAACTTCATCCTATTACTGTCGTTGCCTCGCACATAAGTCACACAGGAGTGTCTACAGGAAGCACTATAACTGCATTCTGCTCTCCACTTTATTTGTGGACTAGAATCCCCCCAAAAGTGGTGACGGATTCATCCAGTTGTCTGCATTTATTTTACTGGATAGCAATCAATCCGAAGTAGTCTCCTGGCAGTACTGCATGTATCCGATTGTCCATGTCTTTTCACAAGTAAGAGGAAGAATTATCTGAAAGGCACATCAAATTCAACAGTGTTTTATATGTGAATAATATTCGCTCAAACGTGGTCTTCCAGAAACACAATGTGTCATGTTTGCTTTTTTGCATGATTAGGAGTAGATAATAGCATCTGCTAATTGCACATCCCATGTTGACACGGATAAGAGAAGTTTCACTGGTGTAATATTACATATTGGTTATAAATAATCACTTATAATCTATCTACCATATATGTCACTGCAATAAAATGCTTACAAAACTTTTCAACGATGCTCGTACTTGGGACTTTCGAAGAATTCAAATTGCCATTATAGTATACAGCTGTTGATTGCTGATGCTGCTTTGTTGAGTTTACGATACGCTTATTAAGCATGTATTAACGAGTACAGTGGCTGTTCGTAAAACATCTTTGTTGGTTTTCCATTTAATATAGAGGATGCAAGGAAGGAGCTGGGAGAGGCAGCTCAGAGACGTGGTGTGGGTGGAGCACCTGGCAGCTCTCTCCCTACTCTGCCGGAGTACGAATTTGAGGGACTGCTTGCTGCGTGTCGATCTCATCGCCAGTAAGTCCCTCGTTACTTGAGAGTTGTATTTATAAACAGCCCCTTCACGCAGCATTCACAGGGGTGGTGTATGTGTGTGTTTTTGTATGCATAGTGGGGAGCGGTAGTGTCGCGGTTAGCGCGCTACGCTCCGAACCCGGCGACATTAGCGACGAATATCTGAACTGGTCCTGGGCCTCCCTTGGGTCGACTCAGCCTCAAATGAGTACCTGGTATGTTGTGTAAACATCGCTACTGGGGAGACGAAGGCGATCGAGCGTGGCCCTGGCCACCCACCCTCTAATGTACCGTGCCAGCCTTCATAGGTGTTCGTTAACAGCAGTTGCCCCAACAGTCTGTTAAAGCTATAGGGGGGGGGGGGTCTTTGTTTTATTGTACGCGTAAGATAAAAACAGAAGTTAGGATTCCTGCCCACGGATAATATTCGTGGTGGGTTTCATATCTGAATTGATTGTGGCCCTCCCACTTCACCAATCTACACTAATTAGTGCTGGTGAATTATGGTCAAACAACCATACTTCACCCTTCGCAGCCAGCAGTGGATTGACAAAAGGCTAGTTATTATAAATATAAGTACCAACTAGGAAGCAAAAGATACCCCTTTTGCAAGCGGGACCCAAGTAAAATGTAAGATAGTTTTACGAAAAGTGAATCATTTCAATAGCTGTTTTAGAACTTGGCAACAGAAGGTAACAGATGCTTACTTGGTCATTTTACATCTAAAAATATACCCTGTTCATTAATATTACATTTAAGCTGTGAATGGACTAGAAATATGGCATTTCAAAGATGGGGACTGAATCCATTCGAAAACAAGTTTTTCCATCAAGATTAAATATTTTATCTGAGTTGTTTAACGGCATTTGCATAACTTGGAAATCTTTAACACGGCATGTTGAAAGTACAGTACAATGCCTTTTTAAAGTTGATTTTCCAGGCATGGGATTTTTGACGATGTGCCTAAGTGCAATTATTTCTATGAATTGTCATGTTGCACTCTAGAGCTTCACCTCTCCGATTAGAAAAATCCTGCACACCACCTATTTCTTTTTATATATCACGTGCATTGAGTTAATTACCTTTTTACCACATCGCATAGAGATTTGTTTACTTTGAGGCCAGTGTTTTTTTCTCTCAACTTTTTTGTTGTTACCACTTTCCACCCAAGAAAGTCGGGGGGGGGGCGGGGGGGGGGGGGTGTTCAGTCAGCTTGAAATAATTATCCCCTTTGCTTTGGAGTCCAAAAAGGCAACTGTCCGTGGTGCCGGTTCGCAGGGTGCCTGCCGTAGGGCCAAGAAACAAGCGTTCACTCGCAGCACTCCGCAAGCACGCCTGAATCGTCTTTCCAGTTCTAATGCACAACAGCTGCTCTAGGTAAAGACTAACAGATCGGGCACTTTTGGGCTACATTGGGAAAACTCGATGCAGCTGCTGCTGCTGCTGCGTTGTGACAACATCCATTGCTATGGTGGGGGAGGCTGATTGGAGCACCATATATGTACAGGTTTTCCAAATAACCTAAACAGTACTCATTGCTTAGCCCGAATTACACTGATTAAGCATGATGTGGGGATTCTGAAAAAACCCGGATTGGCATAATTGATTAATTGCCAAGAAATCCAGCTTCGTTCCGGATTGTGGAATGTATAACTGTATTGATTCGTTGCATGTACAGATTAACAATACTGTACTGTATAGGCTTCCACTATATTTGAGACCATATCACGAATGCATAAATTAAATTGCCTACTTTAACATGTTGACCCAACTTAAACAACACTAATGCATTGTCCAACAGCTGCTGAGTGTATGTCTTGTAATGGGGATATATTTCTAAACATCGCCACATGTAAGATGTATCTTTATCTTGATGTCCACGTGACCTGTTGAGCACCCAGTGCTTACTGTGACTTGCGTGCACAAGGATTGCTCGTTGCCAGTAGTGTTGCTGACTAAAGGATTCTTGAGCTTTCGGTGCCAAGGAACAAGTGCCGGCTTATAATCTGTCTTTATATCGATTGATGACGTAACATTAATACATTTCAGTGCAATTGAGTTTATACGACGCATTAACGCAACCACACCACGAGGCACTGTACTGCAGAAACAGCGGGTATGTTAAACCTTTCATTATTTATGGCCTTATCTTTCATCAAACATTAATTATGTTTACATATTACAGCAGCCCATGGGCACAACCTTTGCTGTGCTGCGGCCACCTCTTGCTGTGCAATGTTGCTCGTACAAAGTGCACAGCCCTGGTGACAGGACCAACTGGCCATAATCCCACTTTAATCCGACTTTATAACCCCGCTGCCAAAGGCAAAATGGCAAATCTGCGATTTTAATGTTGTTTGCAGAGCCTCTGCGTGCACAATGTTTTATTTGTTACATGCAGCAACATCGTAAATTATGGCCTCGAAGATAGTGGTGGGTTGACGAGGGTCGGAGTTGGTGGAGTGGGGGGGTGGTGGTGCTTGTGGATGGACAGGGTGTGGGTGCTGATGATGGTAGTGTGGGTAAGCTGGGGTTGCGGAGGTGGTGGGGGGTGGGTGCGTAAGGCGAGCGAGCGAGCGGTATAAACAAAACTGAACGATTTTTCCATTAGATGGCTCGAGCGTAGTCCTAGCTGCTGCCCAAACGCACGCACGCAGGCACGAGCGCAGGGCGGGCGGATTTATTATCGGGCGAACATCTCCGGGGCCTTTCCTGCGCATTCAACCGCTACCTCCTCGCCTTCCACCACCACCACTACCACCACCTCCCCCACCCTGGAAACATCGCTTTCTGTTTTGGCAGCGGCAAGTTGACTTTGGAACCCATTCTCTTCCCACAGCTCTCGGTGTTTGCGCGTTGGAAGAATTCTGCGTTTCGTCTTTTCATTTGTAACGTGTTGCTTTTTGACTGGTGACACTTCACTTTGTCGGTCTGCTTTTGGATAGTGTGTGTGTTTTTTTTTTAAACATTCTGTTTATGGTCAGTTTGGATATTTGCTGCTGTTGTTGTTGTGGCTTTTTTGTATGTATCTATGTTTTCCTGCTTGTTGATCTTTGTTCAACATTTTAGGTTTTAGCCGAATGTCTCACCTTCAGATGCCTGTTCCTCTTATAGTATAAATATACAACCATGTATAAAGTTTGTTTTCATCTGCTTGTTTATGCTTATATGTGTTCATTGTGTATGTGCTGTACATATATGATAACATGAGTGTGAGATAGCATTTGACGATGTACATACATATTAGGTTTTGTTTGTCCGTGCATTTAAATGAAATGGAATATACAATTTTTCAGGAATATGTAAACTATAAAGCATGTGTGTTTAACAATGTTATGATATTATGAAATGTTTACGTAATAATCTTACTCATGCAAGTACTTTTATATGTACAGTATTATATCTATTGCCCCGGCAGCATTAGTTGATGGTAATCTACACATTACCATTGCTTAAGTTTAAAATGCCAAGTGAGTATGATAGGAACAATACTTGTTAACAAGTGGAGTTTGAAAATTGTGTAAAATTGCATGCAATATTGCGCTTAAAAAGTGTACAGGTAGATATTGAAGGCTTAAGGCGTATACATTTATTTTCTAAATGTTAGCCGTGATAACGTTCACATTTAATGTGATGTCTACGTGGTGTTGCATCGTTCGTGTTAAGCACGAGTTAAAGACTCGCGCGTGGCGGTGTTTGACATACAGGGGTTTATCATTTCACGAAGGTGAGGTTGACAGCTTGACAGCTTGACAGCTTTTACGGCAGTCATGTAGACAACTTGCGAGGGAAGCTGGTTGAACATTAAACGAAGACTGGCGCTTCTCACATTTGTTTTTCAGAGTTCACAATGCTGCAGATACAAAGGTAAGAATGGATTTTCATTTTTTCCTTCCTGTGTTGAATACGACCTGTCGGGTATACAACACAATGTATGATGAAACCATTTCATTTTAACAAGGCAAACACGGCGAGTATGGTCAGAGTGAATAATGACATACCCACATCTTGGGTTTATGCACCAGTTCAAAGGTTTGAGTCTGGTTAATTTGTGTCAACTCTTTCACCATCTGCCAGTGTTTTTCAATGTCACATGTCCGGACTATATGACAGATATTCTATGTTTGTTCTAATTTAAAGTTGGTCACATTTTTGCTACGGGCGAGTCGGCGATAACTACAGCTCCACTTCTTTTCACGGCACACGTTTATGTTGTTTGATTTGTCTCTTATGAATACATTTCGAAGGTGGCATTTCTTTCTCACAGACCTGAAAAAAAACACACGAGGAAAGACGATGCAATTGAGAGTTGATTCTCAAAATATAAAAATTTAAATACTGTATGTTCAAGTAAATAAAGTAAATTGAACTGCATGCTCAATCATTGGGTGGTCTTCATTGATGGGCTTGATCCAGTGGTAGACATGTCCCTGTTCCTATGCTAGGGACCAGTCTTTCCAGAGACAACCTTTTGTTGCCTTACCACAAAATTATGCTCATCGGTAGTACTAATTTAACCGGCCGACCGACCCGGGATGAATTATTGTGATAAGTCAATCCTGTCTGGAATTTCTACTCGCGTTGCCACTGCTAGAACCTTGCCCTACCAACCAAACCTATTGTGTTTTTTGAGGCGTAATTTACTATCCGAACTCTATTATACGATGAATTGAAGATATATGGATTGAGTAAGCAAGAGGTCAGTAGTGTGGACTTTAGAGTATCGCACAGTGGCTATAGGGAGACGACTACCAGCGTTCGACTATCTACTATCTATTTACGTCATTGTGCTCATGGCAGTGTGCCATTGTGAGAGTGAGAGAGCATGGTGCACTTGTTTGTTGAAAAGAGTGTGCAGAAATATTACTCTGTTTTTGGACTGTCCACTTGCCATGCATGCATGTTGACGTAGAAACCTCAATTTCCACTTGCAAAAGTGTGCGTGTGAGAGCATTGACAAAACTCCGCCACATTCCTGTTTATGGATGCTTAGCGTGTAAGTGAATGCATTGATAGTGGTGTTACTTTTTAATGGCAGCATAAACCAAGGAAATATGAGACTGATACTAATGTCTGCAAATTAGCGTTGTCTCAATTTGAATGTATGGCTTTGTTTCTCTAATCCAAAAAAAATACAAATAATGTTAGAAGAACTTAATAGAGAAGCCTGCAAAGTTCGGCTCAATATAATTCTCAGCAAAACAAAGTGATGTACGCAACTGAAGGACACATGATAAAACACAATAGAATGTGGATACCTAGGACAGGTATTGCGGGTGGATCGAGATCAAAATTAGGAACTTGAGAGGTGGATGAAAGCAGTTTGGATTGCTTTTGAAAATCCGAACTTGCTCATGAAAATATCAATGTAACTAAAGAACATTTCTTTAATCGGTGTATTTTACCTCCTGTGGTGTATGGATCAGAAACATGGACATTGACCAAAAAAATGTGTGCCAATAAGTGTGTGGAAATACATGATAGGAATTACATTGAGAGACAGAAATAGTAGCATGGATTAGATAACATACGCATCATTTAAACTGTCAAGAAGAATTAGTGGGCTTGGGAAGGATATGACGCTTGAAGTGATGATGGCCGGTGCTCGAGACTGACGACAGAGTGGCAGCCAAGGGATGGAATGTACCGGAGAGAACGTCTACTGTGGAGATGGAGTGGTGGAATTAGCAGGTGCTGGGTGTGGAGTGTTTTATTGCAGGACTGCATGTTGGCAGCTTGGCCTTTATCCAGCAGTGGATTGATCATGGCTGATGTAAATGTTGATGACTAAAAATGTAAAACTACAGTATAGGCCTCACGAAGTATTTCTACACGCGTTGCACTCTCGTCATATCCCCGCCAACATTGTACACACACCTCGGACAATGACAGAATTCCAATAAAGTAAAGTTTACACGTGTACTGTCAGAGATTTAGTACCATGGAAAAGGCACTTCCAACTTTCAGACGAGCTCAGACTACAAGACGGCTAAAGAAAACCATGCAGAGTTCGTACTCTTGACCCAAAAGTTTCTGCTGTGTATTAATAACGTCAATGGCAGTGTTGACCAGCCTTTCCACTAGTTACGTAGTCTGAAAGAATTGGGTTTTTTTTGTCTTGTCCTTGCCATGTTATCAACTGCTAGCAATTCCTAAAATGGTGTTTTGGACAAAGTATGTATATTTTAGAGTTGAAAAAAAATCTTTCCAGAAGACCACGTGCAACAGCTGTAAATTGTATTTTTTTTGTTGGATGAGGGGTTGGGTGGAATGGTGAGATGTGAGCATGGATCGGGCAAGGCTCAAACATTTTTTATAGGTTGGTATTTGTAATTTGTTATAATTTGTTGAGCTGAAGCAAATTGGCAGTGCCCGTTACAATTGTCTTAAAAAATAACACAAACCTGAAATGGAAGTATTTTTTTATGGCTTACTCAGGTATTTATACGCAGTACTGTACCTGGTTACTGATACCCCCCCCCCCAGTCCAAGGATAAACGAAAATCAATAAATGGTCATGACATATATCATAAACACAGAACCTTCCCTCACGTAACTGCCATACCAGCAGAAAAGACGCTTGTGCTACAATGCTTTATTCTGCGTTGCTATCGCCATGACAAACGGTTCAAAAGCAGGGTGTAATAAGGTGCAGTTCTTAAAATATCTCGCTCGCCTAACAATTAACAAATTGCCACGTATGTACAGTACTTAGCCTGTGGAAAGGTTCACTTGAACTTCACTGGGTTGTATTACAGTTCTCTGTGGTAATGCACATTTACACGAGGAATGCGTAATTAGGAAGTTGCGCATGTGACCACACTGCCTTCACGTTATGTGAGCAACGTAATGTTCAGTTCTGATGTAGAATGTTTACATGGTCGCTTTGCCTATTGTGTCACAGATGGTTGCTATTCAGAGGTATACGGTACACCTAATGGCAGGGTTCCACTGTCATATACAATGTTTTCAACAGACGGGACTACGTTTACCTAAATGATAGGAATGATTCGATGGAGAAATTGCTTTTCACACTGGGATGAACGGGAGATAATTAGCTTTCGGAGGAGCAGTGCTGATGTTACCGCCGCCGCAGAGACCATTTAATATTAATCAGGCATAAAGCTTTCGTGACTGCAGGAATTCATACTATTTGGGTCTTTCGGTAAAGTCACGTAGATATAATTTTTTATATATATATCTACGTGACTTTACTGAAAGACCCAAAGAGTATTCATGAGGCAGTTTAACTGTCGTAAGTTTTGTAGCTTTTAAATTGTCCCCAGGCCAGTTGCCGGCCATTTTCTTCTGCCAATTTTAGTACATGCGTGTGGTTAATGTCAACCTTTCTCAATTTGTTTCTTTTTCGAATTCGACTTGTAAGTTTGAAATTATCTGTGTTTCCATTAATAGGAATGAATACCGCAGCAATTACCGCCTTCCACATTTCCAACCCAAACATTCCAATGTGTAAATATTGACATTCATGGGCGGAGGTTGGTTAAATGCACAGGAGATGCCTGGCTGGGTGGCCATAGGTGGTGGCATGTGAATATTATTGAACTTGTAACGTGGGAGGTCACGAATTGGGGCCACAGGTTGGACAAACCAAAAAGAGCTTTGCCTCCCTTGAAGAGGGTTTGCGTGTGCTGCAGCTTTGCTGGAGTCAGCTCAGTAACTGAGTGATCGAAATTAAAATGTGTGAATGTATGTGCGCATGTATTTCTGATGTGTAAAACACCTCGTGAAAATCGGTAAAAATTGGTCCTATTGAGCTTTGAGAGTTCATTAGCACTTGCTGATGCAGAACAAGGAAGTTTCTTAAGTAATAAACATTGGCTTTTTGACAAGTCTCGTCATAAAACTTATGCTCTTTGGGTCTTTCGGTAAAGTCGCGTACATAGAAAAATAATTTAAAAATCACGTTTCGATTGCTTGTGTTGCGATGGAAGGGTCGTGATTTTTTATTTTTCTATCTACGTGACTTTACCGAAAGACCAAAAGTATGAATTCCTGCAGTCGCGAAAGCTTTAAGTCAAGATATAAACGTTATAGTCTATACGACAGGCAATTGGCACACTGGTTAGAACAGTTATATCGCATTTTAAAGGTTTTCAGTAGAAATCATGGTTGGGACAAACTCATCCGAGCATCTCTCCGGGTTCAATAAAATTAATTCCATAGTGTGAGAATTCATAAGTGGCCTACCTATGGACAGACTGGGCCTCAATGGGAATGTGGAATTTTCACAACTGACTCAGAGGCCACCAATAAAACTGGATTTGATTCATTATACAACAGAAATTGACATTGGTGCACAAATAACAAAAACTTTAATCAATTAAACTGCCCTAAAAGGAAAACAAATAAATGGGGTTTTGGCCAATTACCCTTCGTCATAGCAGAGCGAGCATGAATAAAGACGTTTTCCCCAAACGTCACCTGTTTTTATATATTGTTTTCCTTTTAGAGTTGTTCACGATGAATTGTGTTTGAGAAGGTTAAGAATCTTCAAAAATCTTCAATGAATGAACAATTTATCGATTGCGGTGTACTTTAAGTCATGCATATTATACATTAAATCTCCGTATACCGTTGGAATCGTTTGTTATGACAAACCGATGGTTATACCCTTGGAGCCATTCACAAAACAACTGTTTGGATAATCAATCGACAAGATTTATAAATTCATGTAACTAATCCAGCACCTATTTTAAGTCGGCATATTTGTCGTGAAATCATCCAATGTTTACACGCAAATATATTTTTTTATGTGCTATCAGTACTAACATTAACAAGTTGGCCCTAACGTAAATACTTTTAAACGCTGTTGCGCAAATGATGTCACGCTGCCCATAAAAAAAAAATTCTGTATTTGGACACTGATGTAAATACTGTTTTAACCAGGGTGGCCCTATGTAGGTATGCAGCCTTTATTTAAACCAGGTGAGAGTCAAGTGAGACAAATTGTTCAACTTCCGTGAACTGGGGAGTAGGTCACTTTTGTAAATTAACAACAAACGTGTACAATGTGTCGTATGTGTGTTAAACTTATTTTGCACCGTACGTAGCAACCGTGCTAATAGGAGCTCAGGTTTGACCTTTCAACACCCAAATTGGTGGCAATTAGGGCTCTCATCAATCTACTCTGCACAAAATAGGTATATACAGGTATGTCATTTCTTGCGTTCAGCTGGGTTTAGTGTTTTCCCCACCAGCCACTCATGCGGCTCCTTGACTGAAATGTGTGTTGCAAATGGCACAACCCAACATTTTTAATAGTGTTGTAAATTAGACTTTTGTCTTTACGTGTACTTGTATTTAAATAAAATTGAGCACCCATGTGTTGTGATTTTAGAGTAAATGTTGAATGTATGTATGTTGAACTTCTTTCACGCGAACGTAGCCAACCGTGCTAATCGGAGGTGACCTGGGTTAAATTTCTTCAAATTTTGACCATTTCATTTGACGTCTAGCAAATCCTCTTAATTCAGATTTTATGTATATACCTACTATAATCACCCAGGAATGTCTGTCCTTAATGCTCGTGATGTCACTCCACATTGACCAGCCCCCCTCATTAATAATCATGAGCAGGTGACGTCACTCCACATGAAGCACCCTCCCCCCTAATTAATAATCATGAGCAGGTGACGTCACTCCACATCGAACAGCCTCCCTCAATATTCATAAGGTGACGTCCTCCAAATGGACACCCCCTCCCCCCCCATTCATAATATTTAGCGGCTGACGTCACTCCACATGGGGGACCGAGGCGCCTCCTCCCCCCTCAGCGCCTCCCCCCTCCTCAGCATCAACTGACAACCCTCACTACAAAGGCAGAACCCTCACGTCACGAGATCTCCGTAACGCTTTTGAGACATCAAAGTAAAAAGGACGTCATGATGAACAAGGGATTATAACCTTAAAATGAAATAGGTCTGTGTCACCGCGCCCTTACAAATTGCACATGCATGGATGCAATGAATATATCACGTCGCTGTCTGCTTTTCGCTTGCAAGTTTCAGATTTACTGCAATACACACGTCTTTGGATGGGCAATATGTATAATACTGAACTGGTATTTTGCATTTGACCAAAACTTTCAACTTAGTTTTTTTTATATTCACAACTATTTGGGTTATTTGAATAAACAAAGCTAATTTTTGAATTTCTCAATCTACTCAACTATTTTTGACCTACTCTTGGGCTTCAACATCTCAGATATCTACAGAAAATGCAATTTACATCATAGATGGAGCATTTACTGAAGCTATTCTCAAAAGGGGGAACTGACCAAACATCCTATGCAGGACCCATATGAAAAAGAGTTTTGAGACTGTTGATATCTTGCATAAATAAGGACTTTATCAAATGAATGTAATATCCACTTAAATTAAATCTACATACTATTTATTGTCAATGAAATACACGTGTTTAAGGATATAGTATATGTTTTTGTTTTCGGAAGCATTGCATTCAAAATACATTGTCATGCACATGTCACCAAACCTGTGATATTTAGTGCACCAATATCCGAATGTACTGTATAGGCATAATATTTTAAGACAACCCATACATCTTGTAATGTTAAACCTCCTCACTGATTTGACAATGGGACTTTTGATGTCCTGGACCTTGAAATGCAATTACATGAAGAAAAAAAACAAGTACTCTTAATGTTTTGGAGATTGTTAAATTAGTGACGGGAATTAATGCACGTCATTCGGTCCAATGTGCAACACCTACACAACGCCCCATCGCGTCCTGTTGTGCTGTGATCGCATCCTGAGATGATTGTGAGCCTGGAGAAGAGTGTACGTGTCTTTGTGTGCGCACAGTTTTGCCGTTCAGTGTGTCGGCGTGTGGGTTGTTAATTTTGTGAGCACATTTTGCGCACTTATGTTCAAATTATGTGTGTATGTTGAACTTCTTTTGCGCACCGTATGTAGCCAACCATGCTAATCGAAGGTGCGGGGGAAGGACAACAAACTAAACACAACAAAGAAGTGCTAAAGAAATACGTTTTCAATCTAGATTTAAAAGTTCATAGCTCCAGTGCCTTCCTAATATCGAAAGGAAGATCATTCCAGACGACTGCAGAAACGCATCTTGTCACAAGTGTGTTTTTCTAGCTGCGATTGCGTGATTGCACCCTTGTGTTTGTGTGTTGTAAGTTACTTTCTGTTTATGTATTTGAGGGTTAGCACACTAGGAAGCAATAATTCCACATCATCAGTAAGTAATAGGCGTCTGAACCTGGCATGCACCATAGGGCCAACTCGGACCAAAATCAGTATTTGTAGTGGGTACAATAGCATCAACTTGCGGAAAGACACAATTGATCAAGCTTGCTACTGGCTACGCCACATCCTCTTGCCGACCTTAATAGACGTTTATTTACAGTACTTGCCTTGACAGTTTTCTCTATGACTACATTGAGGTCTTTGCAAGCACAAAGGAGAGTGTGTATCTGTACTTAGTTTGTCAATATTTGTACGTGTATTTCAACAAGTGTATTTGCGTTTGTCAGCAGGAAGAGACATCTGGAGAAGCGTTGGTGGGAGTCGTGAGTTTGGAAACTGCCACCCAGTCTGCTGCCACCATGGCCAGCCAAGTCAGCGGTGGGTACCACACCTCTGCCTAGAATCTTGAGTAATCCATCATAAAGTTTTTTTTTGGGGTTAGATCGCATAAATATAAATGTGTTGTTAAACCCGCCACCACCCGACACAGCCAATTAGTAAGGTTTGTCACGTGAACAGAACGTGCCGGTGTGTTTGAGAGTAAACCCAAATTCCTCCTCTTGACAGTGAACCACGAGGTTGCATAAACTTACTCTCCAATTTCATATTTTATTCAAATCGGGCTGTTTAGTCAACAAAAGTTATTTGGAAAATCGAGTGGGTGCCTTAACATTTAATATTTTCCTTCCAAAAACGTATCTTACTAGGAAAAAAACGTGTACGCTCTTTGGATTTGGGAATAAATATATATCCATATGGAACTTAAATAAGCCATATATGATGATTCTACCCAGTTATAGACACTGCATAAATTACAGAAAAGTAGTGACCGTTTAAGGATAAATTCTTTAGTAAAATGGAAAATTACTCAACCTTTTCATGAAAACATGTCAGTTTTGATTTCATTAAGGGGAGTTATTGCTCTTGCTTCTTTGCGAAGGTCCAGTAACAGATGATTGACATTCATCCCCTCACTTGTTTGTCCCTGCTCACGGAAACCTAGAACTAATTCACGAAAACTCTTGGTCATTATTTTGCGTTATTGTATGTGAACCTCACAGGGTAGTGTTGTGATTGGACTGGTTCAAATCCTGGTTAGTTATCTGTTCAGCATATCATCTCTCCAGCGTTGAGTAAAGAAGTACCACTTTTTGAGACTTCAGCAGTTATCATATGAGAAATAGGCTCCTGCCATAGGAATGTGGAACTTTCACTCCTGGCTCAGGCTGTCCGTGGAAATAAGTTTTGCCCTGCGCTTGCTTGCTTGAAAAAACATTACTACCAGGTTATAAGACAGTTTTCCCCTCTGTTGTAAAGCAAAAGTTCGGGGGTACGTCTAATTATCGAGTAGATGTGTGCCTGTATATCCTTATTGACACTCCGCACAAATTTAGGGATTTGCTTACTTTTAGTCGCATCTTATAATCTTGACAATTTGGTATATTGTAAAATATATCATGAAATAGTACAATAATTGCAGTTAACAAAGAGGGTAGTATGTTTTAATTGCATGAAAAGCATGAACAATATGTCCTTTTCTTGGGATAATGCTGAATTGTGAACTATTATTGGCTCAACTGTAGTGTCTGTTATCGTATTGTCATAGACAAATAATGAATGAAGTGCTTTTAACAATTGTTTTAATCACTATTACTGCCATTTGAGAACGTGACTACTCCCTTGTGTTGGTTTAGGCACAGCATATGGTGATATTTGTTCAATATCATTGTTTGCCTTTTCCTCCACGTGCTACTTGTCTACTTTCCTGCTTTAATACGCAGCAGTCTGGCAAATAAGTAATCCAATACACCGTTTGGCGAGGCGTGCATAAAGCATTTTGGCGATTTAAAAGCGCAATTAATGAACACAAGTTAAATTACTTGAGGTGTTAATTTGCACAACATTCGTTGGGCTCATCGTACCTTCCTGTAATTTTCAATTGACACACATTGACTATGGTGGGTTGTCTTTTTTTTTAAACAGTTGCTGTTTAACATAGGAAGTGCTTACATACTGTATAATATAGGCATGCAATGAGGCGTTCATTCTTGATGACCACTGATTCTTCATCTCACAAATCCTGCATCGAAGCGTGCGCATTGGAATCTCAGGTGCAAGTGACCCCCTCCAGCCACTAGAGGCTGCTGCATTCACCACTAATGATGAAAAAAATGCTATATATTTTTAATCGAATCATAACCCTAAATGACAATTAATTTACGTGCTGTGCAAAAGAAGTTCAACATACATTCATTGTGTCACCCAGTTATGAAGGATGTTGCATTTTATATCTATTCAAATCAGTGTCCAATATGCTGTTGTTCTTGCTTATAAAATCACATCTGTTTACGCATAGCTGTATGTGACAAGTGTCTGTTGTGTTAGTTTTACCTAAAGTAAAACCATTTCAAACAAACTACGCAACAAAGGAATGTTACCATGTAACAAAGGAATGTCTGAAGGAAATACTGAATCCTGACCAAGTGAACACATGTTCCTCTTAACAGCAGACGCAACAAAATCAATATCTTCACCGTCTTCACCACCGCAGCTGCTGGACGATAGCCCTCCTGGGTCTCTCCAGGATGCAATGGAGAGACAGGCTGTAACGGAGCCCATTAACGGAGCTTGCAAATCGCTGGAGCTGGACACCGAGGGAATTTCGACGACCACTGAAGAGCAGAGGGTAGCGGTCGCGCAAGCGGCCGAGGGGTCCACCAGCGGCGCACACGTAAATCACGGAACAGCGTGGGACACGGAGCTTTTGGATGCACAAACATCACCAAAGGTTCAAGGTCCTGCCGAGGACCAGAGGCCCTTGGAGTCGACGGTGAAATCCACGGACCTCGGAAGCGCTCTTCATGCACCCGGGGAAGTGATTGTGTCGAGGGTGGCGGCCGGGGCAGGAGCCGCCTCTCAAAAACTGCTCCGCGACGGAAGTCCGCCCGCGTGTTTGGACGTGCGGTGCGGGGAATTCGGCCACGTGATGAGGATCCCACCACCCGCGTACGCGCTGCAACCGGAAGAGGCCGACGAGGCTGGTGAAGGGCCACCGGAGGCACTGGCCACCGAGCCCAGTTGCCCATCCCCGGCGGCATCTGGAGATGGATTGGTGGAGACGGCTTGCGGTCGCAGTGAGAGTAGAGGCAGCCGAGTAGATGGGGCCACCATCGACAGCCTCACCGAGCCAATGACAGGTGAAGAGGAGGACCCAGAGCGAGCGGAGGAGACGAAGGAGGAGCAGGAGGAGGATGAAGAGGAGGAAGAGGAGGAGGAGAGCATGGAGCCCAAGGCGATGGCTCTGTGCACATTGGCCACGAATGGGATGCGTTTGCAGGAGGGAGATGAAATGGCGGAACTGGACGAAGAAGCCAAGAGGATCAAGATCGAGCAGGTAACGAGTTTTTCAGGGTTAATGTTAAATGAAACATGCTAAAAGAATGTCGTGTTTAGGTTTAGCGTTAGGCGGGTTGACTGGGGTGTTGTTCTCACCAAGGGGTTTTGCACGAGCATGAACGTGTCGCATGACTGTGACCTTGGCAGTCACAGTCCAGCAGAGATTTTTTTTTTTGTGGTGGTGGTGGTAGCATTCCAGTTAAAATTGTGGCGCGAGAAGAAAAAATACCTCCTTTTAAGGCAGCATGATGATTTCACACTCGCAGAACCACCAATGGGCTGTTATGAACACACCAGACAAATAGGATTGTGTCGTGTTTTTTTTTACGTCACGTAAATATCCTTCTCCAACAACTCTCCAGATATCTTGTGAACAGACTACTTAACGGGATACCATGTCTCATTGCCTCTGTGATAAGAGGCAATGAGACTCTATTCATGTTCCGTCATGTTTGTCGTTCGCATTGTTTTATTAGCAAGCACACATTGTCGGCTCTAATCATGCCGGTGATGTTTTTAAAAAAAAAACCCCATCAATGAGGTATTGATGAACTCTTAACCTTGGGACATTCCGCGCGCATCGATTTTTCCATAATGCTGTTGAAAAGCGTATACAGTGGGCTGTATGTTACATGCGATAGATGCACATGAAAATAAGTGCGTTGCTATGTGGGAGATGCGTAAAAAGCAGATATTGATTTGATAAAATTGTGCATGTGACATCCCCATGGGATTATGATCAATTAGCAGCTTGCAATTTGCTGTTAGGTAGACAATTCATGCCCATATGATATAGTTTACAGGTCGAAATATATATTTTTATGGTGGTGATGGCGACCATGACCAACAGTTCACCACCGTCAAGGAAAAATGCCGTTAAAACTAAAAAGGGAAGATAAATACAACAGTGATGTACGACCAGTGCTGTTATATTGTGAAGCTGAAGGCCCGGCGAGACTTTGATAGCATGGGCATGCGTCGAAAAGAGATGGAAGAGGATTCAGTTATAAGAGCTGCAGAGATGTTGTTGCAGAGCAGGAGGAGTAGAGGGAGACTTGAGGGTGAGGTGAAACGAACGAGATAGGACAGTGGATGTGATTAAAGAAGAGCCACGAGATAGAAGTGCGTGGAGGAAGAAAGCCGAGCAGCAGACCCCACTCACAAATGGCACTTTTGACTCGAGAGTATACGAACCACTGTCGACGGATGACAAAGTGGTACTCGGATTATAGGGGGATGACGCTTGTCCTATAACGCTGTCAACTGAGTTTTCTGTTGTGTGAGAGGCAATCTCAGCTGGCTCTCGCCTGAAAGAAATACAGGTCATTGAATTTGTTGCTTGTCAGCAAATCCGATCCAAAGTGTGTGTGTTTTGTTTTTTTGGTGTGTGCGTCGGCACCGTCTTGGTTGACACCTTCCTGCTCGCTCCTTTGCTCGCCTTGTGGGCCGGCGCCGTGCGTCACATGGTGGCGGTCAGTGGGCACGTCCGCAGAACCTCACCTCCATTCTAAAGAAGCGCGGGAACGAAGGCTCTGTGAAGGACGGGGCGGACCGCGGCCGCACGGGGAGGCGCGTGCGGTTCTCCTACCCGGACAACTCCGCAGTGGAGCCAGGTGTGTGTTCTCTTCAAACTATTTTAAAATATTTTTTTTTTATTTTACCCAGATCTTTGCCACTTCTCAGATGCGACCTGGCCGCAAAAGATAGCTCAACGAAGTGGTTTATGTGGAAATTTAAAGCAGCCAAATACTCTTAGCGCGTGTTGCTAAATGTGGAGGGAAAAACTGGAGGACCGAGAGAAAAAATCCATGTGACTACAGGGACTCCAAATATACAGGCGTCAGGGTCGGAATCAAACCCACGACCTCCTGCATAACAGGCGAGGGAGTTAACATCTCGCCACCACCAACAAGTGGCAGATTTGTGCCAGAAAGGCACCACGTATGTAAACAAAAATAAAAATTTACTTGACCATCATCCACTTCTTCATTCAACCACCTCGCTCACTCGCCTAACTCGTTCGCCTAACTCGCTCACCTAACTCGTTCGCCTAACTCTCTCACCTAACGCTTCCACCTAACTCGCTCGCCTAACTCACATTCAAACTCACTCACCTCGCTTGCATTTAAACTCACTCATGGATGTTACGTGTGTTCCGGTTCTTTCTCTTTCAGTTATCTCAAGGCTAGAACTGTCTTTGGAATGAAATACTGTGCACATTTGCACTGACTCGTATAGAACTGACCGTATAAATATTATGATTTAACAATAACATGGCATTGGTATTGTGCCCACTTACTTGTTGAATGTTCTTTTGATCACCAGTAGTGATTTGTCCTCCCCCCACCTCCGATTAGTCCCCTCCCCGCACCTCTGATTAGCACAGTTGGCTGCATACAGTGCGAAAAAGTTAAACATATGTTTCCCTTCTACGTGACTTTACCGAAAGAACCAAGAATATTCATCTCCAGTCAAAGTGTATGTCAAAGGTACTCTGAATGCATTCCAAGACTACATCATGATGTGCCAGCTTTGAAGACAAAATCTGAAGTTTTTATTTTACCTGCATCTTAAATGAAATAAAATGTAGATTTTTTTTGGGAAGTACTTTAGCTGAGAAGGTGAAGAGTTAAATTTATGGCTTTTAGTTGTCAACTTGGCTCATCAACTCTCCGGAGTTAATAAAATCCATACAACTTTGTTGAATATTAAGTTCTCGTTCTGTGCAGTGACTACTCATAGCAATGTAGAATTTCCAGCTCTACCTCAGAGCCACCAACAAACAACATGGATACCGCCCCATGCTCATTTGAGAAGGCAGAAACTTTTAATTCCATTTTGCCTTACATTTCATCCATCCTCTTGCCCGGACTATATCCTTCCCAGACACAGAGGAAGGAGGCGCCAGCTGCCTGCTACTGCTGCTGCTCATGCTGGGCACCGTGCTGGTGAGCGTCCTGGGCACGGCTTTCTACTGCTACCTGTTCGCCGACAGCGACGTGGAGCGGACGTTGGGAGATTCGGACGCGGCGGCGACGGCCCAGGCTTGCGCCGACTTCCGCGCGCAGACCAAGGTCTACTACGGCCGCGCGGCTCGCTGCCTCTCAGCCACGGCCGAAGCTCTGCAGCATTGCCTCTCGGCTGCGTCAGGGTGGCTCACATCGCACCTCAACGCAACGTCGGTTTGACAAAAACAACCACCCTCCCACCCCCTCGCCTAAACAACTTTGCGACGAATCCACTGTTGGTCCCGTATGGCTGCCACCATGGCGACTGACTCCTGCGCGAATGGCTCGCGTGAAGAGCTCACGCACGCGCCGCCTCTGTTTTGCAGCCTCTTGGTGAGATTTACAGCAAGCGGAGAGCACCAGCGTCACGGAGGGATGTCAATGGGAACATGTGTTTAAAGCGCCTCGTGCGGGAGTGGATGCCGACTTCAAACAGAGTGCTTTGTTGGTGTGCTCCAGAAGCACTTGTAGCAAGCGTGGACATAAATGGAGTTTTGGATGCAAAGTGGGAGGGAGGGGTGGGTATAGTGAACATGGAACTGTTATGTTTTTCAGTCGTTCAACCACAACAACAACAAGAAACAAAACATTCTGATTACATTTTTATACATGTGTAATTGATGTGTTTTGGTTATGTTTTATTTTTGTTTATTTAATGATGGTGTGACTGTGCATCGTGGTTTGGTAGGAACTGGAGGTGGTGGGGGGAGGGAAAGAGCTCTGCGTGTGCTATATTGTTGTGGTGAGCCTCATGGGAGCTGGATTCCTGAGAAACGCTTTACGGGACCGATGTTGGAACACGAGGTAAAGCGTCGCGAGTTCCGCATTCTAGATGGGGCACCTTGGGAGTTGCCCCTGTGACTACATTTTTATATTTAATAGTTTTGTGAACCTTAAATTGCACGGTGCTGTCTTGGTTCCAGAATAATTATTTAGCGAAGCCACGTGCAGGCTGCGATAGTAATTGCAATCATAGATGGATAATGCTACATGTATTAAATATGATCATTTTAATAAGTAATTTATCAAAGTACTATATTAGAATGTGTAGTATTTTATTCCTAATCGTATAGATCATGAGATAAATATAATTAAGGAATATTATTGTTATATTCTTGGTTCTTTCGGTAAAGTCACATAGAAGGGAAACAATAAAATAATAAAAAATATCCCTGCAGTCACGAAAGCTTTAAATCAAAATATTATTGTTATCATCAGAGAAATACCGCTAACAATAATACATTGTTGATTGGAATCCAGTATGTAAACATGACATTTTAATATACAAACAGAAGAATCTATAGCTTTCCAATTATAGCATTCTTGATTTGAACATTCACATAAACCTTATGGAATGCAGTCAGGGTGGGTGGGTGGGATGAGAGAACCATCCACCAAATTTTACATTGCCAACGAAAGTGCAAGAGTAAGACATTTTGTACATACAATTCCATGGGCCAAAGTAGGGCTGTGTGCAGTGTTAGCGTCTTGTGAGGGCCCACCTTAAAGTCAGCTAGGATCGCAAAAATGTGCGTTCCCACAAACCCGGGGGGGAGGGCACAGAGTTGGGGGCGACCGTTGCAACAGCTGGAGCGGTTTCACTGCAGCGTGGGGCTCCCGAGCTGAGCAAGCCATCCTGGGAATCCCAGACGCTAAACGTTCTCACAAAACTGCACGTTGGTAAATAATATTAAATATTAAGTAATATCGAACCACTCCTGGATGAAGAATTCCCTGTGCCGCGCATGTCATGGGGCGCTGTTAATATCACAAATTGGGTTGGTGAAGACGGGGAGCCATAGACGTAGAATTATAGTACAGTACAATGGGTTTTGCTGCACTGCTGTCCGTTGACACCTTAGCCGCGTAGCAACCTACAACGCCTGTATTTATGCATGGTGGTGGTGGTCACCCGTGGGGGATTGTTTGCCCATACTTCACCATGCTGGTCCGTGTGGGTTGACGAAGGGGGTGACGCCCTGGGCTGGTTCATAAATCACGTGCCCCCTAATGTTAGCCGTGGGCCAGCAATCCCCACTCGGGTTGCCAGCTTCATAGCGCGGTGCGTGAACCACCGCGCCAACCAAAACATACACCGGTATCGGACTTTTCATTGATTTAAAATAACAACCCTTAAAGCAAGCTTGGTAAACGATAAATGTGACCTTAGAAATAATTGTGTGATAAAATGAATGGAATGTTGAGAGATTTTGATCGCAGTCCATTTCAAATTGCGATCGATATGGCTTATACACACACATACACACAATGTGTATACATTTCTACACATCCACTGTGTATACAGAACATAATAGCTGCAAGTGAAAATGTGTGTATATGTATATCGTATGTAGTAATACAATTAAAACCGATTAAATTGGAATATTATCTTGAGCTGCAACAAAGGAGTGCCCCATTTCCTTGGGCATTCCTCAGACATTTTTGGTTTTCTGGGCCCTCTGCATAGTTGCTGAAATATAAAAACTAAAACTGAATCATATTGCACACAGTTGTGGTAATGTCCAAAACAAATGTTCATGACACATTTACCCATTGACCCATTTAGCTGCTGGGACATTGTTCACGTTTTAAAAGATAACTAATAAGAAATGTATATTACAAAAAGGACAAGCTTACACACGTCAGGAACACGTTTAGGTGTCTCTAGCAGTGCTGTACTAATCAGTAGAATTGTAACAATTGTGAACCGTTTCACTTCTGCTGCAAAACACAACCCCTCAAATGAATTGGATGAATTGTTAGGATACAGAGTCACGATGCGATTCGAAAATGCGGTCTTCTTTTAAAACGGCCGGTGAATGTAGCTGCCACTAGTTGTAACAATGGCTCCGTTACGTACAAAAAATGTCAAGATATAAATTGTTACGCGCGTGAATCGATATTAAAGGTTGCATTGGTGCATTGTCACACCTCGGTTGAGTCACCTCTTGCTAAGTTTCATCAGGATGGGTCCTATTTAATGATGGATTTGGTACCGATCACTTGGTGGATCTGAATGTCAATCCAGTTTTCTGCAAGTACACTTGAAAAACACTTCCCTACCGTGTTCAATAAAGCTCCTTTATTATAATAATAATAAAAATACAAGTTGATTGCTCGCGAGCGTCTTCAGCAATGATGCTTTTGGATTTAAGTTAATTTGAGATAATATAAGCAAATTTTAGAGTACTGTATTTTTACATTTTAGATAATGGTCCTTTGTGAAAACCATTGACCTGAAGAATTTATTATCTGCGCAAGGCATTGTGAGTGAAAATGTCAGGTGTTTTAGGTCTGCTTCTCCACTGCCAGTAGATCATTAAGAAAATGCACACTGCTGTATCCACCACCTAGCTCCTGATGAGAGAAACGAGATCATTTCGATTTGAAGCTTTCGTGACTGCAGGGATTAATATTCTTGGTTCTTTCGGTAAATTCACGTAGAAGGGAAATAATTAGATAATAAAAATAAAACAAATAAAATTCTCACGACGTTTCGGTCACAACGCAAGCAGCCGTCCTCAGGTGAAGAAACAGCTGTCCGAAAGACATTAGGACGCTGTCTTTCCGACAGCTCTGTTCTTCACCTGAGGACGGCTGCTTGCATTGTGGCCGAAACGTCGTGAGAATTTTGTTTTATTTTTATTTATTTTTACTATTTTATTATTTCTCTTCTACGTGATTTTACCCAAAGAACCAAGAATATAAAAAAAACGAGATCGTCAGTTTATGTTAACAATCAGAGCCTTTTCTTTGAACCCCCTTTATTATCCCAGGTTGTTAAACATAAAAGCACGAACAGTCCTCGGTTTACCTACTCTGTTCTGCAGCTGCCTCTCAGCTACAGCCGAATTAAGAGGCCAATTTAGGCCACCTGAACTGGGGACGGTTCGTCTGTCGCTGATTTTTCACTTGGTCGTGGTGGGGGGAACCTGACCTATTTAATTTTTTTCTGAAAATGTGGCTTTTACTCGGCTGACTTTGTTGGTGTACAGTCATTTTATTTTCAGAAATGACCTGTAGGGTCGTTGAAGAGATTATAAAATCACGTGCAACTATTAATCGTGAACAATGGAGATGTTTGATCACGTACAACCAGAACCAACTTGAGTGACGTGTGGGACATTTGAACATCGATTTCAAACGTAAACCCCTCAACCGGTACCGTAACACCTAAAACCAGCAAATGTGGTAAGATGCCTGAAAATACTCAATTGTAAAATATCGTGGAGTACGATGTGGGGAGAAGTGTACAGTGTAAGTGTTCAGGGATTAATTTCTCTCCACGGTCACGGTGCTACTGGCGGATATAAAAAGCCCCTTCGAAATTTATGTTGCGCCCCAAAGGGAGGATCGGCTCCCAGGCCATGTTTAGGCAAGACCCTTTGATAAGCATGTTTGTGGATTTATCATTTATGGCTTGGTGATGCACTGGCGCGTCCTTGTGCAGCAGGTTTTTGTTATTTATTTGTGTGTACCGCTTGGATGAATGCTTGCTAACGCTGGCCCGGTTAGAATGTGGGCAGCTCCGGTCCAGATACTTAATCGTGCTGCTCGACGTTGGCGACACCTTGTGGGATTAATCAATGCTGCGTCCACCGCACCCTGTACTGTGGCCGTTTCACTGGAGGGTTTTGTGAACATGTGGGTGGCATTGTTGGTATGGCATTGTTGGTATGGCATTAAGCGCACAATTAGAAGGTTGAGAGTTAAAAAGTCCTCGTCAGAGAGTTGATAAATTTGATAACCACTTTGTGGAAAGTCAATTACAGTAAAAATGTTTACGAAACAACGTGAGCAGTGTAGATGAATGCTGCCCAGTTGCGTACGGGACACTTTAACTGCTTGTCAGTAAATAAATAACATAGCATGTCTTTTTTTTGTCTTTTTACAATTAGTCACTTTTTAGATCCCATGTGGAAAATGTTTAAAAACTCGACACGAATAAATTCCTACATTATGAAATCATATAATGTTTGACATTAGTGAATGAATTGAGGTGCCACTCCCCTCAGTGCTTGCTAAACACAGCGCACAAATATTACAGCAGGAAAAACAGATCGTGGCCGCGCACGTGCAACTGCTCATGGTCGCACCGAGGCATTTGCCCAGATGAACTTTGGGGGGTGTGTGTTCTTGTGATCAGCCGTGTCGCTAGTCTCTACACTGCAACTTAAACTTAACGGGGAGCTAAGTTGCCGCACTTTGTGAGGTGTAACGTTTTCAGATAACGCGAGTGTATGTGGTGTGTTCACATTGTATTTATTATAAATATGAGCGAACGTCTTTCAAACACACGTACTCTTATTGTATATTACTTGCTTGATCTTACTGCTGAACGCATATTGTAGTTATTAAAATAAAAGGACTACCCACCATATAGTGCATTAGCTGATATATATGTTTCAGGCAATTTGTAATATCTGCTTCATTTAATATATATTTCTTAATATAATATAGCACTCCCTGGTGTATATAAATGTATAAATAGGGAGTGTTTTGTGTTGCAATGAGCATATATTTAGGTAAAATAATTAATGTAATGTACAGAGCCAATCTAGATGACACAACATCAAATGCATAGGCATACATTCTAGTGTGACAAAATGTAATTTTGCATAGTTGCACTTCCAATGTGTTGCCACCTACAAAGGCGAAAGGAAAACGATATTGTATGATTTACTCATGCCTGTTTTTTTAACGATCACGTGGGAATGCCACCACTGGCTTGGAGCCACCAACACAGATGACGGATGCCCTCTTGCTCACTTGAGTCGTAGAAATTTTTACTTTACGGGTTATAATATATATTGACTTAAAGCAGTGTCCTGGTAAAATGACTTAACGTGCAAGTAGACAGTATGTTTGTGTAATGGTAAATAAACCTGAACACGTGATGTATTTGAGTGAGCTTTTCACTTCACTCCCGAATTGTCTCGTGTGAGAGTTTATTGTGCTGTGTGTATGTGCTTTATGCTGATGGTAAATAAGCAAATGTCAACGTTTCTGAACTTTCCATATGGGTTATTCACTTGCAAGCTTTTCAATCTTAATATTTCCCAATTGGTGACGTTTTTAACATCTGTAACTCATATAGGAGACTAATCTTAATGCTGTTTTGAACTTGACTCCCATGATGATGTGTTTTTGTAATTTTGTGTTAAAAGATTTTTCGTAAATAAAAGACCGTCCACCTGCAATATCTGTATAAATATACAGCACACCACTGGGCTTGTCTGCATATACACATCCAATGTTTTTGACTTTGTCATTAAGTGACAAGGAAAATACTTGTACCATTTCTTCACAGCGTACAAAATGTAGATTATCCTTTTAGTTTCCTCACACTAGTAGCAGCCAGCTGAACCCTGTGAAGGTGAGGTGGGTGGGCACGACTCGACTTAAATAAAAAAAAGTCAGCCTCTTACCCCTGACATAGTGGTGGTGGTGAATAGTCAGGGATGCGTCAGGAGTACAGAACCATACGTCTACAGAGTAAAATATAACATTGCTTGAACTTCCCCATGTGCTTGGGACAAAGTCTCACTTTGTTTTTACATAAAATTAGTGAGCGCTCCTTAACGTGTCCACTAGGGTGTCACTCAGAAGTTAAGGTTGTTATTTTCAAGGTCGCATGCCTTCTGGTTGCATTCATTTGCCTGTTGAACTGAAGCCACTGCGAGTTAATAGACAATCCCTCAATATTCACTGGTGCTCACCGGGACTTGGATCCACCACGCGTGGCCGCCTTTGTCTCCCCAGTGGCGATGTTCACACAGCACAGAAGTTACTCGTTTGAGGCTGAGTCGACCTAGCGGACGCCCAGGACCGGTTAAAATAATCGCCACCGGTGGTGGCCGTGAGCGGGAATCGAACTCGGGTCGCCGGGTTCGTAGCGCGGCGCGCTAACCACAACACTACAATGCGTTACGCTTCCACATGCGCGGGTCACGTGACAGATTTGACGTCACAGCTCACTTGCCGTGCAAAATAAATATGCATTATTGAGCTCCGCCCCCCCCCCCAAAAATATACAAAAGTGTCTTTTTATAATTTTTGCATGGTGTACAGTCTGGAAATTACCCACATGGCAAATTTCAAGTTTGTTGCATGTCGGGAAGTACGATAAACATTTTGAACAGACACACATTCACAACTTTGCCTTTTATATATATGGAGATATATATGGAGATTATACATGGTCATAGTAGAGGCATAGCCACATAGAAGATGAGGGGATCCTGAGCAACCTGTAAATATGAACAGACTAAAAGTGACGTTCTCAGCATTTGACCTCTACTCCAAAAGTAATGCAGCAAGAGAAGAGTTGTGATCCCAGAATTCTGAACCCATCACTTTTCCGCACACATTTAGTGGCATCCGAACTCATGTCCACACTTATCACACTCGGCTCATGTCTTCACCTTTAAATCGTTTGTGTCTCTGATGCGGTCGGCGTAGAAGATCAACTTCAAATGCTCGCACAGAGAAATAATTAGCAATAGAGGAGTGCGCGCTGCCTGACCTCACATGCACGAGGATCAATGTCACCCTTCCATCGTCAGTTTTGAAACCATTTCTCACTATGCCACATGCAATATATAAGGTATACAGCACGGTCCTGAGTTAAACTAAACCTCTTTTTTATTTTACCAGATAAGGCCCACTAAGTTGTATAACTCTTTTTCAAAAGCGACCTGGCCACACAATAGCTCAACGAAGTGGCTTATCACGTGGAAATTTGAACCTTATGGGCGGCACCCCGGGGCACCATAGTTTAATGTCCGCGATGCGGTCACTTTTAGTCTGTCGATGGTCGGCGACGCGGCAATCGACTCATCTCGACGAGCTGCACTCACGATGGTGCACCAACACCACCACCACTAACACGGTGTGTACCGCGAGCGTTCAGGGTTTCAGCACAATCGTCCTCGCTGCGTTTCGACATCGCGGAGTGTGGCACCGATTTCGGATTCATTGGTTACCCCCAGTCGCGGAGTTAAGTTACACCCCTGGGAAGGAAAAAAAAGTGTCCCAGAAATAAAATATTTAATTGCCTCGGTCGTTTTGTATTATTTGGTACTCCGGGATACCGCCATGAAGGGCCGTCCATAAATGACGTCACGCGATTTTTGACGATTTTTGACCCCCGCCCCCCTTCGTCACACGGCGTCACAAAAAGTCAGACCCCCCCCCCTCAAATATGACGTCACAAATCTCTGCCCCCCCTCCCCAATTTTTTTTTTACATGCTTCAAATCGCTTTAAACTATTGTCATTGTCGTGCGTTTTTAATGTGGCGCTGCACTCTGATGTTGTAGGAGAAAACATTTATTTAAAAAGTCTATTTAATTAAGTAGAACGTGTTGTCTATATTTATTTAAAGTTGCGCATTTTGATGTGACGTCACATTTCTCAACCCCCCCCCCCCCCCTCGTCACACATCGTCACAAATGTCTGACCTCCCCCCCCCCGCCAGGTGCGTGACGTCATTTATGGACGGCCCCTAAGGATCATTTATGGCAGCCAACAACTCCAAACGCGCGTTTCTAAATGTGTCAAGAAAAGCCGGAGGCCCCGGAGAAAAATCCATGCGACCACGGGGAAAAGAGACACGCAAATATACAGGTGCCAGCGTCGGATTCGAACCCGCGAACCTCCTGCATGTAAGGCACGAGAGATAACGTCTCACCACCGAGTTGCCAAAGTTTAAAAGGTTCTCGAATTGCCGCCCCCTGCACATTACCAGCGATTGAGTAAATTGCAGTTAAATTTAGATTTGAAGCTTTCGTGACTGCAGGGATTCATATTCTTGGTTCTTTCGGTAAAGTCACCACGTAGAAGGGAAACAAAAAAATAATTAAAATATAAAACAATAAAATTGTCACGACGTTTCGACTGCAACACAAGCAATCATCATCAGGTGTGAAAACCACAGCAAGAAAAATTGAAAAAAGTGGCGGGGTTTTTTAACGTTAGCACCACGGAGAGCGATTTGGCAGTTATTCAGATGGACGAGTCCATCTATGTTCGGAAAGAAGGAGGGGGGAGACGAAAATAATGGATACGGTCTGATAGCCACCGTAAGCGTGATCAATCAATTAAGACCCGAAATGGTTTATCAAATCCTTCCAATGATTGCTAAGCCAGAATCCATCTTCTCGGTTGAAATTGTCTCTGTGTTTGTATATGTGGATAGCCTCATGAACGAAACTTTCATGGTAGCCAGATGGCTTGCAAAGAACCTCTGTCGTATTATTATTTTATTGTTTCCCTTCTACGTGACTTTACCGAAAGAACCAAGAATATAAATTGCAGTTGTGCAGGAGGAAACACTTCGTCTCAGCTCTTCGAGTCAACGCCTTCATTTATACGGCCCGTCCAAGAGTGCGTCAACCGAGGAGATGGAGTGATGAAATCAGTTCGCGTGCAGGTGCTGGGCGGATTGTTACTTCGCAGTGTCGTAAGTTGGTGGCGTCTTGGAGGGGGAGTCCTTAATCCAGCAGTGAATTTGGCGTAGCTGATGATAACCGAGTTGAATACTATTCAGAAATACAATGTGTCGTTCAAATGAACAATGCTGTAGTTTATCTTCTTAAGAGAAAGGTTGTATTAACACTTCGATAGCTTACTTGGCGTCATCTAAGTTGATGGAACAAGCAATGAAAATTGCCTGTGGTGCCAGCTGGAAATGCTCAGATTTATCACGTGCTGTGTACCAAGTACCGTTTATTCCTGTTAAATATGTTTTTGTCTTGCACAAATAAATGCAAGCCTCGTTAAATCGGCCATGTCAATCGTGTTTAACTAAGTTAGGGGCCGTCCATAAATGACGTCACGCACCTGGGGTGGGGGGGCCAGACATTTGTGACGATGTGTGACGAGGGGGGGAGGGGGGTGAGAAATGTGACGTCACATCAAAATGCGCAACTTTAAATAAATATAGAATTGTTATAACAACACTAATTGTTATAACAACATTCCTACAGCATCAGAGTGCAGCGCCACATTAAATACGCACTAAAATAATAATAGTTTAAAGCGATTTGAAGAATGTTTTATTTTCAAAATGGCAATATGTTTTTTTGGGGGGGGGGGGGCAGAGCTTTGTGACGTCATATTTGAGGGGGGTTCTGACTTTTTGTGACGCCGTGTGACGAGGGGGGGGGGGGTCAAAAATCGTCCAAAATCACGTGACGTCATTTATGGATGGCCCTCAGGTTCCCGATTCTGCAATCGAACCCAGGAATTTGTCTTCTTGTGAGACAGACGTTGCTGGCACTGAGCCACCCTGTTCCTTGTCTTGCCATCATCATCATCATCGGGTTTATTTGACCATACTTCACATTATTCCGGTTTGCTGAAGGCACGACAGGTGTGTGATGTGGAGGGTACCACGACTCACTCATATGTTACTCGCCACTGATGTTAGCCGTTGCAATGTTACATGTGAACCACTACGCCGCCACTCCACCACAGATTGCAGTGTATAAGGAAGGCATCGCCAATTACACAATGGCAGTCAATGGACGAAACGGTTCCATATTCGGAGTTTCGCTTGACAGACAACTTTTCAGGAACGTTATCTGTTCCGTATATCGAGGGGGCCCTGGAAATGAAACTGCCCAACGCTGTGATTTTGTGACTCGCACCAGCTGTGACTTGGGACTATGGGGGGGACGTGAAGCCATGCAGACTGGTCCGAAATGTGCAGTCTACGTGGTACTGTATTTATTATTTTGTTGTTGTTCCAGTTTTCATTAAGTGGTGCTCACTAACACACATGTTGTTCCAGTCTGTAATACAGGATGTGCTCATGGTGCTATGGGCCCTCCCGTATACTGAAATTGAAATGCGTCTCAACCACCGTAACGGTATAGCTAGCTGTTGGTCAATACATCGTCCACGTCAATATACATATTGTGTGTGTGTGTGCGTTCTGACACAAAAGCAGAAGATTTTGAGTTCAAATTCTGCTGGTTGGGGGGTTGACTCATCATCATCATCATCCCTCCCTCCGGAGTCGATACAATGAGTAACACTTTGCCGGGAAGTCAGCAGTGATTATCTTATGGAGGGAGGGGTGATGATGATGATGAGTTAACCCCCCCCCCCCCCCGGCCATAGGAATGTGGAATTCCCGCCCGCCACTTTTTCTAAGCTGTTGATAGGAAAGAGTACCAATGCCTCGATATACAATTTAGCAGGATTACTCTCTGGCACATGCGCGTGTGTTTGTACCAATGTCAAAAATACAACACAATGACGGCTGTGTGATGTGGATAGGGGAGTCAGTGTTTTTGATGTGGGTAACCATCTGAGTTGCGGCTCTTTCCGCTGTAAATGCATTTCTCATCCTAGTCCGTCCCGTGACAAGGATACCACGGGTGGAGTGTGGGGCCCCAAACTCCAGAAGCCTCCATCCGTTCCCCCTATCACACTCTCCTCCCCACCATCATCATCAACAGCAGCAGCAGCCAGACCAACAGCACCCCGCTAACTTGCATCCTCTTTACTCCAATTATTATTCCCCCTCCTCCTCCCAACATTTATCCCTCCCAGTTTCCTCCTCCCCTCCTCCTATCCACACTTTCGCCATCTCTCCATCAAAACATCACCGGCCAGACGAACCGCGCCCATAAATTTCCACCCTCTCTCCCTTCCCACCCACTCTCCCCTCCATTGTCTCTCTCCCGTTCTCCACCACCTCCTCCTCCTCTCACGCTCCATCATCGTCAGCGTCAGAAGCAGCGGCCAGAGGGAGGCGAGCCCGCTAACTTTGCCCTCCTCGCCACGGCCGCTTGTGGTGGACAACATCACATGCGGTCTAGCAGCTACGCAGCCCGCGCAGCGAACATCTACAACAATCACTGCTGCGTCAATAGTTGCAGATAGCCCGGTGGCATTTGCTGGACTATTATCATCACCAGTGGATTTTTGTTTGTTTGTTACCAAGCTCGTTATTTTGTTTTATTCTCGAACGCGCATTTACGCATTTTATATATATGTGCTGTGGTATGTATGTTGAACTTCTTTCACGCAGTACGTAGCCAACCGAGCTAATAGGAGTTGCGTATAAAACATCATACACGTGCCCATTGAGTATTCGCGTTGGCATACGAAAGAGAGACACAGAGCGCGCCTAATAAAACGTGGGCATGGCCAACTCCCTGCTCTTCGGCCAGTGCTCTGCCTACGTGCTGGCAATGTTCTTCGCCTCCTTCGTGCTCGTGCCTCTGGCACAAAACGGCAACGACTTCAAGGGCCGATGTCTCCTCTACACACGGGGCTCCTGGCAGCGTCCCAACGACACGCAGCTTGCACGGCAACGGCTACCACCGCCACCGACGGCTCCTCTCATCATGCGGAAGAGATCGGAAGACACCGAACCGACGGAGCAGCCGGAGCAAAAGCAGCAGGATCGTGATGACTACCACGTGGATTACTTTATCGATGGAGTGGCTGAGGCTAAGGCAGGAGGAGTGAGACCCTTCGCTCGTGCACTCCCGCCCCTGACCTCCCTGGCCGAGTGGGACACTGGTGAGGCGAGCTTCGTGGTGGCCGTGTGGGGAGCCCCTTCTGCCTGTCAGTTCGCGACGTTCACCGGCATCGTGTCGCTCCTGCTCGCCGCCGTGCAGGCGTGGAGGACCATCTTCTACCAATGCAAGGGCCACGACGAGTGAGTAAAAGGGGGTGGGGGGAGGGTGGCAGCTGCTGCTGTGTCACATTGCGCGCGGGTTGTTCCAACAATTTGCGCTCTCGTGCCATCGTGCGCCTCCCGTGTCTCTGTTGGCCGCCCCTGATTGAGCGCAGCGGCGGGAATTCCACGTTACGGTGTTTATTGTTGTCGTTGTCACAGTATTATAATAGCAGGGCTCAGTTCTAGACTGCATAGGACAACTACTTATAGATGGTATATGTTTTTTTCTTATTGTATAAGATGATTATTGTTAACGTTGTAAAAGTGTAATTAACATGACGGCGCTTTTTAGTTGGCAGATTTGTGCCAGTAAGGCACGCCACGTGTTCTTTTCAGCATTAATGAAATAAAATGACTCGTGACTTGCTAGAAAAAAACGTGTAAAGTGGTACCTATCTACAGACTTTGTTATGTAGTAATTTTTTTATTACTTTAGTTTAAATACATGCTAATTTTGATTCATATGTTTTTTTCTGACTTTATGTGAACGATAAGACACAAATTCGCCCATTTTCTCATTGAAAAATAGGTACATTTCAAAATATCACTCTCCTGGTCACAAAAGCAAAGTTTGTGGGGAATAATAGTCATTTTCTATACTTTTTAAGCATAAGCAATTACGAAATAACACTTACTACCCAGGAACCAAAATTGTGTTACATAAATTAATCTATGCCTCGAGTTTCCTGGCTGGCTGCTGTCCACCCCAACAATAAAGAAAATAGCTGGGTAACTGGCTACATGGGCAGGTATGGCAGCACATCACACGACTACGGTATTAATAATATATCATGATGATCTACACCTCTAGTTTCCTGGCTGGCTTCTGGCTGGGCTCCTGTCCACCTCAACAGTGACTTTGTTGTTAGTGACTGCTGCGAGCCATTGCCACCGAAACTATCTGGGTAACTGGCTTCACGGGATTTTCTGTGGAACAAATAAACATTGCATTGCATTGGAACAGCGGAAGGAGACGTTAATAAGACGTAACAAGCATAGCAATAATAATAGATAGCCACACCGAGAAGGTGGGAGTAACGAATACAAAATACTAACCACGGTTCATTTCGAATCGCTCACACTTTTACATTTGTCCTATTATTATACCAGAACATTTTAAAAGCGTAGAGAATATCAAACAAAAATAACCTCACGATAAATATTATCTTGGAATTTCAGTTCGTAAAAATGTTTTATATTTTTTTTGTGCTCGAACACAGGATTGCGAGAAGAGTGAAACTCGTAGTTATCTCTTATTGTCCGTTGCAGAGGAACGGGTTCGCTACAAATCTTGACTTAAAGCTTTCGTGACTGCAGGAATTCATATTATTTGGGTCTTTCGCTAAAGTCACGTAGATAGGTTGAATGAAAATAACAAAAAAAACTACGACGTTTCGATCACAACACAATGACGGTCAACTTGTGTTGTGATCAAAACGTCGTAGTTTTTTGTTATTTTCTTTCAACCTATCTACGTGATCTTTGGGTCTTTCGGTAAAGCCACGTAGATAAAAAAAAGAATACAAATAAAAATAATAATATCACGACGTTTCGATCGCAACACAAGCAATCGTCATCATTTTTTCACCTGATGACGATTGCTTGTGTTGCGATCGAAACGTCGTTATATTGTTATTTTTTTCTATCTACGTGGCTTTACCGAAAGACCCAAAGAATATGAATTCCTGCAGTCACGAAAGCTTTAAATCAAGATCTATCTACGTGACTTTACCGAAAGACCCAAACAATATGGTTCTCTACAGTTCATGTAACTTTATTGACTCTGGCTACAAGCTATCCTGGGCGTCCCATTATCCGGAAAATGTGGCACAAATTGAAATTTGGCTGCACTTGTAAAGCACAACCACATGATGCCAATATTTTCCAAGTCACTGCACTTGAGAAACACAAAGACTGGCACACAGATGCATATTAATAGTAGCGGAGCTAACATCTATAACTTCATGCGATATCAATCATGGCAAATATAATTTTCATGTGACTAGCCTGGAGCTGATTAGACACAACATTGTGAAATTTTACCAGGACCTCTGAACATACATTGTGTGTGCTTCAAGGCACTTAAAGTTGCAAAATATCAAAATTCATAACCTCTGAAACTTTCATTTAATGTTTTTCTCCCATACTCTTTGGTTCTTTCGGTAATATCACGTAGGTATAACATAAAATAAATCACGACGTTTCGGGCGCAACACAAGCGTCCATCATCAGGTGGGATGTATGTTTAATTGCCATACCACAGTAGATATTCCAAATTAACCATTCAAAGAGTCCCAGATGTCACGTGCCACATGGGATCAAAAGACAAATGTGTTGACATTTGGCAGTAACGGGGTTGTAATGCATTCTGCTGGCTGCTATGTGTTTTTTTTATGAATGTCAGTCTGTACATGTGTTTAGTTCACTTTGATGATTTTTTCCTGCTATAAATTTTCCACGTGAAAGGCCACTTCGTTGAGCTATCATTTGTGGACGGGTTGCTTCTGAAAAATAAGCTAATAGTTCAGTGGGCTTTACCTGGTACTATAAAAAAAAATGTAGTTTGATTTGTATACTTTTAAGTGATTTGTTTATCTTTCCTATACTATGCACTCCAATCATGTGTTTGTATTGTTTGATGTTGCAACGTTCTTACCTGTTCCTACTGGACATATGTGAAAAAGAGCTTTATAGCTCATCGTATTCCACCAGTATAAATACATATTTAGATTATGATTCTGTTTGTGTGTACTGTACACAAAATGCAGTTCACATCAATGGCATTTAATTGTTGGGGTTTGAAACGAGGTGTACCCAGAGAAAAACCTGAATACAAGGGGATAGTAGTCAGAGGGGCTCACAAAACAATTTTCTGACCAGCCTCGTCCACCAACCCTTGCCTGCCACATTGCTGCATTGTGAGCATGTGCCACCCAGTGCCGGATTAAGCTCGTGCGGGGCCTGTAGCATGATGTTATAAAGGAGCCCTAAATTTTTAAAGACACATAAATATTAAAACATACAATTTTAACTTCCATAGTAAGTAATTGTATTTTTTCATTTGCTATACAGCCAGATAATACGACAAATCGCTAACCTTAAACACCCAGTCGTTCATAAAAGTTGAAGGCAGTATAGTACTTTAGTAATAGAGCAAGTGCAGAATCACTGAACCAGAATTGATAGCTTGAAAGCATTTAGCGCGGGGCCCTTGAAAGTGCGAAGCCCGTAGCTACATGTGTAGCTACTTTTGCTACTAGGATAATCCGGCACTGGTGCCACCTCAACTGACTTGAGCATGTGTGCACTTAGTCCACCTAGCCTGGCCACAACAGCTGTGGTGATGTCACCACCGCCACCTTCGTAGCAAATGTTGTTGTAGTTGCATGTATATGGAGGAGGCTCGTGAAGGACGCTGCTACTGGGCAGTTGGAGGCAGTCGCCCTCCAACAACAACGGAGGGCGGAGGAGCGACGCTCACAACAACGAGCGGAGCGCCGGGTGGCTAAAGCACAGCAGGTTGGCACAGTAGGGGGCACAGGTGGTGCATCAGCCAGTCATCTCAGTCAGTCGACCCGTGGCACCTGCTGGGTCTGCCCCGTGACCTCCTGCCAGCGGGCGTTCGACACTTCACGTGGCCTCAAGGTGCACATGGCCTGGCACAAGCGTCGTGGTGACGTCACCGCCACTTAGCGGCGAATGGCGGTTGTTGTTGTTGTGTGTTCGCAGCACCCTCTTCGCGGCATTTATCAACCTGGTGGGCAGCGGCCTGGTGGCGATGATGACGTTCGTGGCAAGCACGGTGGTGAGCGCGGGTTTCAACGTCTGGTGCAACAGCATCGCCATTCCGGGCGGCAAGCCTGACAGGTGTGAGGCCACACGAGAAAAAACAAAATCGACGTAAACCAAAAAAAATAAGACCTACCAGGGTACATCGTGTGCCACACAGAGTGCCAGTCTGGAATAAAAAAAGAATAAATTGTTGTACCGTACGCCTATGCTTCCACGTCTTTACTCCCCGTCTTCACCGAAACCACACTGACCAGCGTGGTGAAGTGTTGCGAAACAACCTCTATGACCGGCACGGTGTGAGCAGGCCCTCATTCGGCAGTGGATTGGTCAAAGAGCAACAAAATACGGCAGAAATCCACAAATTTGTACTCTAATAATCCACGAATCTTTGTATTTCGCGGAAGTGAACAATTAATAATCCCCATAATGCTTGCCTGATAATTATAAAAGATTATGAACTCCTTGTATCTCTGGCTCCTGGGTGTAAGTCCAGTGTGCTAACCGTTATACTACACACTGCAGGCCCCTAATTCCCTCCCAAACCCTAGTGTGAGACACGGCATTATCTGCTCACGATCTTTCGAAGAAACGCCGTTTATCCATGCAAATTGCTGTTGATGAGCATTAACCACAATGCCCAGGACTCGTGTTGATGAGAATACCCGTGTTTTCAGCCGACGTCATGTAACGTGCATTGAATTTGTGTTTGTCTACAGCTGTGAGGAGGCTCAGGAAATGAACCTCAATATGGATGTCATTACAACTTCCTTCTACACGCACTTCGGGGTAATCCAGGTACAGGATTTTCTAAGACAAAGTAATTGATTTTCGGAATTTATTACACGTAACGATGCTTTCAGCGGATGTGTTGTGTTTATAATGACGAATAAACTTCTTATGAGGCACACTCTGTTTATTGTAATTCTTCTCTTAACACACAGAGGGGTATACGGTCCCCTCACCCGATACCCTAAGAAGGTACAGCCTCCGGACTTAGCGTGACCTACACACAGGTCTCTTGCTAACCTAAGGAGGTACAGCCTCTTATCTTGGCGGGACTTACACATCTACCGCTATCCTAGAGTCCTCCGGCTGGGACCTAGGGGAGGCTATCTGACCCACCGCTGGCCCGGCGGGTCTTGACCACTGGATACGCCGAGCCTTAGCCCTCAGAAGGGCTGGAAGGCCGGGTCCATGGTCCTGGCTATCTTCAGCCCGGGCTTCGGACTTCGTGTAGGGAGAGAACTCCCCGCACTCTGCGCGGTCACCCTTCTTATACCCGTTTGTGGTTATGTCTAACCAATCCCACATACCCACGTGGAACCGTCTGATTGGTTCTTACCAACTGTGGCTACGATCCACTTCACCTCGTCTGACCCCAACCGTCATGTACACAGAGGTAACGCTGCACTGCCCCTTTGATACCTAGTGGCAATGGAGGTTACTGAACAGTGAGTAGTTAGCACCTCTACAGATGCAAGAAGCTGCCACGTGTGGAGGTTAAATGGAAGTTCCAATACCTGTCCTCATACTGCTTTAGAACCGTGGCTATTGAGCTGGGAAAAACAAAATCAATATTGCAGGATTATTGTCTTTTATATTGTAAACTGGCCTACTTCATTCTCATATCACAAACGAAGACAATTGTTTCATCTGGTTGCAATTTGAAACGTAGCAAAGCCTCTACTAATTGCACCAAAAGTGAGACTGCACCACCGTATATGTTATTCATCACCGAGATTCGCAATAGATTGTTGGGTTAGGCCACCTACCGGTCTGGCCAAACGTACACCGATGAAGGCCCTCCTCCACTCGACATGCACCCTAACAGCTCAAAATGTCACGCGGCATTACAAATAACGTATGTTTGTTGAACTTCTTTCACACCGTACGTAGCCAACCGTGCTAATCGGAGGTCCAAGCATTTACAAGGATTTATACGGGACCAATCATAATTGTTTCGGCTCCCTCACAGAAAAAAATGGAAATTGGGGTTTTAAGAGTCGCAGAACAATTCCCACAACCACCATTAGAAATTAGACAGTTAAAATATTATTTTTATTAACTAATCTTAAAAGTATAGATAACAAAGGGAATTGTTTGTATGCGAATGGATTTATGAGGAACAATAATAATAAATTGCCCTTTTGTTTCTGCGTACAAAATGGCTGCACGTTTATCACAGTCCGTGTACGCGTAGCTTTTAGAAACGCACGTCAGCTGACGTCAGCAGGACCAAGTCTCCAGTCCCGCTCACATTCATGTCAGCTGCACACACTTACCGTGTGCGTTATGGGAAAAGACACTTCCGATACGATAATGTGTTTAGACTCAGTGAGTTTGTTACCGTATGTTTTAAAAGGAGGGTGCAATCGACGCAATATTGATTTTAGGAGTCGCACATCTGTCCTCGTGTGTGCCTAAAAAGCACGGTGACCTGAGAGTGGCCGCATATTGATGCATTTGAGATGATGGCCCATAACACCATCGAAAACAGTTGAGTGATTTTAAATATTCATGGATTCACAGAAGGGGGTCCAGTGCCCACAGCTGAATGCTTTTAAGTTACTATCTAACAAAGGATGTCATGTCTACGCAAAAAAATAACAATAATGTGACGAGGTGGAATGTAACATTTTGGTCTTTCTATGTAAAAAGATGTGCTAACCTTCACCTTGACTTTTCTAAAGCGATTATAATCGCAGTATTAACGTGGTGCTTACAGTCAGACTCCCTACAGTGACGGTGTGCATGCAATAATTGTAGCCAATTTCAACATTCAATTGCTTGAAATAAACAATTCAGCCGATTTATGACCAGAGAGGTCATTTGAAATCAAACCTGGCCCCTGTCATGGGAATGTCGAATTTCCACCACTTTCTTAGGGATGACAATGAAGATGACCATCGCACCTTTGTTTTTTTTTTGTTTTAACAGAGAGACTGGACGTGACTTGACCTCTACTCTCTCAACCCCTCCTGGATGTTTAACCTGCGATAGTCAAGCAGTTTATGGGTGGAGTCCAGCAGCCAACTACATTATATCTTCACCCTTTATGTATTTTGAACTTCTTTCACACCGTTGTAGCCAACTGCTCTAATCGTAGGTGTGGGTGAAGGACAACAGATAAAACACAAAAAGCAGTTCTAAAAAAATGAGTTTTCAATCTCGATGATTTAAAAGTGCGTAGCTCCAGTGGCTTCCTAATATTGGACGGAAGAGCATTCCAGACGGCCGCAGAAGCGCATCTGAATGCGCTCGATGCAATGACCAGCTTTGTTCGATGGTTAGCCAAAAGCTGCTGCAGGGATGACCAAAGTTCGCGTGATGATTTTTGCTCCTTGACGAGATCCACAAGCTATTGTGGTTCACCGTTAACCATAACCAACTAGCCACGAGCACTAGTTCTCACACTGCCCTGAACCCCACCCTTAACCCCACATTTAGTACCTCTCAGGGCACCTGCTCGTTATTTGTTCACCTCTCCATTGTTGGTGTTTGCAGCGCCCATCCCTCGTCAGTCCCCAGGAGAGAGTGGGCACGGTCGGTCGACTACTCTTGTTTTATTTTACCGGGTAAAGCCCACTGAGCTACACGGCTCTCTTTCAGAAGCCACCTGGCCACAAGCGACAGCTCAACGAAAGTGGCTCATTCGTCACGTGGACATTCTATAGTCAGGCAAATACTCTCAACTAACAGCCCTTCTGCCCCACAGTTCGGGCTGTGGTGCGCGTGGCTCACGTGGGTGGCCCTGGCTGGTCTCGCCTTCGCCAAGGTCTACCGCAGCCACCGGCAGAGCGACCTCCTGCACAGCCTGGTGCGCGAGAAGGAGCTCCTGATGAGCCGAGCGGTGACGAGAGGCGGCGCAAGGCCCACCTTGCCCGAGCGACACCTGGCGGCTCAGGCGGGCGACAAGCAACCCAGCGTGTTCATCTGAGGAGCGCCGCCGTGGGACGCAAACGCCTGCGCTTTGCTGCCTGCTAACGTTCCTAAAACGTGTGTGTCTGTGTGGAATGATGACGATCATGATGATGATGATAATAATCACTTAATTAATTCGATATATTCGAGTCATTATAAAGCAAGGCTATCATGAGGGCAGCATGTTTCATGGATGGATGTACTGTAGTCTGCCAGTGAGGGGGCAATGTTGATAGTTTTACCAAATTAGGCGATTTGGTAATATTAAAAAATGTGGACTACGCGCATCGATTCATTGATTAAATTACATTATTGCGCTCGTGATGCAGGCATCGAATTGTGCGTTCAAGAGTCGATAATTGATCATTCATCATGAATTGATATTTGATGAGAATCGATCATTGTTCAATTCGTCTACCATGTGGTGGGTTCACGTGATCCCTGCTATGACGAGAGGCCTCTACAATCACCACAACCGAAATTAAAAAATTGAATTGGCTGTCAGGTGGGGGAGGGTTTTACGACACATTTTACTTACATGATGGGACCAAAAATATTAATTAATCATCATATTGTGCCTATTCTCTCAGGAGCACAATAATATAAGGCTTTGAAATAAGCCTTTTTGTTTGGTTAAGTGTGATTTTTATTTTTTGCATCTTGTTTTCAAAATTGTTTTACCGCTGCTTGCATATATGAGCACAGCACAGTGCCGAAGAATAGTAGGTCATAGCAGGCACCTGCTATCTGCTGTGATATGTAGTTTAGAAACGTGTTCGTTAACAACAAAAACGTGGAACAGGAAGTAAAAAGCGTGTCTACCGTGGACAAATGCATGCCTATAATTACATTTAGAGAGACAGATGAACACGTGGATTAGTGAACATACACAGGTTATATTGACATGCATTCAAACTGTCAAGGAAAGTGAGTGGGTTTTAGGCAGGATGTGTTTTTAAGAGAGATGATGGCTGACGATCAAGAATATTAACAGTGGCATACAAGGAATGGAATATATCTGGGAGGAAGGACATATGCCAAGGAGGTTTGTTCGTTTCTCAATCCGCTTGTCCTGGTGAGGGTCGCGGTGGCAGTGTGTTGAGTAGTGGTGGTCCACACCTCCCATTCCCTGGCGCCGGACTCCAGCTCTTCCTGGGGAATTCCCAGGCGTTCCCAGGCCAGCCGAGTGACATCATCCTGCCAGAGTATCCTGGACTGGCCACGGGGTCTTTGCCCAGTGGAACGTGCCCGGTAGAGCTCCAGGGGGAGTCTACCTGGGGGCCATCCTTACCAGGTGCCCGAATCACCTCAACTGGCTCCTCTCGATTTCTGGAGGAGCAGCAGCGGCACGACTCTCCCGGATTACCGAGCTCCTCACCCGATTACGGAGAGTGAGCCCGGCAACCCTGCAGAGAAACCTAATTTCGGCCCCTTGGAGCGATAAAATCATATGGTGTGCAGGTGTTGGGTGGATTATTATATCGCAGGATCACAAGAGAGATGGTGGTGGTTTCGGAAGGGTTCATTCAGCAGTGGATTGACCGTGGCTGATAGAGAAGATGATAACAGTGCTTTATATAGTTTACGTAACAAAAAGACTGCTTCAATAGTTTACGGACCACTTCTGTGCTGACAGCTTATGGTTGACGCCGTTTCATTGCAATACGCAGGCTTGCTTCGCGGGTGGATCGTCTCCGCATCGATGGCGCTGTAATACGATAAAATCGGACATGCGACCAACTCAACGGATCAGCTCTCAAGCCGCGATCGGCCATTACCGATCGTCGATTTCCCCCCGCAGTCCGACAAAGCGCTGTTGCTGAAAACATTCCACTATGTTAATTGGCCAACACAATCGGGCGACTGAAAGCTGGCGACCATTCCATGACGGACACCATCGCTCTCTGATGCGTTCTCGTGTGGTGCCGCGCGTCTGCCCCGGCGCGCTGACCGACGCGTTGTTTTTTTCACTCTTCGCGCGCCAGGGGCCGAAACGTCAGACATCGTGCCGAACGGACGCGCGGAAACCTGTACGCAGCAGGAGTGTCGCACGCACTGCGCAGACGACAAACCGTTGAAATAAAAATCTAACATCGTTCTTATTCGGTTAAGTGCCCATTTGGAATCTGTTATTGTTTCATTTGTACAGTGGGTACTGGCGTTGTCGGTGCAGGCTTTTTGACTTTGGATGAGATTTCGAGCCGCTTTCTTTGCCTGAGGTCTCCTTTGAGAGCACGCACTAAATGTACCGGGCAGAGTGGAGGCTGTGGCGGCTATTGCGAGATACGGCAAGGAATCTGAAGCCGTTTTTATTCGTAAAAAAAAAAAATTGAGGACACAGGGATGCTTCATTGCGAGCACTCACCACATTAAGAAACATGTCTTTAGAGTAGTTGGCTGACACCAATTTCCACGTGATAAGCCACCTCGTTGAGCAATCATTTGTAGCTAGTTCGCTTCTGCAAAGAGCTTAATAGCTCAGTGGGCTTTACCTGGTAAACTAAAATAATATTTGCGTTTAAATAGTTTGGTTAAGTCACTGCAAGCGGCGTTTTAAGTGTAGCATCCTTCATTCTCGTGTTCGGCAGCAGTTGGGTTGCAGCCCCGTGAACACGACCCGTAAAATAAAAAATATAATATCAGTCGCAAATTGCACTGCGGGAGTTGTGGTCCATGGCGTGAAGCAACTTGTAGGCGCTGTTAGAAAGAAGGCAAGCTATGTACACTTCTTCCCGAGGAATGTCAGCCCTGTCATTCGTTCGGGGTGGCAAGCAAAGCATTAAACTTCGCGTAATTCGTTACGTCGTGCAAGCGTTTTAAATGAAACTGGAAGATAAATGACACAGTCTTGGACTATTTTTAAAAAAGTGACAGCATGAAGTAGACTGTATGCATGTGGCTGTATCTTTTTTTAGAATAAATATCGTGAACACATTGTCCTTTGCAGGGTCTCACACTTCAGGTGGAACAGTCACAGCGATCTTGCTGTGACTGTTCCACCTGAAGACGGACGTTTGTGTTGCCTCCGAAACGTCGTGATTTAATTGTTTTCTTTTATTTGAACTTATTTTATTTTACCTACGTGACTTTACCGAAAAAAACCAAAGAGTATGAATCTTTGCAGTCACGAAAGCTTCAAATCTAGAGTCAACAACGTAACCCAACTGCTGTATAACGCTGCTTTGCATTACAGTAGAAGCTGGGTATGAGAGGCACATTTTACAAACTCAGTTATAATATAAGCAAAACTGTCCTTTGCATTGGTTGGGGGAGAAGGTGAAGGATAGCTACTGATACAAGCACTCTACTCCGGATATAAGCACGTGTGCTGGCTCCCAAGGGGGTGTGCTTATACCCAGCTACCACTTGATGTCATAAGTGTCTTATTTTTAAAGTGTAACATTTATTGACTTTATTTTAATCGTGAGGATTGTCAGGCAGGTGATAACTTCCCTGCTTGTTACTGAAATGCCGAAATATATTTTAATGGCCAAAGCATGCATTTCCTCTTTTAAGCCGTGTTACAAAGTATCGTGCTTATGACATAATTACGTTGTGCGATGTACCTACGTGGCTATGTACTTGTCGTAATTTAGCACGACACTTAATAGTTTGACGGTATTAAAATAATTTTCATCGGTCATATTACTGTATTAAATTATAGACCTTAAACTAGCAAAGTGCAGTGCAGTCTCGCTTTAGACTTGCCAAGTGTGAGCTTCTTTAGGTTTTTTTAAGACTAACGATTAAAAATCACAGCATGCCATAAGAATTAAGTTTGCCTTTTAGAAGCTATCGTTCTTGACTCTGTCTCCGTTTGGAATGCAATGAGGGTCACTGTCATGCCGATTAAAACAATAACAAAACTGCACAAATGGTGGCGTTGTGTTTGATGTGTGTTAAAATGTTACGGAAATGGGAAATTCAATGGAGGTTAAACATCGCAACGATCGCCCTCCCTCGCGATGTGAACTCCATCGCCTAGGACGCATGGGGTTCGTGGGTTCGATCTCGATCCTGAATTTGCATCTCTCTCTCTCTCTCCGTGGTCGCGTGGATTTTTCACTGAGTCCTCCGTTTGTTTCCCTCCACATTTCGAAACGTGCGGTTAAAGAGTAATTTGGCTGCTATACATTTCCACGTGATAAGCCAACTTCGTTGAGCTATCATTTGTGGCCAGGTCGCTTATGACAAAACTATCTGTACAGCTCAGTGGACCTTACCTGGTAAAATAAAAGAATGTGTTTTAATTTTAGTGTAGATTAATGACCCAGGTCACACTCTTGCAAATGAGACTCATCCTGGTCTAGTGAGGTCTCACCTTCGTAATAAGCAAAATACGCTTCAAACTGAGAGTGGGTGGGGAGGGGGAGAGATACTCGTGACTAATGTCATGGACAGAGATGCATGGAAAGCCATTCTCGCTGACTTCTTTGAGAAAGGACATGGCACGTACAGACGGCTCGTTAATTAGTGCCGATTTAGGAACAAAAAGAGTGTTTTAATACCTTTTAGAATTAGCCCTGATTCGAATCAAACTTAATTGCCTTTGTTCTGATTGACTTAGCAATACAGGCTGAACAAATGTAACCACCATGGGCATTCACACTATTATGCCTACCGACGCTGTCAGCCTGGCATCACTACCCCGGACATCAAAAAAGTATCGCCAGGCAACGTTCCCAAGGTATTCATTCTACCGGCATATACCTGCTGCCCATATGCTTGAATCATTTACCTTATGCCAGTGGAGTACTGGAGTCTCAAATATACCTGAGAGCACGTGGCTCCAACGGGGGAACGAACGCACGGCCGCGGGCAACATCAGCTGCTAAGATGATGCTAAGATGATGATGAGACTGCGAGGAGCCGGGACTCTTGCATCAGGGGTCGGAAGAACCACGGGCAAAGCCTCAGAGAGTGGGGGGGGGGGGCATCTCTACACCAGGCCCAGAACACTCATTACACAATAACTTGCTGAACTCGCAAAGGAGCATAAACCATCACGCGAGCTCCGGTCATCCTCGCAGAGGCTTTTGGCTCAACCATCGAACAAATACGGCGGTCACCGCATCGCGCGCTTTCAGATGCGCTTCTGCGGCCGTCTGGAACGCTCTTCCTGCCGATATTAGGAAGCCACCGGAGCTATGCGCTTTTAAATGTAAATTGACAAACTCATTTCTTTAGAACTACTTTTGTGTGTTTAGTTTGTTGTCCTTCCCCCGCACCTCCGATTAGCGCGGTTACGCTACGTACGTCGCCAAAGAAGTTCAACGCGCCTCAACCGAGGCGTCTTTGACTTCAACATTGCAGATAGTTTAAACAGAGAGGCAAATTACCATTTTTTAATTAATATAGTGTTAATAATAAAATGATAAGACAGTAATAGTCCTTTGCAATCAACTGCTGAATGAAGGCCTCTCCCCACGTCGTGTCAATTATATGGAGTTGTTCGACCATACTTCACCACGCAGGTCAGTGTGGCCAGGAATGAAACGAGATTAATTCCGTATACAACAAAGAGTGCTACTAACTTCACCCATAATGAGCGTATCGGAAACAAAACCAACTGTACAGTACTGATTATGGTACCATTCAAAATGTTTCGTTTCTTATAAACATGGGGAAAACTGCTCCGCTAAATCTCACCAATAGGTGGGAGTACAGGGCAAAACAAGATCAATGATCTTTGGAATCCCTCAACAAAACCAGTTCCTCTCCAACAATATTGTCCAGCCTCGGACTTCAACATCTCTCCCACCCGCACGATATCTCCCCCTGTTGCCCACCCTATTATTTCCTTACTTGTCCTAGGGATAAACACGGACAAGTTCGCTCTTTCGGCATGCAAAGGTGTGTTGGTTCATGTAGCCCAACATGTCCAGCCCATGCATGGGGCCCTGATGACAATTACATTTGAGTTCCAAATGTGTTTATCACGCTCTGCCTTAACTCAGTGTTTCCGTTGTTCCTCGTGTACCGTGGAGCGTTGCCCTCGGTTCTACACCTTCGAATGTTGAAGCGCGTAGCCTCGTGTTGATTTTTTTTTAATAATTCTTGCTGTTCTGAATTTGCATTTACTGGCTAACGATGTGAGATATATCCGAAGGTACCCCGCGGGTCTCTCTTGTAAAGCAGCCTATGGCTGAACGTTACCCACCCGCGTCACAAAGTCAAACTGAGACGTGAGCTGAGGTTTTGTTTTTACCTCTGGGAAGAAACCAGAGAACCCAGAAGCCCCCATGCAGAACAGGGGAAGAACACACAAACTCCACGAAGAAAGACATCCGAGTCAGGAATCGAACCCAGGGTTCTCGCTGTGAGCCACAGGTGTTACCACTTCGCCATCCTGCCACTCACTTAACGCTTCCTATTTGCGTTCGCTTCGTAATCCATGTGTCTGTCGGTCTACTTGCAAAACCGTGCTAATTTGCGAACGTGATTTTATCTTTGTCTGTTACGATACATCTATATTAAAAAAAATTACAAAGCGTACATTAAACCGCACTGAAAAGATTCGTACATGCCGTATGGAGTGTAGTGCGTTGAAGTTTCCCTCTGCCACGTCTCGTGATGGTAGCGTAGCAATGCCGTGCACCCTGAGAAAACACCACTCACGCTCTGAAATTCCACTCTTGTCATTTTTTTGAAGCCACGCAATTTGCTGCGGTTATGATCGCCATCTCACGCGCGAGTGGGAATCTTGAGAGTCGAGCGGCAAGCTGTCGTGTTCTCTCCGTTCCATCCATTCTCCACATTCATTCTCTCACATTCATTCACCCGCATTCATTCACCCGCATTCATTCACCCGCATTCCCCTCTATTTGTAGGACCGGGAACCCACCGGGATTGGCTGGTTTACTCAACGGCTAATCCTCACCCTCACCCCAGCCAGCGACTGGAGTGAGGGTCAGGATTTTCTCATTGTCACTGCATGTGGAGAGGATTCGTGGCCTCTTAGGCCTCCAAGTTGGCATTCAGCCACTGGACTTATCGCTGCCATGCACAAGGATATAATCGTTCCGTGAACCTGACACCTTGATAATCCCACCGATGTCAAGGACTGCTTCTAACCAGATTGACTCCTTCCTCTTAACCTGTTCTGTGTTCGACTGTCCTGTTTCAGGCAGTGCCTAATTTCAGTTCGAAACGGTTCTGTAATTTTTTTTAAACGAAACATTCATTTTTTTATTTTACCAGATAAGGCCCACTGATCAGAAGCGAACTGGCCACAAATGATCGCTCAACGAAGTGGCTTCTCGCGTGGAAATGTATAGCAGCCAAATATTCTAAACGCACGTTGATTCTAAATGTGCAGGGATAAACCGGAGGACCCGGAGAAAAATCCACGCAACCACGGGGAGAACACGCAAACTCTAAATATACAGCAGGAGTCAGGGTCGGGATCGAACCCACGACCTTTTGTATACCAACCGAGGTAGTTAGCGTCTCGCCACCGTGGCATAATTGTTTTGGTCTCACCGCCACATCGATCTCGCCCTACTATGTTGTCCACCGTGATGCTTCGGTGGTGTCTGCGGCGGTGAGCAAAAACGTGGGTTACCGTATTATAGAGCCATCGGAGGCAATATAAGAGGATTATTACGGATAAAAAAAATCACAACAACAAAACGTGTTACGAGATCGAGTAAATAATTTGGTGATGCTGCTCTGTTGGCAGTGGTACCCATAGTTCCATTTATTTGGTATAGCCCTGTGAGCCATTCGGCTCTTGAATCGGGTGCAACCGCAACAAACAAAAAACAAAAACATGAACAAGAAAACATCTTAAAGTGACTATGTGACTGTGCAAACAAAAAATCCAGGAAAAAAACATCAAAATTTTCCTGAAATAGCACCGTACACCAACGCTGTGTGCAAAAATCCCAGTGGGATGCAAGTCAAACAACAACAACAACCACAAGACAACTAAGATTAAGGCCATCAGTCTAACTCCGTACTACAATAAACATGGCCAAGCACAAATAACAAACAATTACCAAAGAGAAGATGCAACACGGTCGTCAATCACAATGTGGCCTTATACACGACATATATGATGGGCGACGCGTTAGACAATGGCCCTTCTTCACGGCACACAGAGAGGCCAGAGAGGTAGAATTGTTCATCTAGAGATGGTTCTTAGGTGGTAACCCACATTATAAGTTATTCGAGTCACTCTCTCACTGTCGCTCAGTCGCTCCCTTGGTCAATCTTTCATCGCTACTACCACGTTCACAGTTCTAATGAACTTCACGTGCCGATAACTCCGGCACGTGGATTAACAATGGGTTTAAATGTACTTAATTATTATTATTCTTAGCTTCGGCCTTGGTGGCATCTTTATTTTGATTATCGTTAAAAAATTTCCAACTTCAGTTGCATTGGAAAGTGAAATCGCCTGTATATTTCGAGTTTGCTTGTCCTTCCCGTGGTCGCGTGGATTTTTCTACGGGTCCTCCGGTTTTTTCCTCCATATTTGGAAACACGCTTTTAGAGTATTTGGCTGCTATAAGTTTCCACGTGATAAACCACTTCGTTGAGCTATCATTTGTGGCCAGGTCGCTTCTGAAAAAGAGCTATATAGCTCAGTGGCCTTTAACTGGTAAACTAAAAAAATATAGTAGAATCGTTCATCTAGAGATGGTTCTTAGGTGGATAAACTTTTGGACACGGACCGTGTTGAATGGTCAGCGTGCGTTGAGAAGAGAAGGGACCGGGAGTCCTGGAATTGCCTGGTCCCTGGAGGAGGGTGGGGTGGGGGAAGAGGAGGATGGGATGGAGCAGCTGCTGGAGTTCCTCTGCTGGAACAAGAGGAGTCTTTGTTGGATCTTGCCCCAGGGAGGAGCGCCTGTGGTCAGGACCCCCAGTCGCACCTGCCACGGAGTGGTAACGCCGCAGGCTTGCGTGTCAGCCACACCACTGCTACACCATGCCAAACATAATTATA